CAAGGCGGTGCCTGAAAAGGGCGCCGGAGGAGAAGGACGGGAGGGGGTTTAGGGTTTAGGGTTTAGGGTTTAGGGTTTAGGGTTTAGGGTTTAGGGTTTACAGGGGTTTCTAGGGTTTACAGGGGCCCCTAGGGTTCAGAGGGTTTGGGAGTGGCGAGAGGGCGCGACACTACCACCCTCAACCCCAAACCCCTAGGCCACTTTTATAACCACCCCAGCAAAGCGAAAATCCGTCGAAGAAATCTTCTGGCTGAGGACGCCAGGGTCAGCTCCGCTGGGGCCGAGGCCCGCCAGCCGGGGAGATCCGGATTGGAAGTCGAGGTTCAGTCGAGGGTTTGGGGTTTTAGGGTTTAGGGGTTTTAGGGTTTTTGGGGTGTGTTACATGTAGGGTCTTTTTCATGGTTTCTTAGGTTTTTTTGGGTTTTTAAGGGGTTTTTAGGGTTTTTGGGTGTTTGGGTTTTAGGGTTTTAGGGCTTTAGGGATTTAGGGATTTAGGGTTTACTCTAGGGTCAAAGGTTTTGGGGTGGAGGGTTCAAGGATTGGGGTTAAGGGTTTCGAAGGATGTTAGGGTTCGAATCAGGAGCCCTAAACCCGAAACCTAACCCTGAACCCAAGATTGGGCCCAGGCGGCCATGCGCCTCGGCCTCATCCAGCGCAGTCTGGGGGATGTTCGCTACTGAGTGCCTGCTGAGCAGGGTTTTGGGTTTAGGGTTTAGGGTTTAGGGTTAGTATTAGAGGTGGGATTCGTCTCATGTGCCACTGCGTCTGCGGAAAGTGACAAGCATGTGCGACTCAGGAAACCTTAGACACCCCCAGCCCAAACACGTAAGGCTCGACCCACACAAAAGCCATAGCTCTCAGCAGCAAAGCCCTACCGGCTTATACCCTATACCGCTTCTTTGAGGAAACTTCTCCTAGGGTTAGGATATCATGATAAAGAAGTGGTACCCCAAAAGCCAAGGGAGACTCCAAACCCTCGACCCGAACCCCTAAGCCCTAAACCCTAAACCCTAAGCCCTAAACCCTAAACCCTAAACCCTAAACCCTAAACCCTGATCGTCCTCCAGGTCTGCCACTGTTGGAGGGCACTCAGTCGATGTTTGTCCTCCTGGGTGGCTTGGTCGTGCTTAGCGGCTTCTGCACTAAGTAGGGTTTAGGGTTTTGGGGTTTAGGGTTTTGGGGTTCGGGTTTAGGGGAATGGCCCTAAAGCCTAACCTCTCAGGATGGAATTGAATAGAAATTGTCGGTGTTTCGCCCTGAAGCCCCTAAACCCTCAACCCTAAACCTGAAAACCACGATGCCATTGCAGGCTGCCGCACGTGGCGGGACAACTGCACCCGGGCAGCAGCAGAGTTGTAGGGTTTAGGGTTGAGGGTTGAGGGTTGAGGGTTGAGGGTTTAGGGTTTGGACGTTCCCCCTTATCCTATCAGGCCTGAATAGGGATGAAGAATGGCAGCGCAAACCCGTTAATGCTTCAAACCCTCTAGAAAGTCCTCTGCAAGCCCAAGCCCTAAACCGCAAAATTAACGGATCTGAGCCCTAAACCCTCAGCCCTAAACCCTAAACCCCTAAACCCCTAACCCCTAAATCCCTAAACCCCTAAACCCCTAAACCCCTAAACCCCTGAACCCCTAAACCCCTAAACCCCTAAACCCTTCGAATCAGCAGAAGTCACTTCAGGCCTCTGCTGCCGGTAGCGCTTCACAGGCCGGATCCTGGGTATCAGGGTTCAGGGTTCGGCTTGTTTGGGGGTTTACGGGTTCTAGGGTTTTGGGGTTTTGGTTTTTTGGGCTTTTTTGGGTTTTAGGGTTTTAGGGTTTTAGGGTTTTAGGGTTTTAGGGTTTTAGGGTTTTAGGGTTTTGGGGTGTTTGGGGTGTTTGGGGTGTTTGGGGTTTTGGGGGTTTTGGGGGTTTTGGGGGTTTTGGGGGTTTTTGGGGTTTTAGGGGCTTTAGGGGTTTTAGGGGTTTTTGGGGTTTTTGGGGTTTTAGGGTTTAGGGTTCTATGGCGCTATGAGTTCAGGGCCTCAACCGGCAGAGTGCAGTTTTGCGGGGGGCTTCTTAGGTATATGATGACTGTATGAGGTATATATATATATATACGGGTTATCTGGGCCAGTAAGATGAAGGGTCCCTTCTAGTGGTCAAACCCTAAACCCTAAACCCTAAACCCTAAACCCTAAACCCTAAACCCTAAACCCTAAACCCTAAACCCATAACCCTTTACGATGAAGGGTCCCTCCTTTCACCCCTTACACCCCCGAGCCCCAGAGCTCCGCAGGAGAGCGGCGGAACAGTGGCCATGGCCTCAGCAAAAGCTCCAAGGGGGGCATGGAGACTGGGGTTAGGGTTTAGGGTTTAGGGTTTAGGGCCTGTTTAGGGTTTAGGGTTTAGGGTTTGGGGTTCAGGGGGAGAGGGGGGGGACGGAATTCCCCAACCCTTGAGCTCGCATCCTTACCTCCATCGTATGGCAGTCAGGCGCTCGCGAACAGAAGGGGTGCGCGCCGCGCGTCCCCCGATTCCCAAACCCTAAAACCCTAAAGCCCTAACCCTAACGCCCTAAAACTCTAAAACCCTACCACCCTAAAACCCTAAAGCCCGAACACCCTATCGCCCTAAAACTCTAAAACCTAAAACCCTAACACCCTAAAGCCCTAAAGCCCTAACACCCTAAAACCCTAAAACCTAAAACCCTAACACCCTAAAACCCTAAAACCCTAACACCCTAAAACCCTTAAAAAAAGGGCCTTGCAGGGAAAAACATATCAACTGTCAATGGCGAAGGTGGAGCTCCTCGGGTACATTCATGGACTCTGTGTGGCACTCAGGCTGCGAGCTCTCACTACAGGATTTTGGGCTTCGGAGCCCTAAGCCCTGTAAATAGCCACATCATAACCATGCAAAGCCCTTACGCGAAGCCCTCAATCTCAAGCTACCCCAAAAAACCTTCTAGTTTCATAGCCCACCCCCCCCATCCCCCCATTATCGGTACCCTAAACCCTAACCCGAAACCCTAAACCTGTTCAGGGTATGGGAGCCCTGAGTTTAGAGTTTGACCCAAACCCGAAACCCGAAACCCGAAACCCGAAACCCTAAACCCTAAACCCTAAACCCTAAACCCTAAACCCTAAACCCTAAACCCTAAACCCTAACGTGCTGTCGCAAAGGAACTGCCATACCCTAAACCCCTAAGCTAAGCCCAAAGTTGCAGCAATGCGAGAGGTCCAACATCCTCGGGCCTATAAGACTTAAGAGTTTAAGGGCCTAGGGGTATAGGGTTTAGGGCTTAGAGTTTAGGGTTTAGGGTTTAGGGTTTAGGGTTTAGGGTTTAGGGTTTAGGGCAAGAATCTGCTCCAGGCGGTTGCCTCACTGAGCGTCTGATGCCCATCATGGAGCGGCTGTCCACGCAGGCATGCCCCCATCATTCTCAGGATCGAACTCTAACGTTGTTGTTAGGGTTTAGGGTTTAGGGTTTAGGGTTTAGGGTCACGGAGTTAGCACTCTTACACGTTATTTGCATGAGGGTTTTCGTAGTTCCGTTGTGCGGGCCCTGCTGCAGCTCAAGCATAGAGAGGCGCACCTCCTCACCCGTGAAGGTAAGCAGTTCGCACGGAGAGCCGATGCTACTCCTGCGACCGCGGCGGGCTCAATGTAGGGGTCGGAAGAATCACTACTAGTATTCCCTCATGGCCCCTTCTTTTATGCATATACTATGATAACCGCGAAACCCTATTCCAAGTATTCAGGTACCTATATTAAGCAATGGGAGATGGAGCACAATCTGTAGTCTCCATTCAAGAGGATCGAGGGGTTGCAAGGCCTTACATCTCCCCTCCCTAGCACCCTGGATCCCCCAGCTTTCAACTGACTCAAATGAGTAGGCCAGTGTACATTCCACAGATTTCCACAGGAGCCTAAGTCATGACGAATGCTACTACATCCCTTGCAGCATAATCCGGAGAAAAGCACAAGATCAACTACCAAAGTACTCGTGCGCATTTTGAAGCCCCGCTACCAAAAACTTGCCTCAGAGGGCTTCGAGATTGGCCGGAGGTTCTGTACCTGTGGCCGAGCCTTTGGCACAAGCTTCTTTCTGTCCACTTGGCGGTAGATGCACGCCGCAAGGACTGCAAGCACCTTCAACCCTCCGAAGCACCCTCAAAGCACCTAACCATACGAAAGCCCTTCGCCCAGCTGCTGGTAAACACACAGTCCAAGAAGTTGGCCCTACCCCTCATTCGCAAGCCCTCGAAGCTTCCACTCCACTCCCGCACCCTTTGGATTGCTGGGACATGGCGGCCTTGATCCTTTCTCGATGCGCTGAGCGGGCGCGCTGCCCGGCAGGTGGGGACCATATTGAGCAAAAGGCCCAGAGTAGGCCCTAGTCCCTTTCTTCAGGGTTCCCTTATAAGCCCCTTTTCAACCAAAAAGGGCCCCTATTTGTATTTCTAGGTCTAGGTTTCTTACAGGTCCTAGACCTTTTGCCGTTTGTTCCGACATGTGTCGTCTGTCAACCCGCAGAATGCCAAGGGAGGGTCGGAAAGAGGTTCATGAGAAAGAGGCCTTCACCTGGGCTGACGGGCTCCCCCCTGGGCCTGGAAGTTAACCTTATCTAAAGCCCCCCGGGCTCTAAGAAGCACCCTAACATGCCCTACTAACCCATCTCCTCAGCCCCTTTTTTCTTGAACTTTCAGCCTTGTCTGGTGGGCTTTGGCTTGAAGCACGCGCTGCCTTCGGTCATGACACAAGGATGTCCTGCAACTCGAGTCCCTCATGCTTGGTGACAGCAGGCCTGCGATCATGGCGGGCATCGGTGGGCGCAATGCTGAGGCTCTGTGAAAAAGAACGGGATTTCATAGGTTTCACGGAGCATTTGCAGCTTCACAGTGCACACAACCAACACCTTGCTGAGGGAACAATGCAGTCCCTTAACGAGTAATACATTGGGATAACGAGGTTCTTAAGGAAGGCCCTAATGCTCGGGGATTACAGATTCTGTACCGGATGTGCTTCGACCCGATAGAGGCCTTTCGAAGTACCATGTGATCTGAAACTTGCTGACTCTTAAATGTCCTGTGCCCGAAGCAACAAGCATCCCGCAACCCTGTACCCTGTACCCTAAACCCTAAACCCTAAACCCCAAACCCCAAACCCCAAACCCTAAACCCTTCAGCAGGCCCGCGGCCTCCCAACAGCGCTTCTTTGGAGCTTCAGGCTGGGCCTCGCCAGGCCACGGCATGCGCCTGGCCTACTTCCAGGGGCCTTAATCATGAAGGGTTTAGGGTTTAGGGTTTAGGGTTTAGGGTTTAGGGTTTAGGGTTTAGGGTTTAGGGTTTAGGGTTTAGGGTTTAGGGTTTTCATAATGTCAATAGGAATTATTTTTTTTTGGGGGGGGTCATTATAGTATGATTTTAAAGGGACCCTAAGGGAATACTGTTTTTTAGGCATGTCTAAAAAACCGGGTTTTGGGGGTGATTATAGTATACTTATAAAGGCACCCTAAGGGAATACTATGAGTAGTTATTCCGACCCCTATATTACGTCTACGGGCCACGGCCTTCAAGCTCTTTTAGGGTTTAGGGCCCTGTCGGGTTTTGGGTTTAGGGCTTAGGGCTTAGGGCTCAGGGTTTAGGGTTGAGTATCCGGCATAATTTCAGTTCTAGCTGGGGTAAGACTACCAGGTTGTTGTTTTGTTCGCTTTGGACTCGATGAGGAGCTCAAAGGGGTTTAGGGTTTGGGGTTTAGGGCTTAGGGCTGAGGGTTTAGGGATTAGGGTTTAGGGTTTAGAGGTTTAGGGCTTAGGGTTTAGGATGGTGAGGGGGGGGGGGGGGGCTAATAACGTTCAGGCTGTTTGTCTCCACCAGCAATGCAAGCCCAAACCTTGAAACCTGCCCGATATAAGATACGGGAATACCATTAGTAATTAATCCGACCCCCCTAGAGCAGCCCTACTGAAGGCTCTGCCTGTCAGCCACTTTCTGCTATGTCCGGAGTATGGGAGTGCAAGCCCAAACCCTTGAGCACATTATTCCTAAACCCCTAAACAGCAGCGCAAGCCCCAAAAATAGAAAAAGCCGCAAGCCTTAAGACCTCCCAAGCATGCATCGAACAGGTTTCAAGATTTGGGCTTGCATTGCTGGTGGAGACAAACTGCTTGAACGTTATTACCCCCCCCCCCCCCCCTCACCCCCTAAACCCTAACCCTAAACCCTGAACCCAACCCTCAACCCGAACCTGAACCCTGAACCCTAAACCCTAAACCCCCCCCCCCCCCCGCCACCCTTCCACCCTCCCCCCAACAAAAAGCCTCAGGCACTTCAAGGCGGATCTGCAAAGCACAAGCCAAGCAAGTCAAGACACCCTAAACCCTAAACACTAAACCCTAAACCCTGAAACAAAAGCAAGAAAACGAGCGGCAGAACCCGGAAAGCACAAAGTCAAAACCACCAAAAACGGAAAATGCCCGAAGCCAGAAAGTGCGAGAACAAACCTTTTCAAAAACGAAAATAAATCTGCGAAATGTGCAAAATCCCAGAGAAAAGGACACTAAGAGTAGAAGAATGGGGAAGGAAAAAGCACAAGTGTAAGACAGTGCCCGAAGCGGGCACTAGAGAAAGTGGAGGAACTGTTCTAAATACCAAGGAAAACACGAAGGAATGCAAGATCTCGCGGGGCCACATACGCCCCGCATTCCAACGAGTAGGGCCGATTCATTGGCCAACATGGGTTCCATGTCGAAATTTAGTCACTGCCCCGCTGCTTTGCAAGTTATTTATTGCGGAACCCTGTTATCAAAGGATATGAATGGATCACGCCGTAAGCACTCCGGAACTAGACCTGTACCTTTTGAGTTCAGGTCTGCAAGGGCGGATTCAAGGGCTTTCAGGGTTACCTGTTACCCACAAAATTGGGCTCTGGGATGGTCTAACATCACCCCTAAACCCTAAACCCTAAACCGTTGTTGCGCTAAGGTACGGAGAGCCCGGTCCAGATCCAACGAACGGGCGCAGGAAGATCCCCTGCTGCAATCGGGCATCCTTGCTCAGTGGGGCATGGGCATCAGAAGCCACAAACAGCCGAAGCTTGAAACGGGTTTAGGGTTTAGGGTTTGGGGTTTATGGGTTTAGGGGTTTAGGGGGTTAGGGGTTTAGGGGTTTAGGGGTTTAGGAATAAGGCCTGCCATGTGCTGCGCTTTCGTCCGAGGTGGCATAAAATGGATGGGGACTACAACAAGGACACTTAGCAGCTGAGTGTGTACACTTTACACTTTTTGGGATACCATAAATAAATCCCCTATAGAACTGAAAGTGTACACTTCTTGGGGCGCTTATGAACTCAGCAACTAAGAGGAGAAGGATTATCCACCGCTGGGCTCGCACAACGCCAGAGAGTACGACGAGCAGTACGGCCGCTGGTGGTTTCAGAAGAAGGAGCTGGGCTCAGAACCGAGATCCTGGAAACTCTAAACCCTAAACCCTAAACCATGCGAGCTCCTAACAGCCCTAAACCCCAGGAGGACTGGCGTCCCAAGCTCTACACCACCATCGGCAGCCACGCGCGTAGCCCCAAGCTGAAGCGAACCATCCTCAGGACCGTCTGGCCTGAGGTTTAGGGTTTAGGGTTTCGGGTTTAGGGTTTAGGGTACCGAATAGCATGTCCCAAAGTACCCTACCCAAGTCCCGACCCCTAAAGCCCTAGACCCCCCAATTGGTACCCCCAGTTTTCGGAATCCCCCACTCCTGAAGGAAGTGCTACAACACACCCAACTTTCGGGCTTTGAAGAGGGACGTCTATCGCCTCGGGGCTGCACTGGCATGCTGACTGGGGGTCGGGTTTCGGGTTTAGGGGTTAGGGATTTGGGTTCATGGGGTTACTTGGGCTGCAAAGCCCTAGGACCCTAAACCCTTTGCCTTGATCCCGAAGCCCGAAACCCTGCCCGGATCCTGTAAGACCTTAAGACTCTAAAGCCCTAAGCCCTGATCCTCTATGGCCTTGCGCCCTAAACAGTAAAAACCCTGATTCCTCAGAGCTCAAACCCGAGGACCCTAAAGCCCTGATCCCCCAAGCCCTAAACCCCAAAATCCTGACCCCTGATCCCCTAAGACCCTGACCTAAATCTTAAACCCCTAAGACCCGAAACCCTGAACCCTGAGACCCTAAACCCTAAACCTTAAACCCCAAGACCCGAAACCCCAAACCCTAAACCCTAGCCCTAAACCCTAAACCCTGATCCCCTCAGCCTTACTAAACCCAGACATGGAGGCAAGCGGTGGCCCAAGACTCGGGGGCTCAACTTCCAGTTCTTCGCGGAGTTCTGTCAGAAGGATGCTCGTCAAGATCTTGGGTTAGGGTTTAGGGTTTAGGGTTTAGGGTTTAGGGTTTAGGGTTTAGGGTTTAGGGTTTAGGGTTTAGGGTTTAGGGTTTAGGGTTTAGGGTTTAGGGTTTAGGGTTTAGGGTTTAGAGTACAGTGGGACCTTGGGACATCGGACAAGTTCCCCTCAAAACACACGGACCTTAAAGGGACCTAGTTCCTGGTGGCACCTGAGTCATGCATGACTCGGATCGACTGGTTTCCTCACTTTGATACTTTGATGAAGCAGCTGTAGCCATGACCCCGACTAAGGTCGGGGTTTCCGAAATTAGGGTACCTTATTATTGTGGTCCTTACTATAAGGGAATCCTACTATTGGGGGTCCATATGAGGGGCCTCTTATCTTCGTAAACCCTCTGGTGCACCTAGCCCCACCTATGAACCACCCATGCCACGCAAAAGCTGATGGCACGAGGACTTCAACAAGCGAACACTGCTCGAGACGGCCCACACCCTGCCCTTGCTGCTTGGTGCTTAAACGGTTAGGGTTTAGGGTTTAGGGTTTAGGGTTTAGGGTTTAGGGTTTAGGGTTTAGGGTTTAGGGTTTAGGGTTTAGGTCTCTATTGTAGTACATTCCTTATTTTTGTAGCGTAGGGTAGCTCTGAACCCTAAGCCCTTCACTACGAAAGGCCTAATGTTAACGTTTCGCAGCCCGACTCGGCCGTGGCCTGCCCAGTGGCGAAGCAACCCAAACCGGAGATGGGTTTAGGGTTTAGGGTTTAGGGTTTAGGTGTGTGAAGGTGCTCTGAGGCTTCAGGGTTTTGAAGATGTCTTCCAAATACTTGATCCTGTAAAAGGATGTAAGAGAGGCTTCGTGCAATCATGCCCTTTTGGAGATCCTGTTGTAACATGCGTGCTCATGTATAGACCACCCCACATGTGGGAGTGGCAAAACAAGAAAAACGAGCAGGCAAGGAAACGCGAATAGAGGTAGTGAAGGGTGGGGGCGGGCTAAGAGGGAGGAGAGGTGGGGGACAGAAGGAAACGCAACGGCTCTGGGGAGGACCAGGGCTGCGGAGGGATTCAAGGTGGGGTACCTGCCTTGTGTTACTCATACGGCCCGAGGCCTCGGTGAATTTGGACCACGATACCTCTTGGAGCTTACTAGCCATAGAGCACAGGCTCATAGATGCGAAGGTGAGTACAAAAAGGAGCCACAACTACCAATATCATCCCCGAATCATCCCATAATATACTACCTTGTTGAGCAAATGTGGCAGTCGGCCCCTGCAGTACCAATCGCGTCGTAGATGCCAGTTGCACTTTCTGGAGCGCCCTTAAATGCGTCAACATCTTAAGCCTAAACCCTAACCCCTAAATCCCGGAATGAAACCCAAAAGGTTTGGCGCCGGCTGCAAATTCTGGCGGGCCCCAGATGTACAACACCCGGACTTTCGGCGGGGAATCAGGTTTGCACCCTGGGTTTTGGTTTTTAGGGCTTAGGGCTTCGGGCCCTGAAGGATTTTGAGTTTTTGGGATGCAGCCTTGACATGTTTTGCTATGTCAACCTTCATCTGGGGCATCATAGGGTTTGGGGACGTTTGGGGCGAGTAGGGGGGTGCAGAGACGGGGAGGGGGGGGGCGGGGCGGGGCAGGGGGGAAGGTCCGAAGTCTTGGTTCCCGCTTGTTGAGTGAAGCCAGGCCCTGTTTTTTCATGTAGGAGTGCGTTCTCGGCCACTGCAGCAGTCAAAAGACTCTGAGACTCTCCGTCTGGACTGCCAGCCTACCAGGAGTCCCAGGAAATATATTTGCGTTGTCATTCGCTTGCTTGCTTGCTTGCTCGCTGGCTTGTGTCGTGTCCGTGTGCACCTGCGTGTGCGAGTGCGCGTGTGTCTGTCCGTGCGGTCTCTTTGTTCCTAAGAACAGTAAACCCTACAACGCCCCATGCCCTAAACCCCAAGCCACCCCTTTCGCCCGAAAAGCGCCCAAAGCAAAGGACACCAAGGGGCAGTACTTCGTGGCGGAGTCTGTGGACTATCGGTTGAGACCCATCCGAGGTCCCTGGTTGCAGGGTTTCGGTGGTTTAGGGTTTAGGGTTTGGGGTTTAGGGTTTAGGGTTTCCGGTGGTTTAGGGTTTAGGGTTTGGGGTTAAGGGTTTAAGGTCTGAGGTTTAGGGTTCACGGCTTCGGGTTTAGGGATTAGCGTGGGTTTGGGGTTTCGGCGGTTGAGGCTTGAAGGCCCCGCTCTGTCACATGTTGAGGTTAAGTGCAGTCAAAGCTCTGAAAACTTTTACAACCCTAAACCCTAAACCCTAAACCCTAAACCCTAAACCCTAAACCCTAAACCCTAAACCCCAAATCTTGTGGGGTTTCGGGTCGAGAGCATGCTCTCGAGGGGCACGCCTTGGGGGGGCTCCAACTCCTCGGTTGGGTTTAGGGTTTAGGGTTTAGGGTTTAGGGATTAGGGTTTAGGGTTTAGGGTTTTGGGTATTGATTGTGGGCTGCAAGGGGGCGTTTGAGGTTTTGGCTTTCGGGGGCTGTTGGAGGTCGAGCGTCAAGCTCTCAGCATCTGCGATGGCTCAGAAGGGGGCGTTGAAGAACCCTAAACCCTAACCCCTAAACACCAAACCCTAAACCCCAAACTCCAAACCCTCTCAAAGGTGACATCCGCGGCACTCAGTACGTGTTCGGTCGGCCAGTTCCTTGGTCATAGTTCGGTATCATGTTGCATTTTTAAGGGTTCTTAAACCCAATAAGGAATAAAAATCTAAATTTTCAATACGACCCCAACCATGAACTAGGTTCGAGGCGGCATTGCGCCCATTGCAAAGTCGCTCGGGTGGGCGCGCTCAGTCTTGGCCAGACACATGGGATTTGGGATGGGCGGAGATCCTGGCGCCTCCTAAACCCTAAACCCTAAACCCTATACCCTAAACCCTGCACAAGCCCCCCAAAAGAAGCCCCAAAAGTTCGCTGAGGTCTTGGCGCTACGAGTTCCCCGAGAACGCGCACCCTGCCGTGTACCGACCGGCCTTCCCCGCGATGAAGAGCCAAGAGGAGTCTGAGACGACTGAGAGCACCGAATGAGGGTTTAGGGTTTAGGGTTTAGGGTTTAGGGTTTAGGGTTTAGGGTTTAGGGTTTAGGGTTTAGGGCGGCTAGGCGGGCTGAGGGAGCTTCGGGCTTTAAGAAATACGTAGAGGACTTGCCAGTGGGCAGGTCTGGCTTGGTTTGGTGTGATGGTTTCTAGAAGCTACCATAGCTTCTAAACCCTAAACCCTAAACCCTAAACCCGAAACCCCGTGTCCGCGAGCGGCCGGCATCTCCAAGTGAGCCGGGCGGCCAAAAAGTGCACTCGAGCATGGAGCTAGCTACTGTTTGCTCAAGAACCCCCGAGCAATAAAACATGTTCTTCCCTATAAGGGTAATAAGGGAATCATTCATGTTTGTGGGGTTTTCAAGCAAATGGCAGCAGGCAGAGCGGAATCTTCAGATCACTGCGGAGGAGGTGTTGCACACCTGGGGGACCAAATAAACCCTAAAATTGGGTTCATATCCCAATACTACTACAACTCCTTTTAAGGTATATCAACCTTTAACTTCACTTGGTCTCCAAGGCACATGGTGCTCGTAAATTTGACGGCTCAAGCCTTGGACCAGTGGCGTATGGAACGCAGGGCTTCTTCGTTTAGGGTTTAGGGTTTAGGGTTTAGCGTTTAGGGTTTAGGGTTTAGGGCTTCTTCGCACAACCTCGCAGTGCTCGTAGATCTGTTCCGTTATAAGTCCCTGTTGGGATTGATCGGTGGGACAGGAAGACAGAGCACTCGTCCCTGAGAACTCAGAAGCCATGGCGTACAAAACCCAGACACCCTAAGCTTGGTAGCTGAGTGGTACCCTTGTGCCCTTGTTGGGTTCCGGGACCCTGATTACAAGATGCCTGCTGGGCTACCAAGTAAAAGCCCTTCAATGTATAAAAGGCTCTGAACCCTTACTTCCTGAACCCCAAACCCTAAACCTCCCCTTCTCAGTTACCTCGCAGATGTTGCTCTTGCCTGGTGAGTCCCAGACTCTGAGCCACGGTGCGAAGACTGCGAAGAAGCAGAGTAGGGCGGAGGTTGCTACCCGTGCCCTGGCTAATTAAAGGAGAAGCTGCGGAGCATATGGGAGGGGGATGAAAAGTTGAGGGCTTTCATAAAACCCTAAACCCTGAACCCTGAACCCAGGTGGAGCCTCGGGTTCTAGCAGAGGGCTTGGTGACATGTAGAACGCCAGGGTTTCGGAGTTTCGGAAGGTGTAGGATCTAGACGGAAGAAGACTACGGGGTGCAAGCATCTGCAAGCAAGATGCTCCTGAGATGAGGCACCTATCGATATCTGGAGCCTCGGCTTGCTCAGGCACCGCTATGGTGTCTGATCTTCATTCTTGCTGTGCTGTTCGGAAGGTCAATATTAGAAACTATATATACTATGTGCTTTTGTTGATTTCAGTACAGCCTTTTTTGGTAGGCTGATGGCTGCAGTCCAGTCTCTAAAGCTCCTTACTGCAGTAAGGACAAATTCGGAGACGCCCGGTTGCAATGTGGCCACTGAGTCACAGAGACGAGTCATACCCCTGAACTGAACCCTACAACCCTCTAAGTTACCCTGAAACCCCCAGAGACCCTATGAGCCCTATAAACCCTGTAAACCCAAACCCGGATCCCAAGCGATACCCCTAAACCCCAAACTCTAAACCCTATACCCCTATACCCTAAACCCCAAATCCTAAACCCTGAGCCCCCTCAGGAAAGGACTGCCGAGTTCCCGGTGGATGCCAGCGAGGACGTGGCAGGTGCCGTCTCTTCTGCTTCGTCAGGGCCGCTGCGGGACTACCAGGACATGAGATCAGGTTTAGGGTTTGGGGTTCAGGGCTTAGGGTATGGGGGTTTCCGAAAGGAGGGTTGTACCCGGTTAGAGGGTTTTTAGAATAAGTAAAAAGGATTCTAGCATTTCGGTTTTACTTAAGTAGGGGAATACCTATATTGGAGAGGGGGAGGGTGGTTAACTAGGGCATCTTGAATGAATACTTGGGGGGCGGGGGGGTGTGATCAAGAGGTCGGCCTTTGCGCGTTGGCCGTTTTAAGGGATTCAAAGTTCAATCTTGGAATGTTCTCACTTATACTAACCGTCCTGAATAGGGATTCGAATAGGTTCATTAGAATCCCTGGGAAGGACTGCTAGCTTAAGGCTAAACCCTAAACCCGAAACCCTAAACCCTAAGCTGAAGTTATCGGGTTTCGTGTGGTGGTTGCGGCATGAAAGCAGGACAAGCTGAAAGCGATCCAGCTGCGCGAGACGCTCTATTTGAGTTTCAGCCGTCGCCGTTTGTCCTTCGCATTTTGTCACCCTAAACCCCAAACCCTAAACCCCAAACCCTCAACCCTAAACCCTAAACCCCCCGTATAGCCACAGATCTAAGGAAGGGCCTGTCGAAAGCGGAGATTGCCGAGAAGGTGGGTCGCTCTGAGCACTGGGTCAAGAGGCGCTTGGGAAAGAGCCCTAAACCCTACCCTAAACCCTAAACACCCCTCAACCCTAAGCCCCACTGAGATCCTCTGAACCCTGTAAGACCCAAGACTCGAGGGCTCAAGGCCCTGCAGCCCTTAAACACTACAGCCCTACGGGTTTAGGGTTTAGGGTTTAGGGTTTAGGGTTTAGGGTTTAGGGTTTAGGGTTTAGGGTTTAGGGTTTAGGGTTTAGGGTGCCCTAAACACCCTTGCGAGGTGGTGGCGTGAGCATCCCGCCACCCTGGAGAGACCGGTGGGCTCCCGCGACGTGGTGCTCCAGCGCGCGTCCCTGAACTCCTTCCGTGATCTTGAGATCAGGCTCGCCGAAGTCCGGTCCCTTAAAGGAAGTACCCCCGAAGATTAGGGCCCCTAAACCCTAAACCCTAAGCCCTAAACCCTAAACCCTAAACCCTAAACCCTAAACCCTAAACCCAACTCTGCCAGGCGCGGCTTTGCCAACGACGCCGCGACCTTTGACAGCTTGGTGAAGCAGGCCGTACTGTCAATGTCGCCCGCGGCAAGCGGGCATTGACCAGAAGAGGGGGAAAACTTCACATGCCCCAAAAAATTCGAGTCCTTGTTACCACCAAGAAAAAGGGTACAGCCCTCATGTAGCTGACACCTAAACCCTAAACCCTAAACCCTAAACCCTAAACCCTAAACCCTAAACCCTAAACCCTAAACCCTAAACCCTAAACCCTAAACCCTAAACCCTAAACCCCCCCCCCCCCCCCGCCGCCGCCAGCTCGCAGACCGAACTTCGGTAGATTTTCAAAGCCCCCGCTGTGCTTTTGCCATGCAGCGCCCGATCGTACTGCTCTGTGCCTCGAGCTTGTACTCTTGAGGGTTTAGGGTTTAGGGTTTAGGGTTTAGGGTTTAGGGTTTAGGGTTTAGGGTTTAGGGTTTAGGGTTTAGGGTTTAGGGTTTTTATCGCTAACAAACCCTAACGTTAAAAGACCCTAAATGCTTGTACGTTTAAGGGTTTGGAGGCTGGAGAGGAGTTTAAGGAGGGGAAACCTGCAATCCAAAGACCCCGAAGCCACCGGCTTAGGGTGCATAAGGCTTACGCAGTGCGTAGTCCAGGGCAGAATCCGAATAGGATCCCCAATGATGGAAAAGGTTGATCAAGGGCCTAGTAGGTTCAAGACTAGAGCGGCCCTAAAGTTCCTAGTCTCATGCCATTATGCCGATCACCCAGGTGCATGGTTCCTTGCAGCATGGGGAGAGGACGTGGACTTCTTTCCGGATAGCCAGAGGGCTTGCCATGGGACGTCATGCTTAGATCAGGAAGACGCGGCACTTCTGCAGGCCACATCGCAGGCCGTGAAGCCTCATGGTCCTAGCAAGGGCAAGAAGGTCGGCCACACCAAGGCCACCTATTACCCGGCCGCGCATCCAGGCAAGAAGCTCGGCCACACAAAGGGCAAGAAGGGCAAGAAGGCGCCGGCATCAGACCCATCGGAGCCTGCTGCTTATCCAGGCAAGAAGCTCGGCCACGTGAAGGGCAAGAAGGCGCCGCCATCAGACCCATCGGAGCCTGCTGCTTATCCAGGCAAGAAGCATGGCCACACGAAAGACAAGAAGGACAAGAAGGCGGGCAAGAAGCTCGGCCACACGAAGGGCAAGAAGGCAGGATACTATCCGGAGCCAGCAGCAGAGGTGGAAACGCATCTTGACTCAAGTGGCCAAAGTTGTGCACCTTTCTTCTTCCAGTTGCAAAAAAACCCCAAGTGCACTGTGTCATAGTGGTCCAGGTTCGAACTCCTAAGGCCTAAGCCCTTCAAGAGCCCTCAGCCCTGCCACACTTTGAACCTACAGAAACACAACTAGGCCGGAAATGGATGAGATGCCGGAGGCGCCTGAGGCGCCTGAGGCGCCTGAGGAGTCCGAGTTGCCCTCCGAGCTGCAGGATGAAGACGAGGTGCCGGATGAAGATCAGGAAGACGCGGCACTTCTGCAGGCCACATCGCAGGCCGTGAAGCCTCATGGTCCTAGCAAGGGCAAGAAGGTCGGCCACACCAAGGCCACCTATTACCCGGCCGCGCATCCAGGCAAGAAGCTCGGCCACACGAAGGGCAAGAAGGACAAGAAGGCGCCGGCATCAGACCCATCGGAGCCTGCTGCTTATCCAGGCAAGAAGCTCGGCCACGTGAAGGGCAAGAAGGCGCCGCCGTCAGACCCATCGGACCCTGCTGCGTATCCAGGCAAGAAGCATGGCCACACGAAAGACAAGAAGGACAAGAAGGCGGGCAAGAAGCTCGGCCACACGAAGGGCAAGAAGGCCGGATACTATCCGGAGCCAGCAGCAGAGGTGGAAACGCATCTTGACTCAAGTGGCCAAAGTTGTGCACCTTTCTTCTTCCAGTTGCAAAAAAACCCCAAGTGCACCGTGTCATAGTGGTCCTCGAGGTTCGAACTCCTAAGGCCTAAGCCCTTCAAGAGCCCTCAGCCCTGCCACACTTTGAACCTACAGAAACACAACTAGGCCGGAAATGGATGAGATGCCGGAGGCGCCTGAGGCGCCTGAGGCGCCTGAGGAGTCCGAGTTGCCCTCCGAGCTGCAGGATGAAGACGAGGTGCCGGATGAAGATCAGGAAGACGCGGCACTTCTGCAGGCCACATCGCAGGCCGTGAAGCCTCATGGTCCTAGCAAGGGCAAGAAGGTCGGCCACACCAAGGCCACCTATTACCCGGCCGCGCATCCAGGCAAGAAGCTCGGCCACACGAAGGGCAAGAAGGACAAGAAGGCGCCGACATCAGACCCATCGGAGCCTGCTGCTTATCCAGGCAAGAAGCTCGGCCACGTGAAGGGCAAGAAGGCGCCGCCATCAGACCCATCGGAGCCTGCTGCTTATCCAGGCAAGAAGCATGGCCACACGAAAGACAAGAAGGACAAGAAGGCGGGCAAGAAGCTCGGCCACACGAAGGGCAAGAAGGCAGGATACTATCCGGAGCCAGCAGCAGAGGTGGAAACGCATCTTGACTCAAGTGGCCAAGGTTGTGCACGTTTCTTTCCAGTGGTGGTTTGTGCATCTAGAGTTGGCCGTCCGCTTCTGCAAAATTCCCAGCTGCACTGTGTCGTAGTGGTCCTCGAGATTCGGGCTCCTAAGCCCTGGGCCCTCCAAAAGCCTGCCGTTCTTTGAACCTACAGACGCACAACTAGGCCAGAAATGGATGAGATGCCGGAGGTACCTGAGGCGCCTGAGGAGTCCGAGCTGGTGATTCGTACCTCTCAAGTAATACAGTTATATCATGATGCATCATGGGGAAGTAGCAACTCAGAATCAGTAATTGGTATTGGTTTAATGGCCAGTCAGTAAGTAGTCTTTCGTCACTAGCGAGTAGCACTTATTAGTAAGTCGCAGTGAAGAACTAATCATCAGTACTGATTAATCGCAAGCCCCCAAAACCCCAAACCTTGACCCTGCGGCGTTAGTGAGCTTGGGGGGCGTAGAGGCTTGCCGGGGAGGACCCCTGAAGCCGTGTGGCGCTAGCATTACAAAGCCTGCCATCATGCGCTCGTTGTTTGTGCTCGTGTCGTGTGGTGTTGCCAGGTGGAGCTTGGGAGGGGCTTCTCCCGTGCGGAGATTATGGGTTTAGGGTTTAGGGTTTAGGGTTTAGGGTTTAGGGTTTAGGGGGTTCAGGAGGAGCTCCTGGGGTCCCAGCAAGGGGGCTCAGGTCGAGTTGGGAAGGCGGGAAGGAGACGAGATTCGGTCCGCTTGTCCCACGGCGAAAGTGAGGCGAACTTGAGACTAGCAAGTATTTATGAAAAGTCGCCACCAGCAGTTGATATTTAGCAGTTAGTGGCGAGGATGAGGACGAGGATGCGGGCGAGGATGAGGATGAGAATGATGAGCCGGATGAAGATCAGGAAGACGCGGCACTTCTGCAGGCCACATCGCAGGCTGTGAAGCCTCATGGTCCCAGCAAGGGCAAGAAGGTCGGCCACACCAAGGCCACCTATTACCCGGCCGCGCATCCAGGCAAGAAGCTCGGCCACACGAAGGGCAAGAAGGACAAAAAGGCTCCGGCGCCGCCATCAGGCCCATCGGAGCCTGCTGCTTATCCAGGCAAGAAGCTCGGCCACGTGAAGGGCAAGAAGGACAAGAAGGAGCCGGCGCCACCATCAGACCCATCGGAGCCTGCTGCTTATCCTGGCAAGAAGCTCGGCCACATGAAGGGCAAGAAGGGCAAGAAGCCGCCTGCGCCATCAGACCCATCGGAGCCTGCTGCGTATCCAGGCAAGAAGCTCGGCCGCGCGAAGGACAAGAAGGACAAAAAGGCGCCATCGGACCCGGCTGCGTATCCAGGCAAGAAGCATGGCCACGCGAAGGACAAGAAGGCAGGATATTATCCAAAGCCGTCACCAACACCAACACGCATCTTGACTCAAGTGATCAATGTTGTGCTCGTTTCTTTCAAGCTACTGGGGTTGAACGTCCCGCTGACAAATCCTGTTTTGACATTGCCAAGCCCTAGAAGCTTTGAACCTACAAGCAAGCAAGCAAACCAGGCCGGTAACGGATGAGATGACGGATGTGCTTACGGTTTCTGAGTCGGCCTGAATTGGGGCTTTGGTTAAGGTTTTGGGTTTAGGAGTGGTATTGTTCAAGGTTTTGGGTTTTAGGCTCCCCGTTCAGCAGAGTGCTAGCTTCGGGTGGAGCATTGCCGTCAGATTGGTGGCTGCACAGCAGCCCACCTGATTTTAAAAATGCGCGGCTTTTCAATTACAAGCGCACTTGTTGAAGCAACGGCGCAGTGATAAAGGCAACCATGCTGAGATGCTGAGTTGGATGGGTCCCCTAAACCCTAACTCCGGACTCTTTCCTTACGCTCAAATCGGAGGTTCCTTGGCGACAAGCCAAAGTGGTCGCCCGAGATCTGAACACAGGAAGCCGTTGCTTGTGGCTATGTTTTTTTTTGGGGGGGCGGGCGGGGGGGGAGGGGGGGTTGAGGGTTGTCGGAAGAATTAGGTCTCTAGGCAAACTTTGGAGATTTTGAGTTTTTGGGTTTTTGGGGTGTTCAGGTTTGGGGGGGTTGTGGGGTTGGAGGGTTTTAGGGCCTCAGACCCGCCCTCAAGCCTCAAAGCCGCGGAGGAGAGTTGGGTCTGAGATACAACGAGAAGGGGGAGAGCTTGAATGCAGGCTGCGAGGGGCCAAAGAGAACCCCCCGAAAGCCTGCATAAGCCTAAACCCTAAACCCTAAACCCGAACATCACACCCCCCCCCCCCAATTCTGGCTGCTTCATAAGCCCCAGACAGCCCTAAGCTCGAAAACCTTAAAGCCCTAAAACTGTCAGGGTAGGTTCCCTTAATATGGGCCCTTAGTTGGGGACCCCTTATATACCCCGTATATGGACCCTCAAGGTTGTACCCTTCGGTTTTGTGGACCCTTTTGAACGATCCTTAAGGTGGTATCAGGAGCAAAAGGGGGAACCCTTAGGGCCCTAAACCATAAACCCTAAATCCTCAACCCTGAACCCTAAACCCTAAGCCCTGAACCCTAAAAAAACCCTAAACCCTAAACCCTAAACCACCCTAAACCCTAAACCCTACACCCTAAACCCAACCTTGAATCCAGGCCGGCAGGTCGCAGACTACTCGGGCGGCCTGGACTTCCTTGACAAGCTGCTGCAGCGGGTGCCGTTCGGCCTCGAGCTCTGGGGTAGGGTTTAGGGTTGAGGGTTTAGGGTTCAGGGTTCAGGGTTTAGGGTTCAGAGTTTAGGGTTTGGGGTTTGGGGCTCAGGGCTCAGGCTTCAGGTTTGTATATGATCACTTGATTATGTAGTATATTAGTATATCTATATGTTATTGCACTATTATCTTTCATTTTTACATTTTTACTATATACTATATACCATGCTATTATCATACATTCAAGGTGTAGGGTTTAGGAACCCAGGTTTTCCGAGATGAACATCCGCGACCCACAAGCTCGGATCTTTATGAATTTCTACGTGGACGGCAAGGACAAGGCGGCGGGTTCATCGGTAGTTGGGGATCAGCTCTGCTCAGGGAGAAAGAATGCCACTAAACCCTAAACCCCGCTCAGGGAGAAAGAATGCCCCAGAACAGGCAGTCAATGTTGATTCGTCTGCAGGTCTCACAACACCGGCACGACTTCTGGACATGCCTGTGACCTGGCAGTTTTAGGGTTTAGGGTTTGGGGTTTGGGGTTTCGGGTTTAGGGTTTAGGGTTTAGGGTTTAGTAGGATCCCCTGAAAAGAAGGACCGCAATAAGGTACCCCGAGTATCGTACACCCCGGGATGAGTTGGGCATTCCTTCATGTGTTTTCCAAGTCTCTCCTGCCTCATCATCAGAGGGTAGGTACATGGCCCTTAACATGGCCCCTTACCTTCTTTAAAGGGTTCTGAAGCAAGGGCCCCTGGGGGTTTAAGAGGCTATGTAAGGGGCCCCCTCTTTTAAGGGCTCATAATACTACCATAAGTGTGGCCCCTTACCTTCTTTAAGCACGGGCCCTGGGGGTTTAAGAGGGTCCCCTCTTAAGGGCGCATACTACCATAAGACAACCGCAGGCTGTCCTTCGGCTCCCCTCGCATTCTGACTGTGGACGGCAAGCCCATCCTGATGCGGGATGGAGACCTCATTGTCTTCGGCACGCAAAACCACGGTGTCCCTGTAATGTCCCGGCCTCGGACCTTGTCTTAGATGGTAAAAACTCTGTAGTAATGAAGTATCTAATATATATATATATGTGTATATATATATATATATTATATGTATACATACTATCTAGTACATAACATAAAGTATGTGATGTATACCTTCCCCATTGTATGGCAAGGCAGCGGCACTTCTCATGCCTTCTGCCGGCTGAGGCCCGACATCACGGGTGGCCGCGTGTCGTTGGTCATTTTCTTTTATCCGGATGCAGACAACCTGGAGCGCCAATGGCAGACCATAACCGAAGAAGACGACGAGGGCAAGTCTACTGTTACCGATGCCGCAGCCCTACACATAGCCTACTAGTTGCTTAAGAAGCCCCCCCCCCCCCAAAACATTAAGAAATGTTCTTCCTTGCAACGGCAATATCGGGATCATCATCTTTGGTTTTTTGGGGGTTCTTCAGCAAATAGTAGTAGCTTCCACTCGCAGTCTTCCTTGTATTTTGGTTTTGCAGCTTGAGTTTTTTTGGCTGCATATCAAGGCCCGGAATCTCAGCGTTGGCATCGACAAGCACTTCAATCCCACTCTGCTTTGGGGTGGAGGGAAGACAGAAACGCCCCTGGGCTATGCAAATGTCGCAGGCCTCTTGTGGTGCGTGGATAGCATGAAGCAGGGTCTAGAAATGTCTGCATATTTGTGTTTTGTATATTATCTTTGATGTATTGAATATTACATATTTTGCTTTTTGTACATTTTGATTTTTTCTTCTATATTGCAGCTGCTGTGTCATTCACGGTGCTGCGGTTAGGCTCGCGCCTCCCTCAGAAGTAGGAGGGGCGCTAATCTTCGGTTTAGGAAACTGGCTTCCGTAGGCAGGCCAGGGAACGCTCTTCTATATTGTACGATATATTATATTCTGTGTACTATATGAGACATGGAGAGACGTTCTGAGGAAGGGAGCAGACGCCTGTGATGGCTGCGGGGATTGCGCCGAGTCCGTGCTGGAGCGAGCACTTGACCCGACTACCGTGAAGAGGCTCCCCAAAACTCGTAACTATACTAACAGTCCGTAAATTGGGAGGGTTTAGGGGTTAGGGTATTATAATACCCCCCGATTAACAAGAAGCTTTAAGAGCCCGGGACCGCAGCAACGCTGGAAATCCCAAGCTGTCCCAAAAGCTGGAAGCTGATATGGGGGTTCACGAAAATAAGGGACCCCCAATATAGACCCCCAAATAGGAGGATCCCCCCTACAATAAGCCCTAAACCCTAAACCCTAAGACCCCAAGAAGGTACCCCTAATAACTAATATCGTAAACCCCCACATGCGCGCCTGGCGAGGGAGCTGCTCAAGAGCCCCAACTCCAACATGCAGTTCAATGGTGCCCCCAGGGCTTTAGGGTTTAGGGTTTAGAGTTTAGGGTGAGGATGCCAGACGCGGTTCAGGGTGTAAGGACTAGGACTTGGAGTAAGCCCTTATTCACTTTTTTTTTTTTTTTTTGGGGGGGGGGGGGGGGGGGGGGGGGGAGGGGGGTTAGGTTCCCTGCAGTGTGCCCCTTTGAGCCAAAAAGGCCACCCCTGGTTATTCCCAGGTTACTCTTTGGGTCTCGGTTCACACTACCGTGGTGTGAAAGTCTGCGTAGACAGGCGTTGCAGTGGCAGACGTTGTAAGACCGGTGTCGGTTCTGACCGGCGCTTGGGCTGCGTGCCCTGTGCGCAGAACAATAGCAACCATCACAATGGTACTCACAGTCAGAACAAAGGCATGAATAAGAAAAACAACAATCACAACATTAATACGAGCTACGGCTATAGCAACAAGAACAGATCTGAAGCACTCAGACCTAGCGCTTGGTTTGGTGGAGCCAGAAGCAGGTACTCAGCCGAAGCCAGCAGCTGCTGGCGAAGTGATCATCTACTCCATAGCGACTGGCGGGCAGGTGGCTGGTGGGTTCAGGGTTTAGGGCTTTAGGGGTTTAGGGTTTAGGGTTTAGGGCTCGGGGTGCTACTCCATGGCGACTCGCGGCCAGGTGGGGGTTCAGGGTTTGGAGGCATTTCAGAGCCTAGAGTTGCGAGCTCAGGTGTGCCGATCCCGATGAGTTTCAGTGATAAGCTTGCATTCGCAGCGCCGCAGCGTACCACAACAGCATCCTTTGAGGATCCGAGGCCCTAGAACTCTAATTACTCTGCTTCTTGCTCCTGAGACGTAGAGACCGAAGCACCAAACGGGGGTCCAGTCGCCCTGACCGAACCTTGGGAGGTTGGATATGGGGGCGAGGAAAGGCGTGTGGAGGAGAAGGACTTCTTCAAGTGGCCACGCCCTGAGGATCTCTTTCAAGGTTTTGTACAAGAACTATCGACTGGTTTTTAGTAGGGGAATGAGGGACGTGTGTACCCTATCTAATCCTTTGAAGGGTTTATTCAGGGGGATACAAGGTACTGTCTATTTTCCCTCGGGTAGTTCACAGGCTCACGCCCTGGCCTTTCATGATATTCATGGTGCGTTCACTTTGCTTTCTTCACACAAATGATTTTCGTATTTTGTTACTATTATTCCAAAGAGTTTAATGAGCCCCGATATGATAGTTGTAGGGGCTAATGAACAATCATTCACTTTGTTCACTCATGTATTCTGAACAGGAAACTCACGCTTCATGGTATTCATTGCAATTTCTCTATCCCTCTCATTTTGGCCGTTAGCATCTCACTCTAGCGCCACTAAACGAATACTACAGGGCGCTCACCCTACTTAAAGCCTTAGATGCCCATTCTGGGGATCCTCAGGCTCACCCACCACGGCGTGACGGCCCTTTGGGATCTTCGCTTCCCGGTGCCTCGCGCGGGCGAGTGGTCGGAGCCGACGGCACTGAAGCTTGATGGCAGTGGGGGGGGGGGGGGGGTGGGGGTTGAGGAGTTCGGGTTTACAGGGTTTGTTGGGTTTACGTGGGTTTAAAGGGTTTCTGGAATCTATAGGGTTTATGGGGTTTAAAGGGTTTATAGGGTTTATAGGGCTTTTTTTCCGGTTGAAAGGGCGCTTATAGGGTTTATAGGGCTTAATGGCGGGGTTTGAGGATTTAGGTTTGGGATGCTCTCCCTTATACGAGCAGTCCTGAATAGGATTATAATAGGGGGTACTAGAATCCCTAGTAAGGACTTGTTAGTAGAAGGAAAAACATCCCGAGATTTAGGGTGTATCAGGTTTAGGGTTGAGGGTTGTGAACTGTCAAGGCGAGAGTGGTTGAGAATCTGAGGATCTGAGAAATACATTCTTAAGCTTGAGGGCTCTACGGATTGAGGAGCTGCGGCTCAGGGGACCCTAAACCCCAAACCCCAAACCCTAAACCCTAAACCCTAAATCCTATAGGGCTAGGGCGGTTAGGGGTTTAAGGTGGGGGCTGAGAGAGTTCGTTTCGACTTCGGGTTGAGTGTAAACCACTATACCGATGGCGATGCGTGGACATGGGCATCTGTTTAAGGACGGTAGCTACTAATCTTAAGGATAGTAATTCCTGTCAGATGCCAGATAGAATCCCCAAAAAAGGGTAAAAGGTGTGCTCTACCCCTAAGATAGCCAGAAACCGAACATAGGAACCCCCAAAAAAGGGTACGAAGAGATGGATAACTAAGCCCTCACCCCTTTTGTTGAAGGGGAGTTGCTTTAAACTTGTTTGTATTTACGTAAGTTATTTTATGGGGGGGGGGGCTGTTTTCCACCCCACCCCACCCCGCAATAGTTCGACTTTGAGTTGGCTGGTCATAAAACTTCGAACCCCAAAAAAGCCTTAAGTCCCAAACCCCCTGACTTCCTAGACCAGGCCCCTACGACCCTCAGCCCCTAAAGCCTAGAGTTTAGGGTTTAGGGTTTAGCCCTTACCCTAAACCCCTAAAACCCTAAACCCCTGAAAGTGCAGGGACCCTAATCCCCCCCCCCCCCAAAAAAAACACAGACACAGCCCCAAGGAAACATCTCGGCCTTCCATCCAAGAAGTTCTCGGCCCTACTTGAAGGTTCATGGTACTTATTAACCAATTATAACTGTACTTTATCTTATATATACATATATATATATTTATTTATGGATTTATATGTATGTATTAGGGCACTTAAGGGGCTTACAAGTGGGTTATAAGTACAGTTATACTTGGTTTGCAAGTGCCCTGAACCTCCAAGTAGAACTAGGATGTTTGAGGAGCCCCCCCCCTCACCCTCCCCAAACCGGTTTAGGGTTTAGGGCTTGTCTCTGAATTGCGAAGCCCCCAAGCCCTAAACCCTAAACCCCTAACCCCTAAACCCCTAAACCCCTAGACCCTAAACCCTAAACCCCAACCTCCTACCCCAAAACGCTTTACCCGGCCTAGGAAGCGGGGCTGCGCGGCGAGGTCGGTGGCCTACCGCCACCCGGCGGCAAGCCGTGGGATTGGGCCCTAGACCTTCAAAGGGTTTAGGGTTTAGGGTTTAGGGTTTAGGGTTTAGGGCTTAAGTTTAGGGTTTATGGTGTAGGGTTTAGGGCTTAGGGCTTTAAACCCCAAACCCTGAACCCTAAACCCCTTATTGGGTTGAAGAGGGTCGTATGTAGGAATGTGCTTCAGGGCCATCCTAGAACCTCTCAACCCCAAACCGAGAATTGTGCAGGTGTGGGCGGATGTTGATTCCAGTACGGCCCCTTCATCTTCTACTATGAGCTTAAGAACCCCCAACAAACCTTTTGAAAACAAGTATATGTATGCATGTGTACATATATATATATATATGTATCTTCTTCCGTGTAAGGGCAATACAGGGGGTCATTATCTTCTATTTTTGAGAAGTTCAGGGCTTACGGTTTAGGGTTTTGAGGCCGTGGAGTGCAGGATTTGCTGTTGAGTGGCGGGGCCCGCTTTTTTGCACAACAACGGCCCCAAGTGAAGGTCGTGGAATTGAGTTGACGATGCCCCCGGCTTGATTCGAAATCTGGAAGCCCTAACCCCACAGCTTAAACCCCTAACCCGAAGCAAACCCTGAAGTTGGGATGTTCATCATTGTACTACCAGTCCTTAATAGGGATTATCGTACCCCCTGTTTTAATCCCTACTAAGGCCTGTTAGTTTCAGGGGGAACATCCCAACCTAAACCCCTAAACCCCTAAACCCCTAAACCCCTAAACCCCTAAACCCCTAAACCCCTAAACCCCTAAACCCCTAACACGGAAGTGAATGATGGCATCCGGAGGCACGTACCCGTTGGGTCGGCGTGAAGCTGGAGGTCGGTTTGAGAAAACCCCGGAAAGCGGGAAGAGCTGGATGAATAAACTGCTTAGGGTTTAGGGCTAGGGTTTAGGCTTAGGGTTGCTTGGGGTCTACACATGGCAGAAGTTAGGCGTGAGGGTTTAGGGAAGAATACTCCTGGGGGGGAGCACTTGACATCATGTCCGCAACAGTTTGGGTCAGACAGTATGAGCATCTGGACCAAAGAAGCCCCTATGCACAAACCACAGTCTGTTGAGAGCGACATCTCTTTCGTCGTGATTCTTGTGGATATATGTATTTCTGTATACGTGTATGTATATATATATATACGCATACATATATATATATATAGATTCTGGTATCATATCGTTGTATACTTTTCTCTATCGGAAGATATGACAGAGCACTTCTGCCCGGAGGCTTGAAAGGGCACCTCCTGGCGGAGGAGGGCCGCGACGTACTGGCAAGGCTTGTGGAGGCCAGCGAGCGAGACATCCTAAATGGGTATTTAGGGTTTAGGGTTTAGGGTTAGTCCAATTCGTAAAGAGGACTTATATGTAGACTGGGCTCGTGCAAGCAAAGCCTTACAGGGTTCAGAGTCTGTCCTAAACCCTTAGCCGTAATTAGATTTGGATGGGCGTTGGCCACCTATAAGTCTGCGCAGCGCGCGGAGAATTTTGCCGGTGTCTGGCTACACCACAACCACAGCTGCGCGAGGATCCAAGACCCACCCCCCTGCCGCAAGGCCATCATGTGAAACGGGTGCAGGGAACACCATTTGGAGGTGCATGGGTACTTCTAACACCAGTCATAAGTCTGCTTTTAACCTTCTTAGGGGACATAGCGGGGCTGATAAGTGCTATGATTGGTGTGATAAGTACTCTGAACCTCCCAGCATGGTTTCGGGCCAAGTACACTGCCAGGCATAGCAAGCTTTGCCAGCATTTGTTTTCGCGGTATGTTCGCCCGGTGCCCCAAACCCCAAACCCCAAACCCCAAACCCCAAACCCCAAACCCCAAACCCCAAACCCCAAACCCCAAACCCCAAACCCCAAACCCCAAACCCCAAACCCTAAACCCTAAACCCTTCACGGGCGCAGGTGGCTCGAGAGGGCCGAACTGCCTTTGCTGTTTCACAGACGGCGCCTTCCCACGGCTCCGCTCGATGGGAGGCCTGCCGGGAGAAAACAGGTGTGCCAGGAAAGGACCCTGAACCCAAAGATTGGGGTTTTAGGGTTGGGGTTTTAGGGTTGGGGGTTTAGGGTTTAGGGTTTAGGGTTAGGGTCTTTACCTTTGTTCTAGATTGGGGTCCTGTCTCGCTGGAGGGTGGTGCCCCCCTCCGTTTTCCTCCAAAAAGGAACCCTAAAGCCTAAACTTTCCGAAGCCCCCCCGCCCCCCCGCTCCCAACACGCGTGAGTTTCCAGCCTTAGAAGACCTGTGCCTAAGGTGGCGAACGCTCTGGCAGCGCAGTTCGGCATTCGGGTGCTGCACATTCTTCCTGGGAGCCAACTCTGTGAGCACCTCTACGAGGCAGCAGCAGAGTCGCAGGCGCCTGAGGCGCCACGGAGGGGGGAGGCGGTTGAGGGGATTGGGGGGGCGATGCTTTGGTGTTTGCTGAAGTTAGGGATGTAGGGTTTACGAGGGGCGCGGAAGCATACTGTCTAGGGCAACTTGATTCCTGCCAACAACTGGAGGGCTTGTAATGAGTGAGGGCGTTATACCTGCTTAGGATTTAAGATACTGGGTTTAGATTTAGGCTGCGGCCCTGGGACGTCCTTTCGCGAAACCACTCAGCGACAAGGGCAGCCCACGAGAACGCACACCCCCGTCGTGGCGCACCAGAAACATATGCAGAGTAATTAGTATCTTCAACTCATGTACGCATATATACATATTTATATATATATATATATATTTATTTATATTTACATTTATATGCTTCTGCTATGTTACATATTATAAAGCAATTACAAGTTATGTATGAGATATCACAGTGTGTATAGTATATGTATATATATATATGTATGTAGCCTATTTACTTTTTGTTGATGTTTGTGTACTACAATATGTGTATTCACTCATTATTTGTTGATTTGTATCCAATTATCACTATTTTGTAATGACAAACAGTAATAAACATAGCAGAAGAATATCAGCAACAATAACAGTAGCACATCTTGTACTGTTGTACTATATGATGATACGTTTCACATATATATATATATATACATATAATCCAAGAAATTGGGAAGATGATCCCGATGTCTGCCGCAGGTTCAACAAGCACCGGAAGCTCCCCCTTCGAAAGCTGTTGACGAGGCATCTCCCTGTCGCAGATAGGTTTCGTATACCAGCTTCTGGGAAAGCGCTTCTAAGGCGCAGCAAAGCAGATAGGTAACACTAAGCCCTAAACGCTTAACCCTTAACCCTAAACCCTAAACCCGAATCCCTAATCCCTAAGTGCTGGGGGGTGCCACTCTCAGGCACCCGCTTCGCAGAAAGACGTCGCCGATGCGGGCGAAGCGGCCGCTTGAATAAAATGGACCCAGCAAAGGTTCGCAACTCGACCCTCCAATCCTCCAAGGCCTCTCTCAAACTTTTCGAACGTCTGCGCCCAAAGTCAGATTGGGCCCCTAAACCCTAAACCCTAAACCCTAAACCCTAAACCCTAAACCGTGCAAACCCTCAAGCTTTTGGGGCTGAAGGCAGGGCCTTGAAGTTTCAGGACCTCAGGCTGAAGGACTCCGAGCCATAAAGGCTTCGGCTTCGGGGGACTCTTCTGGGCCTCTGCATAGACATGGAGACCAGGGTTTAGGGTTTAGGGTTTAGGGTTTAGGGTTTAGGGTTAGGGCTCTGCATAGATCTGGAGCACCCGAACAACATACTACACTGTTACTAGGCCGCATCGAGACAGCTCAGGAACAAATTGTTCGTGACCCTAAACCCTAAACCCTAAACCCTAAACCCTAAACCCTAAACCCTAAACCCTAAACCCTAAACCCTGAACCCTGAACCCTGAACCCTAAACCCTAAACCCTAAACCCTAGCCTCGTTTGGCACAGCGGTGTTTACGAGGAATGTAGATCAAACCTGGGCAACGGAAGTTTGGGACATCTGAAGTTGGAACAGGTTTTTTTTAGTTGACGTGAGGGTTTGTAGATGGCAACATTCATGCTCCCCCCTTCGTTTTGAGGAATGGATGAACCCTGGGCTTAGGGTTTAAGGTAACCCATAATTCAGGTCCAATTCTGCCAGGCTCCTTCCTCAACCGGCGTGCGCAGAAACCGCTGGGGCCGAAAAGCTGGTTGAGATCTTGCAAGGACTCCAGCTGATATAAACATGGAATAGCAGCGTGAAATTGTAACAAGCGTATAGTATGATAATGCAATACCAAAATAGAACCAGTAGTACAAATAATCGTAAGATTACTACAATATAAACATCGAAGAATATAGAAATTTACGAATAAAATAGTACAATCAGCATCATCGCTCGATTCCTGACAGGAGTTCGCCGCGAAGCGACGACTTGGGCAGCCAACTCTGTATACTGACCCCTGACGTCCGCCTCGCCCTCGAGATCCCTGGCGCAAGGGCATCCAGATGCCGGCAAGCGAAGGAGCGAAGCGCAACAGCGACTTCCGCATGCGAGACGACGCCCTCAGTCAGCGAACTCAAGGCCACCGGCCTGATGGTGGTTGAGGCCTATGGAGCTGCAGCTGTCCCTTTGGCAATATACACGACGTGTCCTGCGTACTGAAGCCTGACAGCACGGTGCCGCGCGATGAAAAAGCCACACCTTGCGAAAGTAAGGGCGGCCCCTTCTGCCATGTCCCGAAAGCGCCCTCATGTAAGAAAGTCCCTTGTCAAGGTCAGCAGGGGAGTCGAGTGCTTAGGATTGCATCTCATAGTCCCCCAAACAATGAGCTCCTGAGGGTTGCCCCTTCCAAACCTTCGTCCCTCTTTAGGGTCTATGGCTTGGGGGTTGGGGTTTACGGTTTGGGTTTACGCCCCCCCCCCCCCCACTTGAGGAAGAGCGGACCCTCCTGGCGTCAGGATGGACACCATACATTCCCCTACTGCAACCCCGAAACCCTAAACCCTAAGCCCCCTTTTGTAGGATCGTTGACGAAGTGCGCGTCTTCAGACTTTTTTTGGGGGGGGTCGCCTTAGTCCAGGGCCCATGTTTACCCTAAACCCCTTCAAACCCTAACCCCTCAACAAACATTGTTTGTATATCATGTATGTTTATCTTACCCCTCGATTATATTATTGTTTTATGTATATATATATATATAAACCCTAAACCCTAAACCCTAAACCCTATATATCTCATGGCTCTATGGGGGTTTCCGAAGTTGGGGTCCCGATTATAAGGGGGATCCTACTATTTGGGCGTCCATTCCAGGGTCCCTTGTCTTCGTAACCTCCCACATATAATGTGTGTATATATGTGTATATATTTTTTATATACATCGACACAAACACCATGTTTTGGGTTGAGGGTTTCGTGCTTCCTGGAGCTTCCGCCCTTGGCACTTAACCCTTTTTGGGCCCGGACCCTCAGCCTTTTGGGCGTGTTGCAGACACTGCCCGAAGCCCTAAACCCCAAACCCTGAACCCTAAACCCCAAACCCTAAACCCTAAACCCTAAACAAACCCCGTGCACCCCAGGTCAAAGTTGGCCAGGTTGGGGCCGACGAAAGGGCCGGAGAGCTTCCAGGTGTTTTGGGGGCCCTTAGCTCGTGAAGGTTTAGGGCTTGGTTTAGGGTTTAGGGTTTAGGGCTTGGTTTAGGGTTTAGGGTTTAGGGTTTAGGGTTTAGGGTTTAGGGTTTAGGGTTTAGGGTTTAGGGTTTAGGGTTTAGGGTGAGGCTTCATGTACCCTCAACCCTAAACCGTGCAGGGGGGCCTCAGAGGTGTTCGGGGTTTGGGGATTTTGGGTTTTTCGCTCGTTGGCCCGGAGTGAGGGGCGAAACAGTCGTCACTTTGGATGTTTGGGTCCGTGAAATGAAACTGTCCTCGCTTTTGAATGTCTGGGTTCGCGAAATGAGGGCGGGTGGGAGGGGGAAGGGGGTGGGGGGGGGGGGGGGGGGAGGGGTAATGACGGGGTGCCCAAAATTAATTGGCTTGAGGGTGCAGTCGGCATGTGAGCTCAAACTATGTGCCGCCCCAGTACAGCTAATCTAGGGAACCCTAAACCCTAAGCCCTAAACCCTGTAGGGTGAGGCGGATACCTCTCACCTTGGGCTTACAGGGTGTGGCCCAAAAATCCATGGAACCCCACCACACCCAAAACGGCCCGTGAAATGTTCAGGAGGGGGCGGGGGTGTTGTTCTAAATGCTGGTCCACCTAAGCATCATGTAATTACATGTCTCGTAGGCTTCCTCTTACAGAAGAGCCCTAAACCCTAAACCCTAAACCCTAAACCCTAAACCCTAAACCCACTGGCAGCCAGGTCCTGAGCAAGGCCTACGCGCGTGCTGCTGAGTCGCAGCTCGTGAACGCGCCCAGTGCCATGGGTATGGAGGCCGCTTCTGGGTTTAGGGTTTAGGGTTTAGGGTTTTAGGGTTTTAGGGTTTTAGGGTTTTATGGTTTTAGGGTTTTTGGGCTTTGGGGATTCAGGGTTTTAGGGTTTTAGGGTTATAGGGCTTTGGGGTTTTAGGGTTTTAGGGTTTTAGGGTTTTAGGGTTTTTAGGGTTTTAGGGTTTTAGGGTTTTAGGGTTTTAGGGTTTTAGGGTTTCAGGGTTTCAGGGTTTTAGGGTTTTAGGGTTTTAGGATTTTAGGGTTTTAGGGTTTCTGCAGGCTTCACAGGCCTCAGTGTTTCTGCGCGCCCAAGAGGTCACAAAGTAGGCCCAGTCTGAGGCTTTGCCCAAGTTCCGCGGATCCCTGCTGCAGTGCCAGTCAGGGTTTAGGGTTTAGGGTTTAGGGTTTAGGGTTTAGGGTTTAGGGTTTAGGGTTTAGGGTACATCGTGCTCCAACTCCTTCCGCAGGAGGCCGTCGGCACCCTGGCGCTGGCGAGGCCTTTTGAGACAGTTCCGAGAGATGGTCGGGTGAATGCTGTGAGCAGAGATGTGCGATTTGAACGTACTCGGGGCTTCAGGGTTTAGGGGTTAGGATTTAGGGTATAGGGTTTAGGGTTTCAGGAAGCAGAAGCTAAGTAGATGTCCAGACTGACAGTTGTACAAAGTTGGCTTGGGCAACAAAACTTCGAGATACTGCGAGACAACCACCTGCATCTCCAACAGACTGCCCGTCGCCCTGCGACGTTCAGCGGCTAAGCGTGCGAGCGCACGCAGACCGCTGCTCCTTTGCAGCTTGCAGTTTAGGGGCGTTTTTGATGGCATGAGCCAAACCCTCTCTGGCAGCCAGGCGCCTAGCAGACGCGCGGACGCAACTTCTGTCAGAGCTGCAGCAGCCAAGACCCTGGACCAAAGTACGTACAGGGTTGCGGTGGGGGTGCAGGGTGCTGAAGCTTAGGCGCACACTAAGAGTGCAGCCTCTCAGTTCTCACATGCCAGATGCATGTGCCAAAAGCCTGCTTGTTGCCGCTTCAGCCGAACATTACTTCTAAGGCGATGTGAGTATCATGAGGCAGAGGCTTGGCGGAGGTTTCGGGGCTTTTTAGGGATTAGGGGCAAGTTGAAACCCCCCCCCCAACCCCCCACTCCCGTCCCTAAACCACTCCCAGGCATGCTTCAACCCCGGGCCAACTCCTGTAGGAAACTTGCTGCCTTTTGCCTTTAGGGTTTTTGGGCTCTTATGTATACAGCGTCTACATTACACATGTTTCTATTGGTGCGAACCCTACCTCATAAACAGCACCAAAGAAGTAAGTGCGGGGTTGTCTCTGCTGGGCTACCTGCCAATGTTGCCGCCCAGGCAGACCCATCGCCTTCAGGCAACACCTTTTAGGGTGTAGTTGTTTTGTTGGGAAGGAGTTCAGGCGGGGGGCGAGGGGGGAACCAAACCCCAAACCCTGTAAACCTTAAAGTATTGGCATGCAGGGTTCGCATCGCGCACACGCCAGCTACCTTTGAAAGGGTTCTTAAAAGAGGGGAGGATTTAGGGTTTCGGGTCCGGGCAGAGGCGGTGCCTATACGCCTTAGGGCAGTAAGGGCAGCCTTAGGCAGAGTACTCGTAGGGAGTACCAAACGACATTGCATTACTTACCCCTGATCTTAGGGACACTGTCTTGTCTGAAAGGTGCTTGGAGGCTTCGTGGATAAAGGGCTTAGGATGTTGAGGGTTTAGGGTTTAGGGTTAGTGTCAAGGAGAATCTCAAGGGTGTTTTGTAGTAGTAGTAGTAGTAGTAGTAGTAGTAGTAGTAGTAGTAGTAGTAGTAGTAGTCACAGCTGTGTGTGTGGAGTTGCACCTTATCAGCATGGGGCTTCGGCCGCGTGGGTCCATCTAGCAGTTTATGAAGGCTTAAACCCTAAACCCTAAACGCCTAAACCCCTAAACCTCTAAACCCTAAACCCTAAACCCTTTTTAGGGGCAGAGGGTTCAGGGAAGGACAGGTAAACATTGTCATGAGCTGGAAGTCAAACGAACTCCGGGAAGGGTGTCTAGTTTACCGAAAATAGGGGACCCCCATAGTAGACCCCCAAATAGTAGGATCCCCTTATAATAAGGACCCCAATAAGGTACCCCTAAACCCTGGACCCTGGACCCGAAACCCTATATGCTCTCATCTCTTGCAGGTGATCAGTACTGAGAAGTCGCAACTGTCTGGCGAGCTGAGCACGATCCAGGATCGCTCCAAGAAGCTGAAACTTTCTAGCCTCGGCAGAATACAAGGCTTCGTGATTCTTTACATTGCACAAGGGATGTTTCATGTTTTCCCACATTGGGTGTAAGAGGATTAGATTATTCAGAAATATTTTTTCAGTGGATTTGCTAAACTTGAGCCCTGGTTTCGGTTTGAGCTTCTGCCGGCGCAAAGAGGACAACCACGCCCTTCTCCAGTCCAACTACGACGCACTCAAGAAGGCGAGCGCAGATGAGCCTAGCAGTTGCAGCGATGCCTTATTTTGAGGGCGGGGGGGGGGGGGGCAATGCCTTTAAATGACGAAGCAGACCTTGAAGTCTTAAAGTGCACAGGGGATGGTTATGACCCTGAGGAAGATTCCTGAATTAGCCTAAACTTTTAACCCGAAACCTTAAACCCTAAACCCTAAACCTTAAACCCTAAACCCTGTTCGCTTCTGCATCCCGAACTCAGGGCGTCAGGGGTACGGCGCAAAAAGCGCTGCCATTTGAGATAGGCGTCAAATTGCCAGAATGCAACCGCTAGGAGTAGGCCCTTATTCCCCTTTTTTAGGGTTTAGGGTCCCTTATGTGCCCCTCTAGACCACAGAGGGCACCGATTTTTTATCCCAGGTTACTCCTGGGTCTAGGTAAGAATTGTCAGTGGAGCCCTTGAGTGGTTCGGAGCTCTTCCCCTAGATCATTATGGTTGCAGTCAAACTCAAGGGGGAACGCCCTTGGCTCAACAGGCAGCGGCGCCCGCTGATGGAGCTGCTGTTCCAGAGGCGGCCTGAGTGCTCTCCTTTTGAGGGGGGGGGGCTGGGTAACATGCGGCCTCGCGCTGGCACGCAACTTAGTAGCTGAATGAGTACACTTTGAGTACACTTTGCACTTTACACTGTTTGGGATACTATAATCCCATATAGAACTGAAAGTGTACACTTGTTGGGGGGCTTCTAAACCTAGCAACTAAGGCAACGCTGATTCCACGCCTACACAAGGGCAGCGAACGAGAAAGGAAAGCCCTTCCTGGACCTCCAAACCTGTAGCTTGTCATTCCCACAAAGCCCCTTGCAACCCCCTAAGCCCCCCTAAAACCCTAAACCCCCTGAACTCCAAACCCTATCCTTAAAACCCTAAAACCCTCAACCCGAAACCCTCCATCAGGCAGAAGAAATCGCGGGCATGTCTGGCGAGCTGCTCCGGAGTTCGAGGCAGGGGGGTGGGAGGAGGGGTGGGGGAGGGGAGAGGGGGGAGGGGAGGCGCTTTTCAGCATCGTCGAAGAAGATGGGTGCAACTCTCGCAACGCCGGTTCCCAGCGCGGAAAATTTCCTGCTCGGCACGCATGCCAGAAGTCAGCAAAGCTACAGCCACAAGCGGTGGCAAAGCATGTACGAAAGCGGCAAAGAACCGGATCCTCTAACCCAGCGGAAGCCCTGAACCCGCCGCTCTAAGCCCTAAACCCTAAACCCTGAACCCCAAGTGAAGGCAACGGGCCTTACTCGGCAGCATGGCCGTCAGCGCGCAGGCGCCGGCTTTTTACGGCTTAGGCCCATGGGGGACAAGTTCGGCTTAGGGTTCTTTTGATTATTCTGACTGTTATGATTTTTGATGAGCTATATACTATATATATACTATATATACTATGTATACTAGTGTTATTGGTAAATCAGACAGTTTTTGTTTGCATTGGCATGAACATTCGAATCTGTTTGTGGTGTTGGAGTTGCTATTGTTGCTGTCTTGAGTCTGGACCTTTGAGGTTCATTCAAGACCCTAAACCCTAAACCACTCTCAGCTATATATATATAGAGAGAGAGAGGCACACACGCATATATATATATATATATATATATATTATACATACATACATACATACATACATACATACATACATACATACATACATACATACATACATACATACATACATACATACATACATACATACATACATACATACATACATACATACATACATACATATACATATATGTATATGCATATGTATATGCATATGTATATGTATATGTATATGTAAAAATATGTTTGTATGTACAAAAACATTAAAATGTATGTATTATTTTAGTATTAGCGAACCTTAAGCCATTCGCGCGCATACAGCGGTTCGTGGGCCCTAGCATTTGCGTCAGGGCCCCGGCATAGGGTCAAGAGGGTTTAGGGCCTTGGCAGGGGTTGAGTCTCGGGTTTTGCTCGGGTTTCGGGTATAGGGTTTAGGGCCCCAGGGTTTTGGGGCATAGGCCTCATGGTTCGAGGCGTCGGGTTTGGGGGGGTTTGGGGTATAGGGTTTCGGGCCCTCGGGTTTAGGAGCATAAAGTTCAGGGCCCTTGGGCTTGGGGCATAGGTTTGGGGTTTCGAGCCCTCGGGCTTGGGGCGACATAGGGTTTTGGGTTTAGGGTTTAGGGTTTAGGGTTTAGGGTCCACTGCGGGGAGTTTAGGGGTTAGGGCTGGGCTTGGGGTTTGGAACCTTAGAGTTTAGGGCCTACCGTGTACATTTTCTTATTGTCATGGGATTCTGGGATTCTTTGGGCGAGTGGGTATTAAGCTGCTTGACTAGTGACAGCAAGGACATGAGATTGAAAACCCTACACCCTAAACTGGCCCTAAACCCCTGTGGCTCAAGTGGCGGGGGCTCCAAGAGTAGAGTCGGGCCTTTGTTCGCAACTCTTCCAGCTGCAGGCCACATCTCTCCGCGAAGCCCCAAGAAGATCCTGAAAACTGCCTTAGGGTTTAGGGTTTAGGGTTTAGGGTTTACGGTTCTTAAACACCACCCTATGAACCCTAAAACCTAAGCTCTCGACCCCCTCAACCTCAAACCCCTGCTTCTTGCAGGAAAGCTCCGGAATGAGGCAGCACGGCTTCTTCGCAGGGGCCTCTGAATTGAGGGTTTTGTTTAAGGTTTTGGGGGTTTAGGGTTTGGGGTTTGGGGTTGGGGTTTAGGAGGGTGTGGAGATATTGGGTGTTTCGGGTTTCCAGGTAGGCCCCTTTGGGATGCGTTTTCATGTTTGCCTTGGGAAGAGGATCCTACTTGGGAGTATGTTTAGCTTTTGTCCGGCCAGGGATGGGGGGTTGGTCTGAGGCCTAGCACAAAAGGGCGGAGACCTCGAGACTTTGACGCTCATATCGCTCATGAAATGCCTGGTTGGCTGTATTTGTGAGCCAAATACCTCCCAAACCGCCCTAGACCCCTTAAAAAACTGTGTCGATTTGGGGTTTAGTTATGCTGGGGCAGAGGCTTCAGGGTTCAGGGTGCGATTGGCAGTTCGTAGTGTGAACCTGGGTTATTTCGGCCCAGCTGGACAATCGAATCAGTTGGTTTGGGAATAGGGTTTAGGGTTTAGGGTTTAGGGTTTAGGGTTTAGGGTTTAGGGTTTATATCGGTCCTGGACAAGGTGGACGTCGTCAGCCTCGCGCACGGAGAAGTGTCTCTAGCATCCGGGCCGCCCCGCCCGGAGGCGGAGGGCTTAGGAGCGTCTCAGTTCCTAAACCCTAAACCCTAAACCCTAAACCCTAAACCCTAAACCCTAAACCCTAAACCCTAAACCTTCATTGATTCAGATTCCTTGTGGGGCCTTGGACCCGAAACGCTAAAGCCTAAACCCCAAACCCGAAACCCTAAACCCTTTGCTTCGAAAGACTCATGCGCCTGAAGTTCCCCTATGCCTCTTCGAGCTCTACCTCTGGCGCCGATGTGGGGGAGAACGGCGGCAAACCCCGAGCCTGTACACAGTTTTGGGCCTTTTGGGGGTACAAAAACAAAGATGGCGGGTTTTTTCTGCAGTGTCGGCTAAGTCGCGTGATCCCTGAGGCCCTTGAGAAAGGAGCTGAACAAAGTCTCTAGGAGAGCCCTAAACCCTCAATCCTCTTACTACTTGTATTTCTCACAAGATGCAGGCTCTGGAGTCTTGGGAACTTGCGGTGCGCAAGGCAGACCTGTGTCAATGGGGCTCAGGGTGGGGGGTGTTTGGATCATGGCAGTGACGGCGTTTGGCAAAGCATGGGCCGAACGCCAGGTGTGGTTACGTTGAGAATGTTGTAGGGGGGGCGAGATGCGTTGATGGATGAGAAGCTGGCAGTCCATGACGCTAGGATTCGCGCTAGGCTTCTTCCACGTCCATCCCGCAAACCCTGCGCCCAGTACCTTTAGACCCAACTCCGGGACCCTCCGCACCACCAAGCGTCCGATGCTCTTGCCAGGTCTACGAGCAGCACATGTGCAGGCTCGAGAAGCAGGCCTGAGGGATGCGTTGAGCAATTTGGGGCTTAGGGTTCAACCGGCACATTTCGGGGGTACATAGACTGAAGGAGCTATTGTTGCTGAACATTCGCACCATTCTGTGTAGGATCCTCTCTTGGCTCTCTCAGAACGCGAAAAAAGGGAAGCTAGCCTCTGCTTAGGACATGTGTTTTTTGGGTTTGCTGCTGTTCTAAAACCTTTAACGTACCTAGCAAGGCAAGCGGTATGATTCTCCTTTCATGGTTTTTAGGGGAGTGCTTGGAGGTTCATGGGTACCTTGAACTCTAAATAAAAGTCTACTTATGACCTACTTAGGGGACTCAGGGAAATTCTTCTCAGTGTAGCTATAACTGGGGTTATAAGTACCCCGAACCTCTAAGTATAGGCCCACCCTAAACCCTAAACCCTAAACCCTAAACCCTAAACCCTAAACCCTAAACCCTAAACCCTAAACCCTAAACCCTAAACCCTAAACCCTAAACCCTAAACCCTAAACCCTAAACGAAACCCAGAAGGGGCTTGGGAAGCCCAAGGTGGTTACCGCAGACAACAAAGCCTTGGAGACGGGCTTGCTGGTGCTGGGGCCTTGGTAGCCAAGGGTTGTTTAGGCTGCGGGCGATGCGGCGATGATAATGGTGGATATTGTATTATATCATATTCTATCATCTTATATTATATTCTAGTATATTCTTTTGTTATATTTAATTTTCTGATAGATTACTAAATTCTGTTAGTATATGATGATGCTGCTAGATTCTTTAGATCATCTTGAGCCCTGCATCCTCCGGTGCCCTCAAGCCAAGATGCCCCCCGTTTCTTCGAGGCAGGACTACTGCGGGCAGATCCAGCGCCAAGAGGAGGCATCCTTCTGCGGATCTTGAGAGCGGAACCCTCTAAAGCCCTAGGTTTTTGGGGTTTTGGGGTTTTGGGGTTTTAGGGTTTAGGGTTTAGGGTTCAGGGCTTAGGGTTTAGGGCTTAGGGTTCAGGGTTTAGGGTTGTCTACCTTAGTCAAAAGCGAACACACCCAAGAATCTAACGGGCCTTGATGCTGGGATGGCTCCGCACTTTTTTTTGGCAGGAGAAGAGCGAGCTCACGAGTCAGGCAAGGATGCTCCGGAGCTGGTTGCTTAGGGTCTATCAAGGGACTTATGGAGGGACCCTTATAAGGGACCTTAAGGGTATTTAGGGCTTATCTAGGAGCTACATAGGTAAAAAGGGGCTATATAAGATATGTGTGTGTGTATATATATATAGGGATAGGGGAAGTGTCCCTCCTTATCCCCTCCCAGAACCCAAAACCCTAAACCCTAAACCTTGACAACACCCCATGACCCCGAGATCCCTGAAGCGTGCACTCCCTGGCGCATGCGGCTTTCCTAAACCCTAAACCCTAAACCCTAAACCCTAAACCCTAAACCCTAAAGGGCTTCGAGATCCCGGCCCACACCCACCGTACCTGCAGCGAATGCCGGCAGGTGGCGGTGGGGCAGAGGGAGCTCCAGAGCCTCCGCGAGGACAGCGCCTGCTTGTAGGGTTTAGGGTTTAGGGTTTAGGGGGTTTGGGATTGAGACTTGAACAGCTGGCCATATGACCATATGGCACCCAAAACCCTGAAACCTGTGAAATCTTCGGTTACATGGTCATACTGCATGTCACAACACACGCCCCTGGCTCCCAGATCATCTCAAGACAGCCCGGGGTGTGTTTGAGCCGTTTTTGCCAGGATTTGTATGTGGGGTTCATGATATTGAAGGTACCTTATAGGGGGTCCTTATTGTAAGGGGATCCTACTACTTGGGCTCTTTTTTAGGGTCCCTTACTTTCGTAAACCCCCATGTTGCTCAAAGTGTGGAGTCCCTAGGTAGTGGGTCTTTAGGGTTCATAAGGTCAGGTGCCTCAGGGCCCTTGAAAGGGGTTTAGGTATGGAAACTTGTAAGGCTTGTCTACCGAGAGTTTAGGGGCGTTCGTGAGCTTTCGGTTTATTGAAGGAGTGAAGGGCATGCCTTTGAGATGCTTGCCGGGAAGTAACCTCTGATTCCCTGATGCTTTCGAGAGTCGCGCCTTGACAACCTAAACCCGAAACCCTAAACCCTAAACCCTGTGTTGGTGAGAGTGCCCACATACCCCGTGTGATGCTGAAGGCTTGAGGGGGTTCGTGGATCTGGCTGACTGCGGAAGTTCCTCGCCCCCTGGTGGGGTGGAGGACCACAAAAACACAAAGAGAGGGTTTAGGGTTTAGGGTTTAGGGCGGGGGGGGGGGGGGGGGGGGCAGGTCGGGCAAGAAATCCAGCTGCCTGGTGCTTCGACTCGTTCCGAAGGGCCTCGGGTTGTAGGGCTTGTTTCATCTGTAGCCGCCCAAAGGCCTCCCTTAGAAGGGACGTCGACCCCGAAACCCGAAACCCTAAACCCTAAACCCTACTACACCCTAAACCCTAAACCCTAAACCCGAAGTTCTTGAACCCGAAGGACATGGAGGCCACCCGCAAGAATTATGACGGCCAGCTGGCATCCCTGGCCCGACTTTGCGCTGCCGGCTTTGTAGGGTTTGGGATTTGGGGCTGGGGGTTCACGGGCATTTTCAGGGCAGGTTCCCCCCTTTTACTAGCAGTCCTTAATAAGGATTCGAATAAGAGCCCAGATGATACGGGATTGTGGTTGCGTCCCGGTGAACAAGATTATGAAAGGTTACAGCACATGGTACTACGAATGAAGCAACGTGCGTCCTATTCACTCCTTACCACCTTCATTCTCCCGTCCTGGCTGTTACCTTCACGCCCTTGACCTTTCATGCGGTTTACGTGTTCATCCGACTCACTGGCCCCTAGAGGAATACGTTTTTTTCTATAAATTATAGGCTAGCGCATGAATTGTAGTGCAAAAACCGTCTTAAAATTGGGTGACAGGTGTGAACGGTTAGACCAAGATATGAGAGTTACCGCATGAATGGTTGAGAATGAGTCCGTGAACTAGGTAGTGAGCTGTCATCATGTGAATGGTGAATAGGGGGTACTAGAATCCCGATTAAGGACTGTTAGTATAAGAGGGAACATCCCAAGTGTGGACCCCCAAGACTGGCAACAAAACAGGCCAAGGCTTCTCTCCTCCCCGAACCCTTGAAACGCTAAACCCTAAACCCTAAACCCTAAACCCTAAACCCTAAACCCTAACCCCCCTGTCAGGGCATGCTCACGGAGCACATTTGCGCCGGGGAGCCCGGGGGGCACATGGGCTGCAGGTAGGGGAGACGCCAGCTCCCAATCAGTGCGCCACCCTAAACCCCAAAAAGTAAGGGTACTCGTATGAGAATAGTGTAATAGCATATTTCATATAGTAATATATAGTGGTAGAGTAGCATGGTAGTATAGTAGTTTCGTGGTGTTGTACTAGAGTAGTATGTAGAGTACTATATTACTATAGTTGCAAAATGATTTCTTATCCTCTTAGAACCCCTTGAGAACACCCAACTCGGAGTCCTGGCCCCCACACTCAGACGCTGTCCCTGCACCTCTCCGAGAAAGACGCGAGCCTCGCAGCGTTACAGGCGCCTGGGCTCCAAAAAGGGGATGTCGGGAAGCCTCCCTCTACATCCTGATATGAGATTGTCCCACTAGGGAATATTTCTGTAGCATTCGAGATATGTCATATCAGGCCTTGTCAGAATCGAGGAGCTTAGTTACGGACGCTGGCTGAGCCTCCCTGCATCCCCCTGAGTTCAGGCGCACAAGGTCCTCTGCGGCCGCTGCGGCATGTGGAACGCCATGGGGTCGGAGACCCAGCCAATCCCCCCTTTTGCCGGCATCAACCACTATTTTTAAATCTTCGTTGGCTGGCAGCAACAAGGGGCAGCCGTAGAAATTACCAGTAAACCAATGCCGCCAAGGCCCTAAATCTTTTTCAAGCAGGTTCGAAGAGCAGTTGAGTTCTAGGTAAGCCTAAGCCATGAGATGGGCACACCCTCAAGCCTGCGACTGTTTGGGGTTGAGGGTTTCGGGTAGGGCTTCGGGTGTAAAGCTACATGCAGATGCTTGTTTCACGACCTGGCTCCATCGACAGCCAAAGAGATTCCATGAGCACTCGACAGAACCTCCTTGCAAAGACATAGGGTTTAGGGTTTAGGGTTTAGGGCTTCGGGCTTAGGGTTTAGGGTTTAGGGTTTAGGGCTACAAGCCCAAAAACAGTGTGCTTTTTTCCTCGGCTCCCGCAGACCTTGCCATGCCACGAAGTCGTGGCATCTTCCTGCACACGGCTCTTTGCCTCGGTGCCTGGCACTGCTTAAGCTCAGCCTTTATCAGGCGCGGGGCTTCAAGAGTCTCCAACTTTACTACTACGTGCTTAAGAACCCCCCAAAAATAAGATAATGATCCCTATATGGCCCTTATAGGGAAGATGAGTCTCCAGCTTTAAGTTCGACTTCGGGTTTGGGATGTAGAGGGCCCGTACAGCGCACAGTAACATGGGGGGCCTGAGTATTTGCAATGCGTTTTGTTTTTGATTTTTTTTTTGGGGGGGGAGGGGGGGGGGGTTAAAAAACGGTATAACTATAAAGGGACCATAAGGGAGTATACTCGTAATTCCTCCGATCCCTATATGACGCTATCTGCCTGCAGGCTGCAAGGGCTCCAACGCTCAGGGAGCCTGGCTTCCTATGCCTCCGTGCGCAACATGCCGACCCATGGCACCAAACGGATTAGGGTTTTGGGTTTAGGGTTTAGGGTTTACATGTAGCAATCTTGCCTTCCGTTGGTGGTTCAGCTATGGTTCCTGTAAAGAGAATCTGTTTTGTTTATGCAAAGTCAAAGCGAACAAGCAACTATTTTTCCCCTGTAGTCATGGGTTCTATGAAAATACAACTTCTACACCCCGCCTGCTCATATTTCCCCAAACCTGAGCTGGGGAAGCCCTTGGCCTGGCCATCGGATGCTCGATCCATTGATGTCCCAACTGACAGAACTGACCTAAACACACGGATGCTCATGAAAGCCCTGCCTCAGAATCTATGCCTTAGTAGCTGAAAGAGTACACTTTACACTTTTTGGGATACCAGAATCCCCTATAGAACTGAAAGCATACGCTTTTTTGGGGGCTTATAAACCCAGCAAAACTAAGATGCCCATGCGCCGTGTGAGGAAGTCCTTCTTCGACGCGGACAACGTGACCAAGAGACTTTGTGGTATTTTACTATAACTTTAGATCTTTAGCCTTTTTGGGTTTATTGGGTTTCTTAATAAGGCAGCTAAAAATTTGATGTATGGCTACCCTCCTAAGTGCAGCCAAGGAGGGAGGTGGTTGGGCTCTCCGACTCCGCTCGGCGGGCCATTGAAGCCACCGAGGTGGGGGGGGGGGGGGGTTTACGCAAGTAAGGGTGCACCCTAATGAAATTTGAATAGCAGTAGTAATAATGGTGATAATAATAATAATAATCGCAATACTAATACTAATACCAATACCAATACTAATACTAGTACTAATACGAATACTAGAAATAATAGTAAGAAGAAGAAGAATATTAATAATATCGTTCCCTCCTTTAGAGTAAGGACCCCAAGGACCCCAATAATGGTATCCCCTTATTTCGGAAACCCACCAGGTGGAGCAAGCCTCCCAGCTGGTCATGTCAGACATCTACTGCGCGCCCTCCACGGTGCATGGTTGGGGGGTCTTTGCCGGGCGCGACTTCCGGCGGGGCGAGATCTTGCATGAGTCGCCGGGGCGGCTGTTTGAGGGTATGCCGGACTGCATCACGGACGATGTCTTCGCAACAACACAAGTCCTCTGGGAGAGCGAGGCAACGTGAGGGCCGGGTGCAGATCTTCCGGCCGCAGGAATGATCTACTAATTGCTTAAGAACCTCGAAAAATAGCATATTCGTCCTTAGTAAGGGCAAGATAGGGATTATTATGCTCTATTCTTTTGGGGTTCTTAAGCAAATAGTAGCGATTTAAATTTCTGATCAGTCTTCCACGTGGCTTTCACATGGACTCATTGATCTTCAGGGTTTCTGAAAAAAACCCGAGACCCCTAAACCTTGGGATGTGCCCCCCTTATGCTAACAGTGCTGAATCCCGGTACGAAAGTCCCCATTAAGGACTGTCAGTATAAGGGGAATAACCCTGAACCCCAAACCTTAAACCCTAAACCCCAAACCCTAAACCATCCTAACCCCTAAACGCTTCAAGGGAGTGTGAATGCAGCCAGGCAAAGAACTACTCAATCTTCGGTCTGGGCTTCGCCTCGCTGCACAACCACGCCGAGGTCTGGATCTCACGGGCCCTTTCAGCAGCTTAGGGTTTAGGGTTTAGGCTTTAGGGTTCAGGGTTTAGGCTTTAGGCTTCAGGGTTCAGGGTTTAGGGTTTAGCGTTTAGGGTTTAGGGTTCAGGGTTTAGCCCTAAACCCTAACCCTGGACCCCAAGCCCTTTGAAGCCAAACACTTCGTCACCAAGTTCTCGAGCCCCCCTAGGCAACTGAAGTCCTAAATCCCCTCGTTGGCATCTCGGCCCCGAAGCCCTAAACCCCACAACAAAACCTAAGACCCCAAAGCCCTGAACCCTAAAACCCTGAAACCCAAAAACCCGAAACCCCAAAGCTCTAGACCCCAAAACCCTAAAGCCCCAGAAACCGAACCCCAAAAACCCTGACCGTTTGGTTGTCAGCCTGGGTTCGCGGCTGAGAGTTTAGGCCTTAGCTGCTCTTTGCTTAAGGAGCCCCCAAAAAATCACCAAAGATATTCTTCCTTATGAGGACTATAAAGGCAACATTGGGATTCTTCTCTTTGTACTTTGGTTGGGGGGGTTCTTGAGCAAATTGTTTTGGGACCCCTAAACACTAAACCCTCAACCCTGCGCCGGCGAGGATCCGAACACCGAGTTCTCGTGGGAGTCGGCCGGTTTTACAGGCAGGCGACAAAAGAGACCCTGGGGGGGGGGGGGGGGAAGGGGGGGGGGGGGGGGGGGGGGGGGGGGGGGGGGGGGGGGGGGGGGGGGCGGTCCCTAAACGACGGAATCTATATATATATACATATACATATACCATATACATATGCATATACAGAAGTACACGTATTTGTGTATATATAAATCACTTACATATACACATCTTTTTTTGGGGGGTGTGATAGGGGAACCCCTCTTTAGGGGGAACATGCACCTGCCTGGTGAGGCCAGTGAAGAAGGACGAGGAGCTCTTCATTTCTTACGGCCCAAAGTGGTTCGAGTCTAGGACCTCTTGGGCTTGGGTTTTGTTCAGCTAGGGTTTAGGGTTTGGGGTTCAGGGTTAGGGTTATGAAGCATGCGTTCACAACGCACAGAGCGTAGGGCTTAACGCTTTAGGGGTCAAAGCCCGAACAAAGGCTCCAAAGCTTCTAGAAAGCTCCAACAATGATTTATAAGGCCTCCGAATGTTCCAAAGAACTGGTGAGCACTTAGAAACACAACTCCACAAAGAAGCACCTGCGCAGGAACATCTCGGCGATCCCGGTTCCAAAAGCCACCTGATCTACCGTCCAGCACAAGCGGCTTCCGAGCAGTTTGGAGCGCATGGATCTCACCAGCGTGGTGCGAGCGGAAGCAGAGCTACGGCGGCCACGGCGAAGGTTGAAGAGAGCTCTTAAGTTTCACGGAGGCTACGGCGTGGTTACGGGCTTTTCGGTTATCCCCAGCTTGCCGGCTAAGACCCTGCGCTATCCGCGAAGCTCTATGATAGAAAGGGCCGACTGCGCAGACGAACTGTATGCAGGTAGTAGCCACAGTAGCACTCCGAAGCAAAGATCAGCTACCTCCTTCTGGTAGATTCGTCCAGGAGCCTGGCCGCCCTAATCCTAAACCCTAAACCCTAACCCTGCAACTTTCTGAGTTTCACATGCAAGCGAGCTATAGTCAGTGCACGTGCGGGAGGTTCTCACAGAGTTTTCTTCATCTCGCACCCAAGTTAGGGTCTAGGGTCGAGGGTTTAGGGTGGGGGTTTGGGGGTTCGGAGTTTATTGGCTTAATCGGGCTTATAGGGTTTTAAACACTGAACCTCCGAAGCCTCCCAACCCAAGGAAGCTCCTCGCGCAACCGGGCAACGGCACGCGAGCCAGACATGCGTTGAGCTGGCATCCCAAAACGGAGAAGAAGGTTAGGGGCTAGGGTTTAGGGGACTTAGGGATTTAGGGGGGTTAGGGTTCAGGGTTTCGGGGGGCTTAAGGTTTCATTCCTCGGTTACTCCTGGGTCTAGCCCTAAACCCTAAACCCTAAACCCTAAACCCTAAACCCCGAGAAAGCCCTAAGGTCCAACCCTGGGCTCCTCTTGAAGTTTGGTCGCGCCAGGTGCCAGACATGCAAGGAGAAGGTACTCAGCACTGGCTGACGTGGCTTGGTGTGGTTTAGGGTTTTGGGTTTAGGGTTTAGGGTTTAGGGTTTAGGGTGGGTTGGGGTTTAGGGTAATTTAAGGAAAAACCCTAACAAAGCCTAAAAGTATAAGGGTTTGGGGTTTGGGGTTTGGGGTTTAGGGTAAAACCCTGAAGCATCCTAAACAACTTGCAAACCCCTGAGAACCCTTAGAACCCTAAAGGCATCTACAACAGTTGAGCATGGCGCGCCCCCAAAGATGCATCCTGAGCACTCCTCCGCCCACTGTCGAGATTGGGGTTTAGGGGAGCTTCCAGAGCACGGTTTAGGGTTTCGGGTTTAGGGTTTAGGGTTTAGGGTTTAGGGTTTAGGGTTTAGGGTTTAGGGTTTAGGGCGATGAGGCGTCTGGTTGGGGTTTCGGGGCTAGGGGGTTAGGGGGCTAGGGGCTTAGGGGGTGGGGAGGTTAGGGTCTTAGGGGGTTCGGGGGTCGATGCCTTTGTGTTTAGAATCAAAAAACCAATCCCGAGTCGCACCGGAAAACCTTTGCCAGGTGACGACATGATGACATCGTGGACTCGTTCCAACCTCGAGAAGGCTCTCCGTCAGCATGCCGTTGTTTTGCATTTGGGTCCAGTGTTGGGACCATCGTAACCCTAACAAAAAATCCTACAAAGATTACCCTAAACCCTAGACCCTACACGCAAGCCCGAGACCCTAAACCCACTCCCGAAACCCGAAGCCCTGAAAGCCGAGAGCTGAGTGGCATCAAGGGTGTTGCTTGACCTCATGCGTAGTACTAAGCAGGGAGATTTTAATCGCCCTGCAACCCCGGTCGCAGCACAACAGGTGCATGGAACCCTGCACGGGCCTTCAAACAAATGGCTGGCTCTTGGTAGGGAATGAGGGAATGAGGCACCCTGTATCATCCCCGAAACCCGAAACCCTAAATCCCTTAAAGGGTATATTTAGGGTATATTCAGGGCCCTAATTCCCTCACCCTAAACCCCAAACCCTGAACCCTAAACCCTAAACCCTAAACCCAGAACAGGGGGCAGATGACCTCCAAGCCCAGGTGTCAGATTCCCGAAGAGCACCGGCCACAAATGGCGTCGGGGCCTGGCCCCCGCGGTGCCTTCTTGAACCCAAACTTTGTTTAGGGTTTAGGGTTTAGGGTTTAGGGTTGTGTTCGTTGACAACCCCGAAGCAGAAATGAAAACTCATAAACAGAGGTCCAGGCAACAAATGATATTGTTTCCATCTTGCATTCGCTAGTCGAGGCAAACTTTCGCAAGTCAGGTCTCACAGCGCCAACACCTTGGACCAGGGCTTGCCCGAGCCTCCCTTGACGCGAAGACAGCCATGGGCGAGCAGACTGAGCACGTCATGTCACCTGAGCTCGTCAAAACTTGTCGAAATGCTGTTCTGAAATAGCCTCCCTGATATAGCACTAGAAGTATCTATATGGGGATCCCGATAAGAGAAAATCTCACTTCTGAGTCTTGACTTTAGCTCGCACACAAGAGCTGCTTGAAGGTTCATGGTACTTATTAACCAATTATAACTGTACTTAAACCCAAATTATAGCCATAGTAGGGCACTTGAGGGCCTCATACGTGGGTTATAAGTACAGTTCTAATTGGTTAACTAAGTACCCTGAACCTCCAAGCAGGGGGGTCAAGGCAATTGAAGGGCGGACCACTGCCGCCCAAAAAAAATGAGGAAAGGCGCGAGAGTGGTGAGGCCGAGAACCTGGAAACCATACAACGGGTTGAAGGTTTAAGGTTTACAAGGTTTAGGGTTTAGGGTTTATAGGGTTTTGGGTTTGTAGGGTTTAGGGTTTATAGGGTTTTGGGTTTATAGGGTTTTGGGTTTAGGGTTTGGCAGGCCAGCGACGAGTGCATCGGACATGGAACTCGATTAGGCAAGTCAGAACGCGATTGCGCCTTTTTTTTGTCTGGCTCATGCTTTCAGGCGCGTACTCCCGCAGAGACACAAAGCACATGGCACAGCAAACATCAACCACCAACCAAAACCTGCGGAGCTTATAAGGGCGCAGCCTGGGTGTCGCTGGTAAATTGCCATCCCGTCTCCTGCTGCGGCGAAGGTGCGAAGCTCAAGAAGGTTTGCTCTTTAATGGGTGGAGATGGGCAGAGAAAAGCAGAGAGAGAGGCCCCTCCCTCAGTGCCTCCCTCTGAGAGGGAGGGGCTGAAGGAGGGAGAGAGAGTGAGAGAGTGAGAGAGTGAGAGCGGGACTGAGGGAGGGAGGGAAGAAAGAAGCTGAACTCTCACCAAGGCCATGGCCATGCAGATGCAGCAAATGCAACTGCAGCAGCAGCAGCTGCAACAACAGCAGCTGCAACAGCAGCACCTGCAGCAGCAGCAGCTGCAGCAGCAGCAGCTGCAACAGCAGCAGCTGCAGCAGCAGCTGCAGCAACAGCAGATGCAGCAGCAGCCGCACATGCAGCAGAACCAGGCGCCTTCATTTGCTGGGAAAGGATTTGGAAGTTTTGCTGCCGTCCATTGCAAGCCCCCCCTGGCCCCGCTTCGTGGCTAAGATAGGTCAGGATCTGCACAACTATATCCCCCTTGGGAAATATTTTTTGTTTATATAGAACCCAAGAGGGCATTTAAAATAATTTTTTATTAAGGTCCTAAGGGGAGTATAGACAAAGGGAGTGTCGACTCAAAACCCTCAGTGGCCCAAGCCCAAGCCCCTCGAGTCTAGTCCCCAAGCCCTACTCTAAACCTTAACCTCATGAGAATCATAAGATTAAGGCAAAAGAATAAGAAGAAGAATGGCAACAAACATTCCTCGAGTCCCCCAAACCCTACTCTAAACCCTCAAGACCCTAAACTTCCCCCAAAACAACCCCAAAAGCTGGCCAGGCGAACATGGGGGCCGCCAAAGGAGGCGGCAAGGGAGGCGGACCGAGCGTTTCTGTTGGGAGCGTTGAGGAAAGCTTGCCACTGCACAGCTCGATCTTCCAATGGTAGTTTACGATAATCAGGGGCCCTAATCGTAGACCCCCAAATGGTAGTATTCCCTTACAATAAGGACCCCAATAAGGTACCCCTAATTTCGTACACCCCCAAATCTGCAACCCACGCAGAGCAGGAACATGTTTCCCTCGTGTGGCCCTTGAAGCCTTCTGACTGTTTGCGAGGTATGCCTGGAAAGGGAGGGCAAGGGCCAGCTGCCCACTCAGCTTTTGGGCCGGCCTGTGCCACCTAGTTCGGTAGTGAGCCGCTTTCGGGCAGCGATTCTGAGCCCCTTGATGCTCGAACAGCTGCTCGAGGCACGACCCCCAGCGCCCCCGCCACCACGGGGGCCTACGCCCCCGGTCCCGCCGATCACGGCGCCGGGCGGGCCAGGGTTGCCAACAGGCTGCAGCAACGCGGCCTGGCAGCGTTAGGGTTTGCGGGTCACTGACGTGGAAGTGTTGCAGTCGCGCCTTGTGGCAACTTGCTATGCAGTTCCAGGCAGCTTAGTTATGTCCGCGGAGGGCTTAAGGCCTCCAACAGACAACTTGCCACGGCGACGCGACAGGCCAACTTTGGCGGTGCCAAAGGAGGAGCTGGCTGCAAAGGAGGCATGAGGTGTTGGAAGAGTTTTGGGGGCAGCTGGTGATCACTGATTTCTAGCTGCAAAAGCTATGAAACAACGTGGTCATTCGAAGAGGCATGGTCAAGTAAAGGTCGTTTCATGGTCCTTCATGTGGCCCTTGAGAAGCCGTTTGATCTTTGCGAGGTATGCCTGGCAAAGGAGGGCAAGGGCCAGCTGCCCACTTAGCTTCTCTACCATCCTGTGACACCCAGCAGTTGGGTAGTGAGCTGGTGCTTCGGGCATCTATTCTGAGCCCCTTGATTCTCGAACAGCTGCTCGAGGCCCGACCCCCAGCGCCTCCGCCACCGCGGGGGCCTACGCCCCAGGCCCTGGCGCTTCCAGCGCCGGCCGGCGGGCCAACTGGATGCAGCAACGCAGCCTGGCAGCGTTAGGGTTTTGGTGTTGGAAGACAAGGTCACAGACGTCTAGATGGAGCATGGATCTAAGGGTCTCCAGGGAGCCTTGAAATGTTTGGGGTTCGGAGATTTGCTACAGAGCGGCGCGACAGGCTAACTTTGGCGGTGCCAAAGGAGGAGCGGGCTGCAAAGGAGGCAAGAGAGTTGCGAGGGTGGGGGAGGGTAGCTGGTGATCATTGGTTTCTAGACATCAATGGCTAATAGTGGCTACGCATATGGTTCAGATGTGCGACCTCAACTCCTGCATAGAAATTTGCCAAGTTGCAATTGCTGCCGAGACGTACTACTAAATGCACTCCTCAATGCGGACCTTGCAGTAACCGCAGTGACTGTGAGACCACGTGCTCACTCAAAGGGGCAACTAGAGGTCGTTTCCTGTGGCCCTTGAAGCCTCCTCGGTTTTGCGAGGTATGCCTGGCAAAGGAGGACAAGGGCCAGCTGCCCACTCAGCTTTTGGGACGGGAGTCGGGTGAATACAGCGTCAGACATCTTCCGGCGCAGAGTTCCAGCCAAAGTTGATGCTTCAAGCCCACGTCAAGTCGATGGGTTTGTCATTGCTGGTCAAGTTTCGTCTCGTGAATCTTGAAGCATCACCGTGGAAGACCACTCTTCTCACAGCAGCGTTTAAGGACATGAGAAAGAGACAGCTGGAGCGCGAGCAAGAGCAGAAGCGGCGACAGGACCGTATCTAGGCATTTCGCGACAGCCACCCCCCAACCCCCCCCCCCCCCCCCCCCAAAAGCGCCAGAACTCCAAACACCAAACCCCCCAAAAAGGGGACCCCCTCATTCGGGAACCCCCTTCTGAAGCCATAGAGGTTCAATTTGTTGTTTCCTGCCACTGGTCTAGTCTAGTCATAAGGCTGTGAGGACTGACACTGACAACTGCACATGAAAGTGTAACCCGGTAGTATCCAACTGTGCACCTTTTATGTTCGGCAGTTGAATGCCTATCTCATCCCACAGCTTGACCATCTCGGTCCCATGGAATGCTGGAAGTAAGCATCGCGCTTGCTAGCGAGCACTGCGCAGGAGGAGATAAAGCGCAGGAGGGACGAAGATGAGGTGAAAAGAAAGGAGGGTGCGCGTTGGGTGTTTTTGCAGTCGGCTCGCGTGTCCGTGTCTTGCTTGTCACAGCTTTCAAGATGGCGGTTGCGCCACCAGTGTGACCTGAACCAGGAGCATTCAGCTGTGCTGGCCGTCCGCAAAGCGATCCAAAAGGCGTCACACAGTCTTGTGGCCTTGCAGAAGCATGCCTGACGCTTTCCATGTGACAGGTGCGCACAGCCGTTCCCGCTCCTTGACAAGAACTGGGGGCCAGACATTGATTGCCTGTTGCGAATAGAACTCAATTACGGCCCGCCGCCTTGTAACAGTAGCCCCAAAAGGGGTCCTAATTTGAGAAGTGACCATATGGGATCAAGCCTGAGAATGCTGCAGTATGTCGGTTATTGTAGAGGTCTCTTTGGACAATAGTAAACAAGCAAACTGCGCAGCTCTGGAAGCTTAAGGCCCGATCTCGCTCGCAAAGCATCCTAAAGCCCTTACCACACAATCCCCTCAACCCAGACGAAGCCCACAAACCTTAAACCTCGAGCCCTACATCCAGAACCCTAAACTTCAGAGCCCAAAAGCAGGTAGAGGGCCCTAAGGGAAGGCGGGGGTGTGGGGGCTGGCAAAACAGCAAAACCAAAACCCCGACCCCAAACCCTGAACCCCAAACAAGCCCCCCAAGCCCCACAAAAAAAGCCCTCCAAGAAGCCAACTAACATAGGGGTCGGAATACTTATTCATGATATTCCCTTGGGGTCCCTTTATCAATTATACAAGAATAAATTACGAAGGCCCCCAAGAGTACGCACAAGGACAGCTACGATGCCGTGCGCCTCCAACTCGAAGAGGCCCTGGCGGCCAACCTGGAGCCTAGGCCTTTGAGCTTAGGGGCTTTGGGGGGGGGGGGGGAAGAAGGGGGGGTTTAGGGTTTAGGGTTTAGGGTTTAGGACTTAGGGGTTCTTAGGGCTTGGGCTTAGGGGCTTAGGGGCTTTTGGGGGGGGAGGGGGTTCTGTTTTGGGGGGGCTGAAGGGGGGTTATTGTTGTGTTTTTGGGGGTGTTGCGGGGGTCGGGGGTTGGAGGGTTTTGGGGGTTGAACGGTCCAGACTAGACACGGAAAAAAAGGGCAAAAAGGTCGGCGGGAATTTAGGGTTTAGGGTGGTGTTGAAGGTTTTTCTCTGTTATTTTTATTTTGGTGGGGGGGGGGGGGGGGTAGAAGGCCTAGCAGGTTTAGGGGCTTTGGTGTTTTAATACTTCTTATGGTTTCGGGTTTAGAGGCTTAGAGTTTAGGGTTCAGGGCAAGAGGGCTCAAGGAAGCTCTGCGGATGATAATCCATGCTGTTGGAAGAGCCCTGGTAGTTGACTTCGGGCTTGAAGCTTAACGCCCGGAGCGCTCCCAATATCTCCGAATGAGCAGATGAGGCTCTGCCCTGGACCCAAACCCCTGAAACCCTAAACCCCAAACCCTAAACCCTAAACCCCAAACCCCCAAACCCTAAACCCTAAACCCCAGCAAGAGATATACAAAGAGCGGTCATCCTCACAGCAACTCATCGGCTTCCTGTGGGGGGGGGGGGGGGAATTCAGGGGTTTTTCCTTCTCAACCCGGCAGCTTGACAGCTAAGGAGTCTCTTGGGAGTCAAGCCCCAAAGGCCGGGTTTTGCCCTCTTTTGCCTTTTGCAGAGTAGGTTGGGAGAATGTAGGGTTTAGGGTTTAGGGTTTAGGGTTTAGGGTTTAGGGTTTCGGTATAGGGTTTGGGGTTTAGGGTTTGGGCTTTTGGCCTTTGTTGGCCTTGGTAGAGTAAAGGGGTTGGGTTGAGGGTTTGGAGTCTTGCTCTTTAGGCGGGTTGGGGGAGATAAGGAAGGGGGGGTGGGAGGGGGTTCAACTTGCTCAATTTGGGAATTACAGTAGGGTTTTGGGTCGGTCGCCAACATGACCAGTGGCTGGCTCTTCCAGAGCGTATCCCTTCCCCGCCCCCTGAAGTGAAGTATCAAGCATGCCCAGTATAGTAGCCGGGGGTCTATTTCAGGGAGAGAGGATGAATTGAGAGCCACTGAGCACGTACGTCGCGGAGGGGACGCACTTGAAATCCCTTAAGACCCCTCAAGCACTAAAACCCTAAACCCTAAACCCTAAACCCTAAACCCTAAACCCTAAACCCTAAACCCTAAACCCTAAACCCTAAACCCTAAACCCTAAACCCTAAACCCTAAACCCTAAACCCTAAACCCGACCATCCGACGGTAGAAGCGCACAGGTCGGGCAAGAGGCGGAACAAGCCCTCCATCAGGCGCAGCAGCGCCCCTCGGGCGGCAGCAAAGGTTCCCAAGAAGGGTTTGGGGCTTCGGGTTTAGGGTTTAGGGTTTAGGGTTTAGGGTTTGGGGTTTAGGGTTTAGGGTTTAGGGTATCAAAAGTTCCACGGTTTAGGCTATAGCAGGTACAGCTACCGTATGCAGGAAACATTGAAGACGTGACTCTTGTTGTGTGATTTAAGGGGAGTATCGTCTGGGCTCAGGATTTGGGGTCGAGGGTTCAGCCATGGAGGCTGGCTTCCATCCTGGGCACGCAAACCCTGAACACCCTTCTGGCCCAAACCCTCCGAGCCAAAGGATCCCAAAAAGTTGTTCAGAAGCAAGGTTTTGAGAGTTAGGCGACAGGGCTCAGAACCTGAGATTGTGAGGGAGTGTGGCAACCAAGTAACCCCCGAAACCCTAAATCCCTAAGCCCCGAAACCTAAACTCCCCTAAACCCCTCAACAAACCTAAACCTCCAGAACGCCTAACCCCCCAAACCCCAAACCCCCTAAACCCTAAACCCTAAACCCTAGCCCTAAACCCTAAACCCGAAACCGAAAACCCTAGCCCGAAACCCTAAACCCCCCAACCCCCCCAAACCCCCCCCAAAAAAAAAGCGCCCCTTAAGGCCTCGATGAGATGCACGAGAGGAGGCTGCAAGACGAGCGGAGTAGGGCACTAGAGGCCTGCTCCCCTCAATGGCTGGGGGGTTTAGGGTTTAGGGTTTAGGGTTTAGGGTTTGGGGTTTAGGGTTTAGGGTTTAGGGTTTAGGATTGCTGAAACATAGCACCCTCAATAGGGTTCTACGGTTTGGGCTCTTCAGGGGGTCTGGAGTTTGGGCAAACGGGTTTAGGGCAACAGGGCTTAGGGTTTAGGGCAGCTAGGTTTAGGCTTTACGGTTGAAGGGCTATCACTGAGTTGCTAGCTGTCATGTTGGCCTCAGACCCCAACCCGATCGAGGGGTTCGAAGCTAACGATCCCTCTCCATGCGCCCGTTGGCCTTAGCCCTAAACCCTAAACCCTAAACCCTAAACCCTAAACCCTAAACCCTAAACCCTAAACCCTAAACCCTAAACCCTAAACCCTAAACCCTAAACCCTAAACCCTAAACCCTAAACAAACCCTAAACCTGAAATCCCACACCCTTGCCAGGAGCAGCTCAGAAAGACCGAAGTCGAGCAGGCCCCCAGCTGGGTCCTGCCCCCATTTAACTTCAAGTCCTGGTTGGGAAGAAGCCCCAATCCAAAACAGCCCTAAACCGTAAACCCTAAACCCTAAACCCTAAACCCTAAACCCTAAACCCTAAACCCTAAACCCTAAACCCTAAACCCTAAACCCTAAACCCTTTCATTCAGGCCCCTGTATTACCACCCTGATGCCGAAGCAAGAGTTAGAGGGAGCCGGGGTCGATTTGGGCACGCGAGCCTGGACGAGAATCGCGCTCTCGCCTAGGCGTGGGGTGGGGCATCGCTTCTGGACTTCTGGGCTCCCATGGCCTCTCACGGTAGTGAGGTTTAGGGTTTAGGGTTTAGGGTTTAGGGTTTAGGGTTTAGGGTTTAGGGTTTAGGGTTTAGGGTTTAGGGTTTAGGGTTTAGGGTTTAGGGTTTGGGGGTCAGTTCTCTACATTGTGGTCCCTTGGGTACCGGGCCGCCTCATAAGATGGAGACCTTTTTTTCAGAAGTAACCGTATCTGACCGAATGTAGAGAGAGTTTGGTGATTCTCTGTGGCATTTTTTGTATATGTATCATATCGTCTTAGCCACTCCTAAACCCTAAACCCTAAACCCGAAGCCCTAAGCCCTAAACCCTAGTCCGTTTGTATCTAAAGGTTTTGGGGTCTAGAAAGGTTACACGGAGCCAGGCCGACCTCCTGGAAGCCGAAGCAAGGGCCGCGGCCGAGAAGCACCAAGAAAAGCACCTGGAGGTGGGATTTAGGGTTGAGGGTTTAGGGTTTAGGGTTCAGGGTTCAGGGTTTAGGGTTTGGGGTTTTTATGAGAGAGCTGCTCAAGTCTTCGCAGCATTGAGGTGTCAGGGTAACGGAGCTGTGCGGGCTGTCTGAGATTTATACGACTTTGTTTGGGTGGAACCTTCCCGAGCCAGGAATTGCCTAAGTTAAGAATCCCCCCCCCTCCCCGGATGCGGTGAAATGCGCGACAGACCTGCGTCATAAGGCTGGTCCCGAAGTAGCTTCAGGTATCTTCCTGAATTGCGGGTATTGGGCTTTCAGGCAAATGTCCACTAAGAGACCGAAGTTTTCAGGGTTGAGGGGTTAGACAGTTTTTGTGCTTAAGGCTGTGTTTAGGGATCCTGTTTCAAAGTTGGAGATTTGTGCTTCTGAATCCCCCTTTCAAGATTCTTCCCAACCTAAATAGACCCTTAAACCTGAAATACTCTAAACCCGAGCTGAACAGTCGGCGAAGTAGCTTGCAGCCGCTTCTGAGGCGAAAGAACCCATATTGTTCATCCCAAAGCTTGATTGACCTTTCATACCTCCCGGAAACTCGAGAAATGTGAGACGGCCTTTGGTTGGGGTTCCTTGTTAGGGAAGCCTGTTTGGAGAGACAAGGTCAGCCTTCGATTCTACTTGCCCTGAGCTTTAAACCCCAAGCCATGAACACTAGAGACTCGAGACCCTAAACCCTAGTCCCTAAACCCCAAACCCTAAACCCTAAGCCCTAAGCCCTAAACCCTAAGCCCTAAACCCTAAACCCCAAACCCTAAAACCTAAGCCCACTTTCCCCCCCCCCCCCAGCAAAAACGAAAATGAAGTGGGAGGCAGAGGAGTTGGTGCGGCAGCTCGAGGTTGGGAACCAGGACCCTGCGAACCTGATGTCAGCGGCCGAGGTGGGCGCTTTTCCTTCGGCTTCGGGACGCTTTTTAGGGGATGCTTCTGGAGGATGCTTCATGGGGGTTTAGGGTTTAGGGTTTAGGGTTTAGGGTTTAGGGTTTAGGGTTTAGGGTTAAGTTCAGGAATCCTTGGCGGGATGCTGTACAGGATGCTTTATCGGATGCTTGGGGGTTTTGAGGGTTTTCGGGCTCTTGGAGGGCGGCTTCTTGCTGCAGGAGTGTTGGCTTTACGAGAGCTTTGGTGTTTCAGGGGCACCCTGGACCCTAAACCCCGCAGGGTGTGGGATGAAACCCTAAGCCCTAAACCCTAAACCCTAAACCCTAAACCCTAAACCCTAAACTTTACGGGGGTTCAGCGGAGGGCGGGGCCCACCTTCAATAGCCAAAATGAATTAAGACAAAAACGGATACATAATCGTCGTAACAGTTTGAAGACCCCCTGGTCCTTAGGGAATGAGGGAATTAGGGCCCTATGTATACCCTTTAAGGGATTCTGTCGGGTTTAGGGTTTAGGGTTTAGGGTTTAGGGTTTAGGGTTTAGGGTTTAGGGTTTAGGGTTTAGGGTTTAGGGTTTAGGGTTCAATCCTTGCGAAGAACCAGCCAGAAGATAGGGCTAGAAGGCACAAAGAACAATCACGACAGGCTGCGGTGAAGTCCATTGCAGCGGCTCGGACTGAGGCGCGAAGACGAAACTTAAGGGTTTCGGGTTCAGGGGTTTAGGGTTTAGGGTTTAGGGTTTAGGGGTTAGGGGTTTCAGGGTTCAGGGTTTAGGGTTTCAGGGTTTCAGGGTTTCAGGGGTTCAGGGGTTCCAGGATTCCAGGGTTCCAGGGTTTCAGGGTTCCAGGGTTCCAGGGTTCAGGGTTCAAGCAGCGGTTTTCAGATTTTGCGGCCGGGCTTACTTAGGGGTCGTCGGGCTTAGATATAGTTAGATAGAGCTCATCGAGGCGCTTTGTCAGGATTCAGGGAGATTTCGAGAGGTGTGGCAACCCTTCGGACCCTAAACCCTAAGAATCCCTAAACCCTGAACCCTAATCCCAAAATTCTCTAAACCCTAAACCCTAAACCCTAAACAAATCCCTAACCCTAAACCGCGCAGGCGCAAAACGCGCGCAGAGCGATCCTTGAGAAGCAGCGGGCCATCAGCGAGACCGAGGCAACGCGAAAAGCCAGACGAGCCTCCTCCGCACATTTAGGGTTTAGGGTTGAGGGTTGAGGGTTTAGGGTTAAGGGTTTAGCTCTTCCATTGCCTTAGGGTTGAGGGACCCACTCTTCCATTGCCACTTCCGGACCCCTTTGGTTTTAGAGGGGCTCCGCTGGAGTCTGTTGGGCGGTAAAATGTGTTTGGGGTTGAAAGTTTGTTTCTCATTCTGTTGATCTTCTACTTGCCTGGCACCATCGAGATGTGGTTGCGAAAGATTAGTGGTTTGCGCTAAACCCTAAACCCTAAACCCTAAACCCTAAACCCTAAACCCTAAGCTTTGGGGATTCAGTGTTCTGGGGTTCGGCGTGCTTCGTGCCAACGCTTGCTCATGAATTCACGTGCAGCCCCAAGACGATCAAGGCCTGTTGCGAGAGCCTCCCCAGACCCTAGACCCACCTTGTAAACCCCATTTTAAAAAAGAACCCAGAAACCCTAGAAAACCTGCTAGACCCTAAAACAAAACCTAAACCCTCTAAACCTTGTAAACCCTGTAAAAAAGATATCAAACCCTGTAGATCCTACAAAACCCTAGCCCCCCCCCCCTCTCCCAGCCGAGGAGAGGTCGTCGGCTTTGCGGCCAAGGTGGCTCAAAGTGTCCGAATTTTCGACAGGCTCCTGGCCTCCGCGACTGCTCGCCGAGACAAGGCAGGGCCCGAGCTGCTTAGGGTTTTAGGGTGTTAGGGTGTTAGGATGTTAGAGTTTTAGGATTTTTGGGTGTTAGGGTGTCAGGGTTTAAGGGATAGGGTGTCAGGGTTTAGGGATTAGGCCGTCCCCTTCCAACTCTTTGAGTTTAGGGTTTAGGGTTTCGGGTTTAGGGTTTAGGGTTACAAGCTCTTGGGGAAGGTGGTAGTTGGGATTGGGTGATAGGGGTGCGTACCTGGCATTTCTGGGGCTTGAGGGCCCACCTTAAGGAGCTCGCTACTGTTCTGGCGAGGGAACAGGGGATCATCTACCCTAAACCCTAAATCCTAAACCCTAAACCCTAAGGGCTTTGTTTGGTGGACGGTGAAGTTGAGAGGTCCAGGGCTTTGGGGCTTGGAATTGGTGTCTTACGCTCATCCCATGCACAGGAGGCCGGGAAAGCTGTGGCGTTGAAGAAGCTGAATGAAAAGCCGCTCAGCTGAATTCGCTGGAGGGGAGAGGGCAGTGGGGAGGGGCAGGGGGAAAAGGGGGGGAGGGGGGGTGGCTCAGGAGGGGTGGGGTTATGGACCTTTTGTCTGTAGGGGTTGCCCGAAACCCCCAAACCCTAAACCCTAAACCCTAAACAACTCAGGGGGTTCAGAGCAAGGAAATCTGAGTTCGTCAAGTTCGATCTTGATGGCGACCAGCAGCTCAACCGAGCTGCACCTCGGCCATGCCTTGCGGTTTCAGGGGTTTTAGGGTTTAGAGTTTAGGGTTTAGGGTGTAGGGCTTTAGGGCTTAAGGGATTTTAGGGTTTTAGGATTTTAGGGCTTTAGGGTTTTAGGGCTTTAGGGCTTTAGGGCTTTAGGGTTTTAGGTTTTTTTGGGGTTTTAGGGCTTTAGGATTTTAGGGCTTTAGGGTTTTAGGATTTTAGGGCTTTAGGGTTTTAGGGCTTTAGGGTTTTAGGATTTTAGGGGTTTAGGGTTTAGGGTTTTAGGGTTTAGGGTTTTAGGATTTTGGGGTTTAGGGTTTCAGGGTTTTAGGGCTTTAGGGCTTTAGGGTTTCAGGGTTGTAGGGTTTAGGGTTTGAGGGTTTTAGGGTTTTAGGCTTTAGGGTTTTAGGGTGTTAGGGTTTTAGGGTTTTAGGGTGTTAGGGTTTTAGGGCTTTAGGGTTTTAGGGTTTTAGGGCTTTAGGGTTTTAGGGCTTTAGGGTTTGAGGGTTTCAGGGTTTCAGGGTTTGAGGGTTTTAGGGCTTTAGGGTTTTAGGGCTTTAGGGTTTTGGGGTTTCAGGGTTTTAGGGTTTTAGGGCTTTAGGCCTTTAGGGCTTTAGGGTTTTTTGGGGTTTTAGGGTTTTAGGGCTTTAGGGTTTTAGGGCTTTAGGGTTTTAGGGCTTTTGGGTTTAGGATTTTAGGGTTTTAGGGCTTTAGGGTTTCAGGGTTTCAGGGTTTTCGGGTTTTGGGGTTTAGGGTTTAGGCGGGGGCAGCTGGGGCTGTAGGGGTTGAGAGTTCAGCTTTTTTGGCTTATGTTTGGTTTAGGGTTTATATAGGGTTTTCGCGATCACCTTCATGCTCGCGCTCACCCAAACAGCCCTGCACGTCCCACAGCCTCATGAGCTCGGCAACCTAAAACCCTAAATCCGCAACAAAACACGACAAAACAAAAAAAAACAAGAAAAAACGCCAAACCCTGAGTCCTAAGCCCTCTTAAACCTCGAGATCTTAAACCCCAAGCCCCAAATCCCCAAACCATGAAACCCCTTCTTCAAGCAGGTTATTGGCCTCATTGGTCGGCCTATCCTGTGCTACCGTTTTGGGGTTTAAGGCTTAGGGTTGGGAGGGGTGAGCGACAGGGGGATTAGGGTTGCATTTCATTTTTGGGTTTAGGGTTCAGGGTTTAGGGTTTAGGGTTTAGGGTCTAGGTTTAGGGTTTAGGGTTTAGGGTTTAGGGTTTAGGGTTTAGGGTTTAGGGTTTAGGGTTTAGGGTTTAGGGTGGGGGGGGTGTTGGAGTTAGGAGATAGGGCTCTGGGGCCTCAGGGCTTTCGGGGCCGTGCATCCCCACACATGGACTCAGGGCTTACGGCTTGGGGGGGTCCCTAGACCCTGCGCTGGAACTCTTCGCTCGCCCTTCCCTAAAAATCGCGATGGAGAGCGGTGCCAGCCTGGACCTGACCTGGTGAAGAGTACGGAAAGTGCACACGACCCCGGTGAGAGTGCCATGTGGCCCCACGAGGCCAACGAAGCGCACCTTTAAAACGGATGCACGAAGTCCACCCAGAAAGTGCAAGATGTATCGGCGCAAGCCTCAAAGGGGGCGCGGGATGTGAGCAGGAGCTTGGCAAGAGCGCGATGCGTCGTGATTGAGAGCATGCTAGCTAGGTAGGACCAGTGGACATGTTGCATCTCCCTCATTGGGTTTTAAGAGGATCGTTCCCCCTATATTGTTCAAGGGACCAACCTGGCTATTTATTTCCGATGCTTCGGCCCTCTCTTGACGTTCACGGGCCCTGGAGTGCGAGAGTGTCACCCGCACGCGGAAACACCGGGAGGGTCATCGCAAGCGGCTGGTTGGAAGGGTCCGGACCAACAGGGCGAACCAAAGAGGGTCATGGGTTTTAGGGGGTTTAGGGTTTAGGGTTTAAGGTTTAGGGGGTCCTCGGTTTCGAGACCCCATGAGCACCTGCGGTTTACTCTGAACATAGGAATCCTGGAGGGCAAGCAGTGCTTGGGGAATTCAATCCCAAACGAGTTCCTAAACCCTAAAACCCGAAACCCCTGAAACCCAAAACCCTAAACCCTAAACCCGAAGTTGCAAAGCCCCCGTCAACAGGAAGTCGAGGCCTATGCCAAGGCGACTTTAGCCTATGAGCTGCCGGCAGACGTGCTGGACGCCATTGCAACTTGGTTAGGACTGCTAAACCCTAAGGCCTAAGGCCTAGGCCCTACGCCCTAAACCCTAAACCCCAACCCTAAACCCTAAACCCTCTGAGCACGACCACTGGGGGAAGGGGCCGCTTTAGCTACACACTGGCGAGCAGTTGTTCCCCATGTCCTCCTCTGCACACGCACCTCTGTTCCTTTTCGCATCTCAGGGGCACATTCCTTAGTTTTCGGGCCCTCAGAGTTTGGGGCTTCGGGTTTCGCAGCAATTTGAGCATCAAAGCGAGGTTAAGGAGTTTGACGGGTCTAGCAAGTCGCGGCGAGGTGCTAATACTGTGCCTATTAATGACCTCGCCCCTACACGTCCTCAAAGCTATATGTAGACACCTAATAAGCGTAATATGTTTTTGTAGTGGAGAGAGATACAACCTTCCCTAACGGTGTTCAAATGGGTGCATGGCTAACCCAACTTGCGAAAGCAGCCCAGGTGAAAAAGCTGGACCCTGTCACCCTTGCTAAGTTTCGGCCGCTGCATCAGAAGTTGTTTATCGCCAAGTCGGAGATTCTTGCGCGAAAGGCAGGGTTCAGGGCTTAGAGCTTTAAGTTCAGGAGACAGAAGCTGACACGTCCTCTTGGTGACACGATGGGCATTCCGTTTGTGCTACGACTAAACCTACGAAGATGATGACTACAAGCATCAACTGCAAAAATTGCACCATGATTGATGCTCTCGTCCTTTTGCAGCAGCAGCAGCAGCAGCATGTCGCATGGGAGGTTTGTCTAGGAGGCATCGCTCATGTTTTTTCCAGCGCATCCATTGACCAGAGCATGCATGATCGGACCAGGACTATCCCATGACTACCCTAAACCCGCAGCCCTAGTGGTAGGCCCTTGGGATATTTTATGCCTTGCTGTGTGTAAGAGCATCATAGTTTGGAATCGTTTGCAGAAGCTTGGATTGGCCAACCTCGTGGACTTCCCTCAACCCAAACCTTGCACGGAGCCAGGAGTCCTCAGGCACATAACCCGCCCTAAACACTAAACCCGAAACCCTAAACCCTAAACCCCCTAAACGAGGAGGTGCGCAGTGCAAGCCAAAGATCTCAAACCCCATTAACCCCTATAGCCTCCAGGTCTCTCAACCCTGCTGCACAGCCAAAAAGCCTCTAGTGCATCCTTCAAAGGCTGCTGAGAGCGTCTGCGAGAAGAAATGCCGAAAAGCTTAACATCCACAGAAACAAAGGCTAGCAACCCTGACCTTAACCAAGACGCACCAGCATACCCCCACACATAATATTCACAAAACCCCTTCACAGAACCTGAATCCTAGTAGACACCCCAAAGCCTTAAACCCTAAACCCCACCTTGTCTCCCGAAGGCGCGATCCGAGGAGGCGCAGCTGTAAGAAGCGCTCGACGCGATGCGCTCGGCGGAAAAGCTGGTGTCCGACGTCGGGCGCAGGGTGGCTTTCCTTAGGAACAGGGTTTAGGGTTTAGGGTTTAGGGTTTAGGGGAAGCGGGATATTGCAGCAGGGTGTATGTTACGGTTGTTGGAGACTGTTTATGTGGTTCCTCATGAAAGAAATGACCCCACGGGGGCTTACGATGGGCCCAAAGCCTGTGCCCAAAAACCTTGGAGCCTGTAAAGTTAAAGTTGCATTCTGCCTCCATGCTGGGCATGTGGCATGCTGAATTGGGCTTGGTAGCCCAGTGGTACGCTCGCTTTACCTTTTTTTTTGGTTGATGGTTTCCCTTCTAAAATAACCAACCCCAAAAACGGGTGCTCTTATCATAATATTGTTACTGGGCTTCCATGTGGGGTTGTCTACAAAATGCCAGCTTTTGCCAGTCTTTGAGTTGGGAGAGTGAGGCACCAGAGTTGAATCATCTGGAAGCATCTGCGACAGGATCCGTTGAGCCTTTCCGCAGCTATCTCTCAGCTGCCGCACACATTCGGCCAGTCGGGAATTTGTGGTCCCTTCTGCGACCTCCCCCACGCACCCGGAGTCCGGATTGAAACTCCTGCGACACAGGGTCCAGAGCAATGTACATCAAGCAGGTGAGGGTCTGAAAAAGAGAGTTTAGGGTTTAGGGTTTAGGGTTTAGGGTTTAGGGTTTAGGGTCGCTTTAAACACCCTCTAATGTACATCAAGCAGGTCATCATCCGTGGCTTCAAGACCTACAAGGAACAGACGACGCTGGACGAGGACTTCTCCTCCGGCACCAACGTGGTCGTCGGTTTCAACGGTTCCTAGGACCCAAACCCTAAACCCTAAACCCTAAACCCCTTTTTGTTAAGGGTTGGGGTTCCCTTATAACCCCCCTTAAAACCAAAAAGGGTGCCCTTATTTTACTCCTTGGTTACTCCGGGGTCTAGGTTCTGGGAAGTCCAACTTCTTCCAAGCCATCCTCTTCGTTCTGTCCGACCAGTTCAGCTCCCTGCGCGCGGAGACCCGGAAGGCGCTTCTACACGAGGGCGCCGGGCAGGCGGTGCTGACGGCTTACGTGGAGGTGGTCTTGGACAATTCCGACCGCCGCATCCCCTTGGAAACCGACTCCGTGCCTAGGTAGGCCCTTGGGATATCTCACATACTTTGCCCCCTTCTTGGGTTTAAGAGGAACAAATAATATCTATATATATATATATATGTAGATAGTCTAAAAACAGTAATACCAATAAGAATCATGAATAATTTGCAATAATGCTAAAAAGATAATGACAATAATAATCGTAAAAATACGTCCTAGGTGTCCATCCGGCGCCTCATCGGCGTGAAGAAGGACGACTGGCTGCTTGAAGGGAAGCACGCAACCAAGGCGGAGATCTTCGGACTTTTGGAGGGCGCCGGCTTTGCAACTTGGCTTGTCCAGAGGGGGGGGGGGGGGGGGGGGGGGGGGGGGGGGGGTGGGGTTTAGGGTTTAGGGTTTAGGGCTTAGGGCTTAGGGCTTAGGGTTGAGGGTTTAGGGGTTTTGGGGTTTAGGGTTTCGGGTTTAGGGTTTAGGGTTTAGGGTGGGGGGGCGGGGGGAGTTCTAGGGTTCCCCCTTAGAAAGTAGCCAACCCCAAGAAAAGGGTGCCCTGATTGTGATAGGGTTCCAGGGGGCTACCCAGGCGAAGACCAGCCCCTACTACATCGTGCAGCAGGGAAAGGTCAGTGAGCTGACGATGATGACGGACGCCCAGCGCCTGGGCCTTCTGAAGAGCATCTCCGGCGTGGCTCGGTCGGCCCTTCTATTGTTGTTCATATGTCCCCCTTATTGGGGGGTTTAAGAGGATCATATTTCAGGAATCTTTCTTCAGAGGTGTTTCTCTAAACCCTAAACCCTAAACCCTAAGCCCTAAACCCTTAGGCGCCATCCTAGGCGGGCGTGTGGGCCGAGAGGCGCGGGGAGTCTGTGAAGATCATGGAGGACACCTCCACCCGGAAGATGCGAATCGAGGGCTTGATCTCGGACATCGAGCAGAAGCTGCAGAACCTTGAGGACAGGCGATCTCAAAAGGGTTTGGGGTTTAGGGTTTAGGGTTTAGGCTTTAGGGTTTAGGGTTCAGGGTACAGGGTACAGGGTTCAGGGTACAGGGTACAGGGTTCAGGGTTCAGGGTTTCAGGGTTTAGGGGTTTAGGGGCCAGACTGCTCAAACTGAAGCCATCTTCCTGCCAGCGACTTGTGACTGGAGTGCCCTGAAGCTCCAATCCGAAGACCCTAAACCCTGAACTTGCCTTCCCAGGAGGAGCAGCGGGAGCTGCGCGAGTGCGAAAGGTGGGGTAGGGCTCCACCACATCGGAACAGGGTTTAGGGATTTGTTTTTTTTTTTTTTTTTTTTTTTTGGGGGGGGGGGGGGGGGGGCCGAATCCCAAACCCTCCCAGACTGTCGTCTCCCAAGAATTATCTGCTCTATCTAGCTTCTTGTATATCATACAGTGCGGAGAGAGTGCATGTATTTACGCTTTCAAAGTCAGACAGGAAGTATAGCCTGGGAGCCCTCAAGCCCTTCAAGCCTCAGAACTCCAAGGGACCAGAGAAGGGACCCTTATGAGGGACCTTAGGGGTTCTAGGGGAATAAGATTAAGTGTCCCTTCTAGGTGGTCCCTCCTTTTACCCCTTAAGAACTGCTCTTCGGGGTATATACTTCTACATAGCCCCTATATAGCTGAGTAGCCCCTAAATAACCCCGAAATAACCCCTAAAGGTCCCTTACAAAAGTCTCTCCTTTAGTCCCTTGACCCTCCTTGGGCAGGTTAGAAGCTCGCCGCCGCACCCTGGAGTATGCCCTGGCCGATCGGGAGTGGCGCTCCGCGCAGCAGCGTATCGAAGTCTTGGAGGAGACTGTTTTCATGGGTTTAGGGTTTAGGGTTTAGGGTTCAGGGTGCTAACAAAACCTCCTTCCCAGACGCTCTGCAAGCACGAACCCTATAGGCCCTTATCGTATACGGGGTTGCTCTCCAGCAAGAGGTTTTGCGACCAGGGTCATGGGCCAGGGTCTCAAAGGTTAGCGTTCAGGACTCAATGCCTTAGGCCCTTAAAGGCCGTCTTCGCAGGCTCCAGGTTTTAAGCATTTCTTGGCATCCAGGGCTTGAAATTTAGGCTTCAGGGCTGCCCTTAAACCCTGAATTTTGAACACTAAGCCCCAAGCCCCAAACACCCTTTAAACCCTGAACCCCTGAACCCCTAAGTTTAGGGTTTAGGGTTTAGGGTTTAGGGTTTAGGGTTTTAAACCCTAAAGGGTTTTAAACCCTAAACCCTAAGCCCTAAACCCAACGCCAAAAGCAGGACAAGCGGTTCACCGCCTCCAAGGATCTCCGGGATCTTCAGGGACGCTCAGCAGCAGTCGGGGTTTCGGTGTTTCAGGGGAGACGGTTTAGGGTTTAGGGTTTAGGGTCTAGGGTTTAGGGTTTAGGGTTTAGGGTTTAGGGTTTAGGGTTTAGGGTTTAGGGTTTAGGGTTTAGGGTTTAGGGTTTAGGGTTTAGGGTTTAGGGAGCGTGGGGCCTAGGGCTATGGGGGTGCTGGGAAGACCCCGCTAAGGCAAGGTCGCCGATGTTCGGCAGCGGGCCGCACAGGCCGAGGCGGATGCAGAGAAGCTCGAGGAGCAGAGAAGGCGATGGGATTTCTAGGGTTTAGGGATTCGGGTTGAAGGTAGTTGGGATGCCTCGGGCCAGTGAGTTCTGGCTTTTTTTTTGGGTCAACTACCAGGTTCAGTAGCTTCGTCTGGTCTTATGGTTTTTAGGGTTTTGGGGGTTTATATGGTTTATAGGACTTACAGGGTTTGTCGGGTTTAGGGTCAAGGGTAGTCAGCACGTCCGGCTTCAAGAAAGAGGGTTAATTGACCGGAAGCACATGGCGGCAGGTGTGCAGGGTGTACTTAACAACCACCCTAACACCTAAGCCCTAAGCCCTCAACCCGAATGGCTCATGATGATTCTGCGTGCCCTCGGACCAGACTTCGCCGAAGCCATCCAAACAGCCCGAGAAGCCTTGCGAAGCCCTATGCTCTGAAACCCTAAACCCTGAAGCCCACAAGGCCCTAAGCCTTGAAACCCTAAAAGCCCTCAAAGGCCCTAAACCCTGAAGCCCTACAAAGCCCTGAGCCCTGAAACCCCCTTCAGAACGCCCCTGAAACCCCTAGAAGCCCTCAACCCTGAACCCTATAACCCTAAATCCCTAGAAGCCCTCAACCCTAAGACTCTAGAATCCCTCAATCCTAAACCCTAAACCCTAAAACCCTAAACCCTTAAACGCTTAAACCCATCAAACCCTCTTTTTTGCTCCTCAGGCTGGCGACCGAGGCCCTGGCAAACCTCGAGACTGAGCGTGATCGGAGGTTTGAGGCTCTCACCAAGGCCGGGCGGGTTTGGGTGTGGGGGTTTAAGGTTTCGGGTTTAGGATTTAGGGTTTAGGGTTGGATTGGGGTTTATGGCTTAGGGAAAGGTTTCTGCCTTTTTTTTTGAGGGGGGGCGGGGGTGGGGGTCCCCTAAACCTTAAACCCCCTCAAACAGCCTGAGAAATTAAGGCTGTACTAGTAGGGGCCCTGTAGTTTCATATTAGAATTATATATTTTTTTTCTATATATATATATATACATATACACATATGTATGTATAGGTGTGATTTTCCATTTAAAACAATTCCCAGCCAGGCCGGCCTGGCTGCTGAGGAGGAGATGGCGGGAACGGGCCGTGGGGCGTATGAGCAAGGAACCCTAAACCTTCAGGGTTTGGGGTTCAGGGGCTAGGGTTTGGGGTTCAGGGTTTAGGGTTTGGTGTTCGGGGTTTAGGGTTTAGGGTTTGGGGTTCAGGGTTTAAGGTTTGGGGTTTACGGTAAGCCCTCAGCACTAAAGCCCCTCAGAACGCGCCTCGCGAAGGAGAGTCGGCAGCGCAAGGAGGGCGAGGCACGAAACGATCAGATGCTGGGCTCGACTGTCACGGCTTAGTAGTAGAGCTGGTAACTTTTAGTCTTTTTGGTGGTCTTCGAATCCCTATAAACTCCCAAAGGTTCACCTTTAATTCCTAAGAGGGTGTTTGGGCATGGTAAGGTTGTGGGGTTTCGGGGTTTATGGCACAGGGTTGCGGGTTGGGATGTTCCCCCTCATAACAGTCCTTAACAGGGATTCTAATAGGGGGTTACTAGAATCCCGATTAAGGACTGTTAGTATAAGGGGGAACATCCCAACTTGTGGGGTTCACGGTTTAGGGTTTGGGGGTTTGGGGGTTTATGGTTTAGGGCTCAGCGTTCGTCACTAGTCCTTCGTTGCTGATGAGGCCCAGCTCACACGACACCCAGTGAACCGTGCCATCCTGCTCCCATTCTTCAATCATAGAGGGTTTAGGGTCCTACACCCTAGACTCTAGCCCTAGACCCTGAACCCTAATTTTAAGGGTATCCATCACCTCAATCAGGTGGGTGTGAGTCAAGTACGGTACATGTCGAAGATATGGACTGCAGCAGATTCCCGTTTGGGAGGGTGTAGGTTCCCTCAGCAGAACCCCTTGAAGAAATCAGGACACCCTTTTTTTTCCGAGGTTACTGGCCAACCTAGGAATAACTCGTTGCAACAGATCTTCATACCCTTGATTCCTTGATCATTTGCGGTACAGCAAAAGAACATCCAATATGCTTGGGGGGAGAAACTGGATGTACAGCAGCCGAACACTGCAACAGCAACCGCGCTAGTCCGTATACATGCTATGCGACTTCACGTATTTGTACTTTACACTGCGTTCATGAATACATACATACCTTTTTTCTTCTAGTGGTTTATCAGGAGCTTATCACCTCTACCCTAAGCCCTAGCCCTAAACCCTAAACCCAGGGTTGATCCGATCTTTGGGGCTTGGCCGTTCATCGTTGGGATGTTTGGGCTTGGTTCCTTGTGTTCGGTTTGAGACACCTTCTTTAGGGGTTAGGGGTTAGGGTTTAGGGTTTATGCTAACATAGGGGTACCATGCTCAGGGGTTTCTTTCATAAGGGTTGTAGCATTTGGGGGGCATATAGGGGGTCCTCTATCTGGGGAAATACGCCTTTGTTGTCCCTTGGTGTTGGCGCTGGCGGTGGTGGTGGAATGTTGGCTATTGGGTGTCGTCACAAGTAAGAGCACTTGTTACACCAGTAGGTCCGCAATCCATACCCCGCAGAAGAAAATGATCGCAACAAGAGAAACCGGAGCCTAAACGCCCCTTACATATACTAACCATCCTCAATAGGGATTATAATGGGGGTATTATGCTCCCTTTTAAGGACTGTTAGTATAAGGGGGAACATCACAACCCTAAACCCCAAACCCCAAGCCCTAAGCCCTAAGCCCTAAACCCTAAACCCTAAACCCTAAACCCTAGCAGGCCTCAAGCCCCAAAGCCTAGGAAGCTAGCCGACTTGGCCGCGGCACGGCAAATGGTCCAGGAAGCCGCTGAAGCGGTACAGAAACTCGGAACAGTCATACTTGAAGAGAAGTGCCTTAAACCTTAAAACCCTATAGGGTTTAAGGTTTAGGGTATACACCCTAAACTTACCCCCCTGGGCCCGAAGCGTGATACCTGAGCCCGAACAGCCCCCAGCTCGGCAGCGGGCATCTTTGGGGTGAAAGTCCCAGCTCATGAGGGCTTTGAGGTCGTAGACGTAGGAAGCTTAGGGTTTAGGGTTTTGGGTTTTGGGGGCTGATGTTCGGTTCTCACACGCTGCCTCCACTGCCGGTTAAATCGGCGCGCACACACACACACCCACCTCGGGAGGGGTGGAAGGTGCTCAACAAATCCAACGGGTTTAGGGCCAAAGTGCATAGGCCTCAGGGACTTAGGGCACTGCTTGATATCTCAGCTCACCTTTAACAGCACTATGCTATGCGGGCCTCATGGTGGTCGAGAGGCCCTTAAGAGCAGGTAGGGTTTCGGACCCTTGAACCCAACAACCCGTCGGCCTAAACTGGCGAGAGCGCCACCGACCATGTACTCGAGCGCTCGAACCCCTTTAGCGACACTTTCTACTTTGGAGCGCAGCTCCTATAATGAACGACCCCAAAACTCCCTCCCCCCCCAAAGCTCCTCAAAAGCCTCTTGAAGAGCCAAGGAAAGAGCAACCGGAGGTCCAAGCGGCCGAGGCAGCATTCCGGGAGCTGGAGCAGCAGCGGCAGGTGTTTTGTTTTTTTTTTTTTTTGGGGGGGGGGGGGGCTCGCGAATACGTCCATGTTACCAATGTGTCAGGGCGTGCGCCTGCGAATGGCTGTAGCAGGCAGTATCGCACGATGACTACGCCCACCTTCCCAGCTTAAGCAGCACGTCCATGAAGCCGCTAAACCCTAAACCCTCAACCCTAAACCCCAAACCCTAAACCCTAAACCCCAAACCCTAAACCCTAAACCCTAAGCCCTAAGCCCTGAACCCTAAACCCTAAACCCTAACCCTAAACCCCAGATGGCACTTGGAGCCCACGTAGTTGTGCCTAGAGACTGGTCGCAAAATCGTGATGCAGCTTTGCTTCCTGGGTGCGACCGCTGGGGTTGGTCAAAAGATACGATTTCGCTGCGCCTGCTAAGGTTTAGGGTTTGGGGTTTAGGGTTTAGGGTTTAGGGTTTAGGGTACACTTTCCTGCATTCCCCGGCCCCCGTTCTCCAACACCTTTTGTTTTGGGGGGGGGAGTGGTTTGTTTAGCGCCGCGTGCCAGGGTTTAAGGTTTAGGGGTTCGGGTTAACCCTAAACCCTAAACCCTAAACCCTAAACCCTAAACCCTAAACCCTAAAAGCCCTAAACCCTAGGGGCTGAAGGTTTGGGATCCACGCGTCACGCTCATCAAGCCGACTTGATGCGCCAGGTGGCTGCAGCTGAGCGAGAGCAGCTGCTGGCAAAGCAAGGACAGCAACCCCACGCCCATAAACAGAGAGAGAGAGTGATAGCTGGACAGATGCAGGTGTGGGCAGATAATCACAATGATAATAACGATGATGATAATAATACTAATAATAATAATAATAGTGTATTATTTATATATCTATCTATATATATATATATAAACGCGTATGAATGATTGTGATGATGATGAAGATGAGATGCCCAAGGGAAAGTTTTCGACATTATGTTCTGCCCTAGCGTTCTAGGTTCAAACGGGTTGAGCATCAAGGGCAGCCGGGCCCCCGTAAACCCTAAACCCTAAACCCTAAACCCTAAACCCTAAACCCTAAACCCTAAACCCTAAACCCTAAACCCTAAACCCTAAACCCTAAACCCTAAACCCTAAACCCTAAACCCAGGCCGGCGGCAGCAGTTCAGCAGCGTCGAGGAGAGAAACCGGGCCCTGGATCAAGAGCTGGCAGCACCCGGGCTGCTTCTGGAGGGTTTTAGGGGTATAGGGGTGTCAGGTTTAGGGTTTAGGGGTTTGGGGGGGTTACACCGTGGCTTTCCAGACTTAAAGTGTTTCACCTCCAAGACCCCCTAGACCCTAAACCGGAACCCTAAACCCTAAAACCTAAACCCTAAACCCTAAACCCTGATCACATCCAAGGCACGAGGGCAAAAGCTGGACGAGGCCCGACGCAAGATCGAAGCTGGGCAGCCGACAGTAAGAAGTAAGCAGAGCACGTGTCATGTGGCGGTGTCAGGGTTTAGGGTTTAGGGATTAGGGTTTAGGGTTTAGGGTTTAGGTTTCAGATTCTGAAGTTCGAGCCCGAATGCGGCCCCTAAAATATCGGGTGCCCCCCCCAAAAAGATGCCAAAAATGTCTCAAGAGCGGGCCGCATGTATTCGGGGGTGCAGGCTGGAAGACGGAAACTAGGACCAGGGAGTAGGCCCTTTTTTCCTTTTTTTCGGGTTGGGGTTCCCTTACAATCCCCTTAAAACCAAAAAGGGTACCCTGTTTATTCCTAGGCTACTCCCGGGTCTAGGAAAAGGTGGGGGGTTGTAGTGCCTGCTGTTTTGTCATTGGGGTTGTGGAGGGCTCACGCATAACATGGCGAAGGTTTTGGAGTCCTCTTCCGGGATTGAGGAACTGAGCAAACCCTAAACCCTACACCCTAAACCCTACACCCTACACCCTAAACCCCACACCCTAAACCCTAAACCCTAAACCGGTTAAGTCAGAACCACTCGGTGATGGGTCGATGGGTGGTGGAGCAGCCGAGGATGTTTGCAACGAGCGCGAGCGCAAGAGGGAGGAGGCCCAGAAGAAGGCCACAGAAGTGGCGGGCACAGGCCGGGGACAGATGCAGGATGTAGGGTTTTGTAGGGTTTTGTAGGGTTTTGTCGGGTCTTGTAGGGTTTTGTAGGGTTTAGTAGGGGGCTTAGGGTTCGGGACCTCCCAACAGGCTCCCAAATTTCGAGGATTTTGCCCCGGGTTTCGGGGTGCCCTTTGGAGGTCGGGCGGAGCTGGCCGGCAAGGAGACGCAGCTCAAAGATTTGGGCCAGGAGGCTCAACATGAAGCCAGGGAGCTCAAGCATGTTTAGGGTTTAGGGTTTAGGGTTTAGGGTTTAGGTTTGTCCATTGGGATGTTTCCCCTTCTGCTATCAGTCCTGAATAGGGATTATGGTCAGGGGGTACTATAATCCCTGTGATGCACTGTTAGTATAAGGGGGAACATCCCAACCAATTCCTCTGACTTGGAGCGTTGTTCTGGAATCTGTTCTTTACATCAGTCATGTCGATTGCAAAACCCATGGCTCGACCCAAAAGTCTACAGTACCTACAGTCTGTCGCTGTGCATCAGAGGGCCTAACCCCCTAAACTCCTAAACCCTAAACCAGACATCTCGGGGCACCTGAACAACACTCAGGCATTCTCAGGCGCCAAGCCTCGCCACTTCTCCATATAGCGACCCTACGTCAAGCGCCCACGTCGTCCCACGAAGCCAACACCCGAAGAACCTTTTGTAGGCCTTGCAGAAGCCCAAGAGCCCTAAACCCCCAAACCCTAAACCCCAAACCCTAAACCCCAAACCCCAAACCCTAAACCCTAAACCCTAGAAGCAGGCTAGGAGCCTGTTGCAGGTGAGGAGCCTTGGAAGCCGACTGGACAAGCATGCAGAGGACCTGCGCCTCCTTCACCAGGACTGCAGGTCTTGGGCTTTCTGGAAGGGCTCGGGTTTTTCGGGGTTTAGGGTTTAGGGTTTAGGGTTTAGGGTTTAGGGTTTAGGGTTTAGGGTTTAGGGTTTAAGCCACAGAAACGCACAAAAGATTGCGGCACGTAGCTGAGGGTCGTGCAGACGCGGGCATGTAAGGAAAGAACCTAGATCCGATGTCCTTCTGGTGCCTTTCCTCTCTGAAACGGAGGGGGTTTCAGAAATTCGGGGGCCTTATTGGGATCCTTTTGATAAAGGAATCCTACGGTTTGGGGTCTATATTCAGGGCCCCCATTTTTTCGAAAACCCCCCCCAAGTCAGCCCACAATCTGAGAGCGCGCGAGGATCGCAACAAAGCCCTGCGGGACTTGGACACACTGCGCAAGGAGGTCACGACTTGCCGGAACCGGTTACTTGGACTTTTAGGGTTTAGCGTTTAGGGTTTAGGGTTTAGGGTTTAAGGTTTCGGGTTTAGGGTTTAGGGTTTAGGGTTGCAAGCAACAAGGAAGGACTTTGAGCGGCCGTGGCTGTTGGACCCTTTTTTGATCTGCCCCGCAACCGCACAGGTGCTGACCCCAAGCCGAGATTCTGAAAGGGGGTCCGATAGAAACCCTAAACCCTGAACCCTAAACCCTAAACCCTAAACCCTAAACCTTGTTTTGGATGCGGCATCTTCAGCTTCGGGGCTGTCAGGAACCGAGACCACTTTACTCCGTAAATGTCGGTTCCATGCCCTTTGTCATCTGGGGTTTAGGGTTTAGGGTTTAGGGTTGAGGGTTGAGGGTTGAGGGTTTAGGGTTTACTGACAGATGTTTGACGTTCTCCCTTAGGGTCGAAGCGGGTCGGTATGAAGGGCATCAACAAGAGGCCCCCCGAGAATGCGAAAAATGCGTAAGGCTTCGCGTGCCAGGGATTTCTATGCCAACCAGGGGGGCATCTAGATATACGGCGGCTGTTCTCAATATCTTCCTCTTGTACAGGACCTAAACCCTAAGCCCTAAACCCTAGACCCTGATTTCGACCGATGAGGCTGGATGGGACCATGCCCAGATCAAACCGGCAAGCCGTCTCAGCTGTGCTGCGCTGGGCTGCGGAACAGGGCATGCAGGACCTGCAGGTGTGTCAGAACTGGCTGGTTCTTAGTAGGGAATGAGGGAAGGAGGTACCCTGTACAATCCCTTAAAAGGGTATATATAGGGTACCTCATTCCCTCGATAAAGGTAGATAACTTGAGAAGACTGTCAGGACAGTATGTCTATAACGCCCCTGAGTAGGCTCTTCAGTACAGCCCCTTAACTCTATCATTTGAAGTCGAGCTGTCGAGGGAAGATCAAGCAAACTTGTGGTGCATCTTTGCGAGGGTTCTTTGCCCTGACATCTGCAACAACACTGCAAACCCGAAACCCGAAACCCTAAACCCAAGCGCTCCAAAATCGAGGACCGCATCAAGGGAACCGTCTTATCCCACATCGAGGTTGCTCCGACCTTCCGCGCAGCAGTGGAAACCTTTGCCGGCACCGCCCTTTTCAACGTGCCTCGGACTTCTGGTAGCAGCGCGGCGCGTCGGGAAGTCGGGGTATGTGTGCTGATCTCCATAAAGCCACGTCGCGATGAAGTGCGATGAAAGCAGGCATACACTTGACTTTAAAAACGGTGGCCCGCTTCATTCATCCCGCTTTTTTCGAGGTCCTCGCCATGGATGACGATGCTGCGGCTCAGGCGGTGAAGCATGTGAGGGTGCGGCGTTTGGGTGCCGTTGTGGTGACGCCGTTGAGCCAGCTCACCGCCAAGACCCACAAGTTTCCGGTCATGGACGGTGTGAAGCCTCTGGTCGACGTGGTGAAGTGCCCAGAGTGGGTCCGGCCGGCCGTGCAGCAGATCTTTGGTAGGGCAGTGGCATCTTAGGGATACCTGGAAATATTTGTTGAATTTTGGGCACTTTAACTCCTAAGAAACAGCTAGGTTTTCGCTTGGTTCCAAGCTCAGAAAAGGTCTGCTCAAGTATGGAGCTGTGTGAGGAAGTCGCCCGGCACCACGGCATCGACGCGATCTCACTGGATGGGGACAGGGTGGGCCGCAAGGGCGTCATCACCGGGGGCTTCCAGGATCCCCAGCGCTTTGTGCGCCTCAACCTCTCCGAGGCGATCCGGGTGGCCGAGCAGAAGCTCCATCAAGCAGAGAGGAAGATGCCCGACTTCGACGCCCAGATCGAGACCGTCACCGAAGGGCAGAATGCCCTGCACATGGAACGAGACGGCAAGCACCAGCAGCGCGAGAAGCTCCGGGCGGAGATGCAGCGCTTGGTCGAGGAGGTGAAGACGGCCGAGGCGCGCGAGTTCGGGTCATCTAGGGTCATTGCAGGGCTTTCTGCAGGGCTCATATAAGCTGGGGTTGTTGCGATTCAGGGTGCTTCAACCTTGATGCCCCACCCTAAACCCCAAACCCCAAACCCCAAACCCTAAACCCTAAACCCGAAACGACCCCCTGCAAAATCGAGAAAGCGGCTCAGGAGACGCTGGCGCGCTGCAGCCGCGAGGTGACGGAGCTAAGGGAGTGGCGGCACCGAATGGAGGTTCAAGGGACTAACAAGGAGGGGATCCTCTCTTATCACAGACCTACAAAGGGGAGTTTAGGGGCTCTTCAGGGGCTACTGAGGTAGACAGGGGCTATATAAGGTAAATATAGGAGTCACATAGGGGAATAAAACTAAGGGCGCCCTTCTTTTGCCCCTTAAGAGGTGCTCATCCGCGAGGGCGAGGCCTCCATGGCCCTGAAGCGCGCCGAGCGGGCCTCCAGGTCCCTCGACGGTTTAGGGTTTAGGGTTTAGGGTTTAGGGTTTAGGGTTTAGGGTTTAGGGTTTAGGGTTTAGGGTTTAGGGTTTGGGGTCCAGGTCCCTCAACGGCCTCACGGCGGCGGAGGAGCGGCGGCTGCAGGCGCTGACCGAGCAAATCCAGGAGCTGCAGGGCCAGGAGCTCCAGGCCCCCAGGGGCTTTCCGGGGGTTTAAGGTCTAGGGTTTAGGGTTCAAATTCGACTTTTTGAGAAAAGTGTCTGGACGTTTCGGACCTCTGCACACGTTGGACATGTTTAGATACTGGTCACTAGCACATGCCTCCGGAGACCCACAGCACCACAGACTCTGACAAACTCCATAGCCTGTCAGGCGCAGGAGGCGCTGAAGGTGCTGGAGGCGAGCCTGGAGGAGAAGCAAGCGCAGCTGGAGAGCTCCCTGAGGCCCCGGCTGCACTTGCTGGAGCTGGAGGTCGCCAGCACCTCGCAGGAGGAGACGGCCGAGCGGGCGGAAGAGGCGGTGCAAATCCAGGGCCGCATGCAGAAGGAGCACAGCGAGGCCCTGAGCCGCTTGGCCAAGGAGAGCGAGGAGCTGAGGCGCCTCGGGGAGCGCTGCGGGGAGTGCCAGAAGCACCGGGAGGAGCTGGCGGCGGAGGAGCAGCGCAGCGCGGACCAGGCCGCCCAGGCCTCCGTGCGCCTGGACCAGATCCTTGCGGAGCAGGCGGCTCAAAGCAACAAGAAGGCCGAGGTGGACACAAAGCTCCAGGGCCTTGCTGCAGCACCAGCCGAGGTGGAACAATGCCGTCAGCTTGCCAAGGGCGAGCTGGTGCAGGAGCTCTCGGAGGCCGCCCGGAGGTTGCAGGGCTTCCAGCACGTGAACCGCAAGGCTGTGGAGCAGTTCGAGAACTTCTCAGAGCAGCTCAAGGACCTGCGCGATCGCAAGCAGGATGTCGAGAAAGGAGAGGCTTCCATTGCGGAGGCTATCCAACAGATCGATGCACAGAAGGAAGAGTCCGTGCACCAGACACTCCGCAAAGTGAACAGCAACTTCCAGCAGGTCTTCAGCGAGATGGTCCCAGGAGGTGTGGGCCAGCTGCACGTGACGCGCCAGGGCCAGGGTGAGACGCAGGAGAGTGAGCCAGGTCTGGGAGACATGCTGGGTGTGCGCATCGAGGTGTCCTTCACCGGGCAGGCGCAGTCCTTCCTGTCCATGCACCAGCTTTCCGGAGGCCAGAAGACCGTGGTGGCCTTGAGCTTGGTTTTTGCCATCCAACGCCTGGAGCCTGCTCCCTTCTACTTGCTGGACGAGGTGGGCATTTCCCAAAATAGGGGTACATAGGGGTGCCACTTTTATACCCCAAATGGACTAGAATCCCCTTCAAGGGACCGCCCTAAACCATAAACCCTAAACCCTAAACCCTAAACCCTATCTTCAGAAACCCCCAGGTCGACGCGGCCCTGGACGCCTCTTACCGCACGGCCTTGGCGAACCTCATCGCGCGCACCGCCAAGACCTCCCAGGTGATTATGACCACCTTCCGCCCCGAGACGCTGCTCGGTAGGCCTTTAAGGGACCATTTTTTTGACACTTTTTCCCCTAAATTTTCCCTCCCTTGTTGGGTTTAAAGAGAGGGTCAGAATTCAGGAATATTCTTAACAGGGTTTTTTTTGGCCATCCTTGGCTGGAGTTTCAGGACCATTTTTGATATGTTCCCCCCTATTTTTCCCTTATTGCGTTTAAGAGGATCATAAAATTCGGGAGTATTGTTCACAAGGGGTTTTTTTTAAGAGGCCATCTCTAGGCTGGAGAAAGCCGACCGCTGCTACCGGGTCTACCAACGGAACCGCGCCAGCCGGATCGATGCCGTGAGCCGCGAAGTGGCCGCCGACCTGCTGCGTGAGCAAGACCGCTTCTTTGTCATATGGAGAAGTAGCATTTTACAGTTTTAAGGTTTTAGGGTTTAGGGTTCAGGGGTGCTTAAACACAACAAGGAATAGGAAGTTTAAAGTCTAAGACTATCCCAACCATGAAGCAGGCTTGGCCCAGGCTGAAGCCGAAGAAGCACTCCGCGAAGCCTGATGCTGAAGCGTTGCTGCCTGACTCCCCGAATTTGAGAGCAGAACTCTTGAACAACTTGGGTTTAGGGTTTAGGGTTTAGGGTTTAGGGTTTAGGGTTTAGGGTTAGGGTTTAGGGTTTAGGGTTTAGGGTTTAGGGCTTGGCTTCACGGTCACTGCACGCGTGAGGCCTCTAGAAGATGTATATAGTTTTGCGCTGAGACCCATTCCCGGAGGGAGTGCGGAGCTCAGCTGCGTGCGCGCCCACCAGCAAGTCCTTCATGGGTGGACTGCAGTGGCACGCATCTGCACACCTAGTAGTAGGGTAGGTAACCTTTAACCTTTTTTTGGGTAGTATAATCCCCTTATAATCCCATAGGTTAACCTTTAATTCCCCAGGTTACTGGACAACTAGGCACAGGAGAAGTGAGGAGAATCTGTACACCTGGTAGACATCTGTGGTAGACGTGGTAGCGAAGTTGACCATCCCAAAGTGACAGCGAAGGCATGCTCCCTCTTGTTGCAAAAGGCCGAGGGTGACCAACTTGGAGGTTCATGGGTACTTATTAACCCCATTTTTGAGTCTACTCTTAACCTACTTAGGGGACTTACGGGGCTTCTAAGTACCGTGAGAATTGGGGTGATAAGTACCCTGAACCCCCCAAGAGGAGCCCTGCATCCTCTTGCATCTCCAGTCGCCCTGCGGTGGTGTGAAGCAAGCCCGGTCTGCATTGGCTTAATGTCAGACATGACCCCGTCGGCGAAAAACACGCATGGACTTCCGGCAGGAAATATCGGGTTTAGGGTTTAGGGTTTAGGGTTTAGGGTTTAGGATTATCCAGCATCTTCCTAGAACCCGACTCAAAACATCTCAAAACCCGTGGAACCTGAACTTGGACGTGCTGGTTGCGGACCCAACCTGCCCCACCATGGAGCCTGATTCCAGCATGGGTGCCTACAAGGTCGGGCTTGGGAGGGGACATGGAAGCAGAAATCCCTAAACCCTAACCCTAAACCCTAAACCCTCTGCCACCGCATGATCAGCAGTCGGGTCGTGCCAGTTTTTTCCTCCAGGGCGCTCTGCGTTGAAGGCTTTGGAGGGCAGAGTAGGTGACCGTGAACCTTTTTGGGGTATTCTCATCCCTATTTGGATCCCAAAGGTTGACCTTCAATTCTCCCAGGTTACTGGACAACTAAGCTAGAAAGGGTGGCTCCCACACATCCGAGCGAGAGGTCGGTGATCCAGCGGTCTCTCCCGCAGGCAAGGCTGGGAGCGTCAAGGCATCCCTTAAGCAGCTTTAAGTAGGCCGTCTCAGAGTTGCGCACCCTAAACCCTGAACCTTTCAACAAAAAGGAGGGCTTGAAAGGCCATGCCGTGACATGCCCCATCTGCCATGAGGTGCCAGGGCCTAGCAGCCCGGAAGTCCTTAAACTCGAAACCCTCAAACCTTTAAACCTAGATAAAGCTAGGGTTTAGGGTTTAGGGTTTAGGGTTTAGGGTTTAGGGTTTAGGGTTTAGGGTTTAGGGTTTAGGGTTTAGGTCTAAGCACCTTGGTGAGCCAGGCCGGATGTTCCTCGAGAGCGTGCACTCAGAGGCAGGGCCTATGGCTTGAGAGAGAATACCCAAAAGCCCTGTCCCTTTAACCTCTAAGCCCTAAATCCTAAATCCTAAACCCTGAACCCTAAACCCTAAACCCTAAACCCTAAACCCTAAACCCTAAACCCTAAGCCCTCCCTCCTGGCTCAGCTCTACAGCGACCTTGGCATCCTTCTGGTGCTCATCGGTGCCATCCTCGCGCTTCACTTCCTCTACTACGAGGTGTCGGCTGCTCCGCAGGTTTTGGGTTTAGGGTTTAGGGTTTAGGGTTTAGGGTTTCGGGTTTAGGGTTTAGGGTTTAGGGTTTAGGGTTAGGGTCGGAATAATGCCGAATAGTATTCCCTCATGGTCCCTTGATAATTCGTTTATAATCATCCTAATGGCATTCCCTCATGGTCCCCTTAGAATTCTACGATAATAACCTCCAAAACCCTATTCTAATTCTTTAGAGGCCCTATAGTAGGACGAGGGAAGGGGCGAGCTGAGAAGATCCTCAGGTTTAAGGGCCTCGGGTTCAGCGTTTGCACGCAGGTAATAACATGTCAAGACGTGTTCAGGGTTCAGGGTTTAGGGTTTAGGGTTTAGGGTTTAGGGAGGCATAAGGCGCGCGTAGGAATCTACCGTGAATTTTGGGCGTTTGGTAGCGAGGCAGTTTTCAAGCTTAGGGTTCCCAAGGGTAGGGATTCAAGGTTCAGGGCCTAGTGAGTAGGGTCTAGGGCCGAGCAAGGGGCTAAGTGATGCCAAGGGGGGTTTGGAACCGGTTTAATGTCTGTATGGTATGGGATTCTCTGGGTGGGCAAGTACTTGTCGGATGCCTGAAAAGCTGCTAGACAAGTGAATGCTTGAACTTGAGATGCTGAGCCCTAACCCTAAACCCTGAACCCCAAGCCCTAAGCCTTCATAAACTAAGGACCCCCCTAAACCCTAAACCCTAAACCCTAAACCCTAAACTTCCTTGTCAGGTGGCGATGCTAAAGAACCCCACACGTCGCACTTTGGGGCTACAACTCTCCGTGGCCCTGGCGTCCTCGTCTTTCCTGGGCCGGCGGCCTAATGTGCCCCCAGGGCTTAGGGTTTAGGATTTTGGGTTTAGGGCTTCCGATTTGGGGTGCTTAGTTCATAAAGGTTTAGGGTGCAGGGTTAGGATTTAGGGTTCCTCTTAGTTCATAAAGGTGTAGGGGTTGGGGTGCAGGCTTGAGGGCCCTTACTTCTCGTAAGGGAATAGCTGCGTTGTTCTTGGTATGAGGGATCGGTATTGAGTGTTTCTGAGGGCCCAAAAATTTAGCATCTTGGAGGGAGGGAGGGGGCGTCTGTCTGGAGACCCTGGAGATCCTGAAGCCCTGCACTGCTACTGCTATCTATGATTATCTTCATGTTTTGTTATTGTTCCCGGAACCCCAATCTGTTTGTGGGGAGAAGCTCCCATCCGCCGCGCTCTCAGCTTGTTGGACTTGAAGTTGTGTGGTTCTTTTTTGGTCCCCTAAACCCTAAACCCTAAACCTGTTCGCCCGAGGACTGGGGCTCTTCTTCCTGTACGCCTGGGCTGGCTTGCCCTTATCTCGGCACAAGTCTGCCCAGAACTTTCCATGAGAATCCCTACTTGGAGGTTCATGGGTACTTATTACCCCCATTAGAAGTCTACCTATAACCTGCTTAGGGGACTTAGGGGCTATTAAAAGTACAGTTATAATTGGGATTATAAGTACCCTGAACCTCCAAGTAGGGTGTAGGGTTGTTCGGCTTTAGGCGGGGGCAACCCGTGGCGCTGTAGGTATTCATGACGTATGCGGCGGCGTGGCGAGCACTAGAAGGACGAGGACTGACATTAGGGCTAGGGTTCTGGGTTTAGGGTTTAAGGTTTAGGGTTTAGGGTTTAGGCAGATGTTCACGAGACCTTCGCAGTCGTCGTCGGAACCCCGGGCCCTTTGTATTGCCCCTACACTTGGTTCAGGGATCCGAAGTGTGGGCCCTTCTTATATAGTGTATATCAGGGTTACATAGCAAGGGGCCCAAGTTAAGGGTCCCAGAATGTGCTCATGATTCTGAAATCTGCATGTCAAGACGCAACCACAAGGCTTTATGCAGCTGGCAGGATGTCTGACCTGCTGGAGATGCCGGGTGGGTACCTAGTTCATGGCCCTGGGCCAGACTGAGAGCAGCCGGGCAGATCGTGCTGCCGAGCACCCGGACGCAGCCATCGCCTCACTGGACTCCAGCTGGCGGTCAGCATGTGGGAGCTGAGGTTACAAAAAAGTTGGTCTCAACTTAGCGAGTTGATGTTTGGAGCCTGTGTGCTGAAACTGTTGGCGTGTGTCTTTGGGCCGACACTGTGAAGCAAACTGCCTCATTGTTGCTAGCGGCAGCTCTTTGTGCATCGGTATGGTGCCTCACGTTCACGTCTTGGCACAAACTGACCAGCATGTCTCACCCCGGATGAAATACGGATGCAGAGTGCGCACTAGCTCACCCGTCCAACCGCAAGATGGTCACAGCTGGCGTAGCCTAAACCGACAACGAGTAATATGTAACCGAACAGCAAGTCATACTTATGTAACACGTAGTTACTACCGCACAGAGGACCGAGGAAATGCAGTGGACTCAAAGCTTCTGCTTGAGAACAGGGATCTGCCTGGGGCTCGCAGCGATGTCCGTGCTGTTCGCAGCCGCCTTCAACATCGTATCGAGCGCAGATGTCTCAGACAAGTCTTTAGGGTTTAGGGTTTAGGGTTTAGGGTTTTTGGAACATGGGCGTGGAATCGTCATCACCTCTTGGCGTGCCAGAGATCAGTCGATGGCATCAAAGGTGAGTATAATCCTCGTCAACAAGCAGATTGCTTCAGTATGCCGCCTGGGTGCCCAGCGCTGTCTTTCATCTCGCAGTATGCCTGTGTTTTTTAAAGACTGCGCGGCCTGCAACGAAGGCTTCGACTTCATCCTGACCATGCTTTTTCTCAACTTTCTGACGACAGCGCGTAGACCTCAGCCCGCAGGTCTGCGCGAAGCTGCGCAGTAGCTGAACCTTGAACCCGGAAGAAACCCTGTTAGGGTATTTACATGGTTCAGAATCCAGAACCCCTTAAAGAAGGTAAGGGACCAGATTAACGGGCTATGTAATACCCTACGAAACCCCGCGTAAAACTTTAATTCCGGAAAAAAGTCAGCTATGACTTAACCCGCAATGGGCTGAGGTCGTTGTTGGAAGTGCTGGCAAAGCTCCGGTGGTTTGAGAAGAAGCACCTGCCAATGCGCGAACGAGACACATCAGCAATCCAGGTTTGGTGAGGGTTTAGGTTTGTTAGGTTGTTTTGTTCAGGGGCGGGGCTTCATTTCTACGAATACGGGGGGGGGAGGAACTAGATGTTCCCCATCTTGAGTCGCTTCCAGGATTGAGGGGGTAGGCTTTGGGTATCTTGGTAGGCAGCCAAGAGCCCAACCAAGAGCAGAGAAGGAGAAGAGCGTTCCACCAAAGTCACAAGAAGCCTTGCATCTTGAGTTTGGGGGGTCAGAACCAAAAATGTAGGGGAACATAGTTGTAAATCTTGAAAAATGGAGAGAGAAAAAAAGGGGGGCCTGCACGTCGCCCCCCCCTCACTCCTGGCCTGGCGTGGAGAGGCATTTTAGGTGCAGGTTTTGCAACGGTTGTCGTTGACAGGGTGCGTGGCAAGGTACTCCGCGAAAGCCGCGATTGAAGCCCGCGCCAAACTCGGCAAAAAAGGAGGTGAATACCGTGACTTCTTCCAGCCCTAAACCCTAAACCCTAAACCCTAAACCCTACTTGCATCCCGACCTGGGATGGCCCCGCTCCGTTTTCAACAACCGGGCTCAGGGCTAAGGGGCTCAGAGCAGACTTGCACGCCCCAGCATCGCCCGGAGGGAAAGAGGCTCGGCTTCCTCAGAAGCCCCGATACTCGCAACTGCAATAAGGTGCCCTAAACCCTAAACCCTAAACCCTAGGGTGTCTAAGCCAGGTGACATCGAAACGGTGATGCTTTTTGAAGCGGTTCCCCGACGTCGCCCGATGGTTAGGCCCAAGCTTTACCCCAGAACCTACAGATCTCAGAGAGCCCGAACCGCGAGAACCGATTTCCCAAGTGCCAAGCCTGCTCATCCAGGATGGCTCATCGCAGGTGCGCCGGGGGCAGGAGAGCTGAAGTCTTCTGAGGACTAGGCGTTGAGACTCGAGAGCCTTTTTCCCCCACAGACCCTCATCCCAGGGGTAGGGTTGATCGGGTGATTAGTGCACTTATGCACCCCACATGGTCACGTCTCTAAAGTATGGTCCCTCTTTGGTGGTGCCTAAACAAAAGCGGCCCTTCTCACTTAGCGTACGCAAAAAGGGACCAGAACTTAAAGAACTGACCAAATAGAAGCCCTGGACTGTTGGATTGGTTCTTTGAGTACTTCAGAATGGAGATTGCGGGAGTTTCCCGAAGAACCCACACACAGGAAGTCCTAATGACCCAATGTTCCGAAACCCCTAAACCCTAAACCCAACATGTCTCCTTGACTGGACTTTGATTCAGGTATTGCGCTTAGCACAGTCCTGCTCAACAATTGCAGCAACGAGGCCAGCACTGCCGATACTGCCGTGCTTGCAGTCGAGCCAAATTAGGTAGGGAACCGCATAAACATAAGGATCCACAAACGAGGTTTTTCGGAATCTCCCTTCTAGGGGCAATAGTAGGATCCTTATGTTTATGTGGCTTTTTGGGCCCCTTTAAGGGTTGAGGGTTACACCGCGGCATGCCTCTTGTGCTGCATGCTGTGAAGGCAACCCAGCTGGGGCGTTTCCGCTCCATCGACATGTAGTGTCAACAGTTGATGGGGCAGCACGTCCATGACAGGGTCGAGCCGACAATTCAAACAAGGGCACCCACTTACCTCCACAAGCCTGGCGACATCAAAGAATAGGATTTCAGTTGGAGTGGCCTAAACCCTAAACCCTAAACCCTAAACCCTAAACCCTAAACCCAGCAACGTCTAAGACAACACGGAGATCAGCACCTCTTGCAAAGCAGCGGGGGTCTACGCCTTCCCCGGTCGCCCCTTGGGATTCTCCATATCTCCCTTATTGGGTTCAAGAGGGTCACTCTTCGAGTAATTTCTCAGAGTGTTCTAAGGGCCATCCCTAAACCCTAAACCCTAAAACCTAAAACCCTAACCCTAAACTCAGAGTGTTCTAAGGGCCTTCCTAGCTTCCATGCTCGGCCATGGGCCGCACCAACTGGCAAGATGCGGTTAGTGGAGCTGCAGCTGGTGCTGTGGCGAAAACCGCCACAGCTCCCCTGGAGCGAGTGAAGATGGTGTTGCTTAGAAGCCGTTTAGGGTTTCGGGGTTAGGGTTTAGGGGTTTAGGGGTTTAGGAATTGAGGGTTTAGGGTTTAGGGTATAAAATTTGGGGTTTTGGGCTCAGGGTTTAGGGTGCAGGGTCAAAAGCTCCCAAGGACGAGGAGCTGAAGCTGAAGGTTCGAGGAGTTCAGGGCCTTTTTGGGTTGTGATTCAGAGGTTCAAACCCTAAAACCTAAACCCTAAACCCTAACCTCTAGCCCTAAACCCTAAATGCTTGGGGCTGGATGATTGCTTGTGGCCCACCACTGTCCTACGCCTTAGCTGCGCGGCTCTTCGGATTTCGGAAGCCACGATTTCACTTTCTTAAGCCCCCCCCAAGGCTGACGCTTTTGGGCAGACTCCCCCAGCCCTTAAAGGTTCTGTGTTTAATGATACACATATATGTACATACACTTTTCTTTGTTGATTCATATATGTGGTTTTAAGACTTATTTGTTTATTTGGGTTTATATATTTATTTACTCATTCATTTTTTTGATTTGTTTGTTTGTTTCTTTATTCATGTTCTGTTGGTTTGTTTGTTTGTTTTTTACATCTCTCTTTATCTTTATATTTGTATTTATATTTAGATGAATTTATATATATATGTATTTACTTTTTACTGAATCAATAAACTTATATATTAAAGTCATATTATAGGATGTATCTATACATATTTGTATATTCAGCTGTTTAGATTAGAGGACATATCTATACGACAAACTCCCAACCTTCAGGCTACAGAACCAACAGCTTTCAGTGGGCCGGGCAGCCAGAGCACCCCTGCGCAACGTGGCGCACGCCGCGGCTCAGTTGCTTGGGCCGCGGTTTGGTTTGGGGTTTAGGGTTTAGGGTTTAGGGTTAGGGTTTAGGGTTTAGGGTTTAGGGTTTAGGGTTTAGGGTTTAGGGTTTAGGTGTCAGGTGTCTTTTGGAGGACTCCTTTCTAAGTACGCAGTATGCACGGGAGATTGTCATGTTGGCCAGCTGTTGTTGTCTTTTGCCTTCCTTGTGTTGGAGAAGGTTTTTAAGGGTATAGAAGTTGTCCCAGAACCCAAGCAGAAGCCAAGAAGCTCGACGTCTGAAAGCATAACCCTAAACCCCCTAAACCCTCATAAGTACCTACGTGTAACCTCTCGGAACTTCTCAAGCGTGAAACATGACCAGTTAGAGTCTCAACCCCTTACTCCCACATCGTAGTAGCAGAATCCGGGTTCGCCAGATCCACACAAAGGGACCCCTAAACCCTAAACGCGGAACCCTAAAGCCCTTTTTCTGGCAGAGGCTTATGCAGGAGCCGTGTGGGCTGCGAGGGTTTTGGCGTGGTAACTTGGCCAATGTCCTGCGCGTGGTGCCAACCTATGGGGCGCGGTTCTGGCTGTTTGCCCTCTGCGACAAGACGCTGGCCTTCGTGCCACAGCCCGATACCAGGCGTGAATCGGGTTTGGGTTTTGAGGATTTAGGGTTTAGGGCCTCGGATTTAGGGTTTAGGGTTTAGGGGGCATCATGAAAGTGTGTGCGAACTATTTGTAATTTTTCGCGACTAGTTCAGCATTGCTTTGCAGGGAGCTGCAACGCCACAGTTCTGGCAGACACTGCATCACAGTTCAGCCGCAATGTTGGTGCAGGACGTCTATATTCAGTGCGAAGCTTTAGTAGTTGAGCCCATCTCACGCAGATAAAGGCCTCGAAAGTGTTACTAAACACTTGTCATGTCAAGTACCCTAAACCCTTGGGGCGTGATGGATTTCCCGAAGCTCAAGAAACCTTAGCGACTACTCACATTTAGGGACCCTAGGCCCTGAACCCTAAACCCTCAACCCTAAACCCCAAGCCCCCCAAATTGGAGTTTTGCGCTTCGGCCGGCAGGCGCTTCATCTCCGGCGGGATGGCGGGAGTTGGAGCGCTCATCCTCACACATCCGCTGGACGCGCGCATTTTTTGTTTAGGGTTTAGGGTTTAGGGTTTGGGGTTTGGGGTTAGGGTTTAGGGTTTAGGGTTTAGGGTTGCGGTCTTAAGGTGGCGGAGGCTGGGGCCGAAATTCATCGGGTCATAGAGCTCTTGCTCTGGTATTGATGGCCTTTGGAATTAAGATTGAGACGTTGTTGAGGTTTCGGGATGAAGGATTCTTGGCGATTTGCACTATGTTGGCTGAGGGGTACCGCGTAGCTCACATGCAGAGTTGGGATGCTCGTTCGACTTCCGACTTGGGCTCCTTGTGAAGCACTGGGGCAGGGCAGGGTTCGCGCGAGGACACTGTCAGAACCCGGCTTGCTGCCGCGCGTGTCTTTGCAGACGAAGTCTCCTACAGCGGTTTTGCTGCCCCTCGGCAGCAGAACAGCACTTCAGATTGCCATGAGTTTTCTCAACTGCAGTCAAGAGCAGAACTTGGCAAAACTTTTCAGGGCCTAGATTGCGACACGCACTCTGCCGTAGTCAGACTTGGATGCAATCCGGTCGCAGGATTGTTTTTCGAGCACTTGGAGGCATGGCGGTGTGCGCGGGCTTTATGCCGGCTGCTTCGCCAGCATGCTGGAAATTGCACCCTACAGCGCCATCGTTTTCACCGCCTATGAGGGTGGGATCTCACTGCGCTTGTTGACAGATTTTGGGTTTGGCAAACTCGATTTTGACCCAGCCTGAGGTGTTTGAGAAGTATTATCCTTTTCGGAGCCATAGCACAAGAACTCTGTACTCAGAGATGAGAACTACCTGGCAAATGGCACTTGTTGTTACTGTTATTGGCATTGCTACCTATTTACTGCTTTATGATATCCATTTTTTGATATTTCTGCATGTTTTTGCAGTATCTTCTTTAAGCAGAGTTCCGTTCTGCACGTCCCCAGAACTTGGAGGCATCAAGCAGCGCCTGCTCCCCGCGGGCAGCACCGGCAACACTGGCGTCTTGCCATCTGGACCACAAATTCTGGCAGGAGCTGGTCTTGTCAAAGGGTTTAGGGTTTAGGGTTTAGGGTTTAGGGTTTTTAGGATTATAGGGCTGCTAGGGCTAGGATTTGAAGATCAAGACACTGCAAATCGCAGGTGTCACAAGTGGCTTAACAGCAGCCAGCTTTTGCTATCCGATGGACACCATCCGGCGGCAACTGATGTTGGATGGAGCACTGGGATTTGATGCCAGGTACGGCGGAAGTCTTTGGAAATGTTGCACCTTAGTAGTAGAGTTGGCAGCCTTCAACCTTTTGGGGGTATCCTGATCCCTATAAAATCCCTTATAGGGGTCGGAATATATTCCCTTATGGTCCCTTCATAGTTGTACTATATATATATATATCCCCCCAAAACCCTGCTCTAATCATAAAGGCTCCTACAACTAAGGCAACAGCCTTTGGCTCCAGGGAGGCCTATTGTTGTTCTACCGCGGGTGGACGGCAACGGTGCTCAAAGCCGTGCCGACGGTGACGATCACGTTTCTCACCAAGGACTTCCTGTCCGAGTCCTTCAAGCAGTCCTGATATGGCCCCCTAAACCCAAACTCCTAGACACGCCCAATTTGGGATGCTCCCCCTTATACTAACAGCCCTTAATAGGGATTGTAGTACCCCCCCCAATTCATCCCGACTAAGGACTGTTAGTAAAAGGGGGAACATCCCAACGCCCAAGGCTTTAAAAAGGCCAAAGTTGCCCAAGCCCTGGAAGACGGGAGTTTCCTTCGAGCATTTCAGCTCCCTGCGGCGCACCACTGGGTTTAGGGTTTAGGGTTTAGGGTTCAGGGTTCAGGGTTCAGGGTTTACTTGTGCTGAGGTTCAAGGGGTTTAGGGTTGAGGTGTTGAGGGTTGAGAGTGTCGAGATGCTTTGGGCTTAAGATAGTATCATGATGCTCTTTTCTCAACCTTTGGGTTAGGTTCCCTCAGCATGCCTAATGCATCCTGTGAGCCTTTTAGGAAAAACTTAGGCTTCTGGGCAAGCTAGCTGCGGCAGGACCACTAGGGTTTGGATTTAGGGTTTAAGGCTTACGGTTGGTGACTTGTTTCAGGCTTGTTTGAGTAGGCCTCTCGTTGTAGTGCAGGTGCTCTTTGTAGCAAGGGCTACTTGTTAGATGAGTTCCCGCAAGAGACCCCCAATTCCAAGCAGCCCTCAACCACAAATGCTCCCGCGAACACCGCTGTTTTCTCCATTGGGTTCTATCGGGCTGCATGGACTGCGCGCAGTATTCGCAGGCAAACAGCGTCGGGTTCTATCAGATCACCAAGTCGCTTGGACATCACTGGAGGTTTCTTCGACTAAACCCTAAACCCCCGTCCCGGCCCGGGTGGGGGTTCTTTTTGGGTATGCTTTTTGGCTTTTTTTGGGTTTTTTTTTTGTTTAAACCCTAAACCCTAAACCCTAAACCCTAAACCCTAAAACCCTAAAACCGTAAAACCCCAAAACCCCAAAACCCCAAAACCCCAAAAACCCTAAAACCCTAAAACCCTAAAACCCTAAAACCCTAAAACCCTAAAACCCTAAAACCCTAAACCCTAAACCCCAAACCCTAAACCCTAAACCCCATACCCAAAAGCATACCCTAAACCCAAAAACATACCCTAAACCCACAAACATACTCAAAAAAAACCAAAAAAAATACCCAAAAAAAACCTGGCTCCTCCCGGGAACCCTAAACCCTAAACCCCCGGTCCCAGGAACCCTAAAGCCTAAACCCTAAACCCCCAGTCCCAGGAACCCTAAACCCGAAACCCTTGACATCTGGGGATTTTGGGACTGAGGCTCCTGATCATCCCAACCGTCATGGGTCCCCGGCCTAAGAATGCGAACATGCCGTCAAGCTTCATGCACCGTTTAGGGTTTAGGGTTTAGGGTTTAGGGTTTAGGGTTTAGGGTTTAGGGTTTAGGGTTTAGGGTCTTCAGGGAGTCTCTCAGCTCTGGGCCCAATTTAAGGGTACCGTTAAAAACCAGGCTCCGTATTCGAACCTCCCAGATGTACACTACTGCATCATCTGTTGATGTAGAGGCCCACACTAAATGGGAAAGGGTCAGTTTTGTCCGTTTCTAAATCTAAAAATATATCAGGGGTATGCAGTGGGTCCGGTATTTCCTTGTGAGTTGCGCCTCGCCTGTGCTGCCAAGGACTAGAAAGACTGCAAGGGCGACGTGCAGTCTACAGCCGCAAGGTGTGTGCAGAGATTCAAGTTGCAAAGGGCCTTTTTTTGGTGGGGGCGGGGGTTCCATTCCATAAGAGCCCTGATATCAAAGGTAACTATAAGAGGGCGGGTAGAAGAAAGCAGTTGTTTTTGTTGGCGGGGGGGGGGGGGGGGGGGGGGCGGGTCATCAAGAACCCAGATATCAAAGGCACCTATAAAACCAGCATGTAGGAAAAAGACCCTAAACCCTAAGCTCTACACCCTAAAGCCTAAACCCTAAACCCTAAACCTTAAACCTTAAACCCTAAACCCTATAAACCTAAACCCTAACCCTAAAGTCGAAGGCCACAGCACTGGCGGTCTGCTTGAGATGGGAGTCGCGGGTTGGGATGGAGCGGGGAGGGGGGCGGGGGGGGCTTCTTAATATCTTGTACGAGTACAAGGTACCTGAACACACACACACACACAAGAGTGCGTGTCTGTACATAAAATGACAGATATACATATATATATATATATACCTATATATATATATACATATATAGATATATACAAAAAAACACGTCCCGAATAGAAACAAAACAAAACATGTGTACATTTGCACAAAACAAAACATGTGTGTATGTATGTATATGTGTATATATATATATGTCTGGCGGCCCTAAGTTAGCAACAGGGCCCGCTTGATTTCGCCATGGACCAGGTGATACTGAGCATCGTTGTCACAGCGATCGGAGTGGGAGCCTTGAAGTTCCTGCCTTTGGGATCTTGCTTTTGGGATTTCGGGTTTAGGGTTTAGGATTTAGGGTTTAGGGTTTAGGGTTTAGGATTTAGGGTTTAGGGTTGCATGATCCTGCGTAGTCATAGCCTAATTCGCTCGGTTCAGACTGTGGTGTGAATTCCCTCTACCCCGCTCTACAGCTCAGCTAACGGGGTGCAAGCATTCCTAAGCGCGAGGTTACCCTAAGCAGATGGATTTAGGATTTTGGGTTTAGGGTTTAGGGTTTAGGGTGGGTTTTGGGTAGATGCCCAAGCCCATTCCAGGTGGCAGTAGCCACTGTCTCTGACTTCGAAATCAACGCTGGAGCCCAAGCCATTGTCAAATGACCCGGGTTCATCATGCACCAGGCAGTACTTACCTTGGTGATCCAGCCCCAAACCCTAAAAACCCCCTGGCTCGGAAGGTCCGCGGCACTATCCTGGCGGCTTTGTCTATTGTAAGCACTGTGCAGCCCTTGGGTCAGCTTGGACGAATTCTTGTCAAGTTGGAAGAAGTGCAGTGGCCTACCTGAAACTTGGGATGTTCCCCCTTATACTAAAAGTCCTCAATAGGCATTCTAATCGGGGGTACTATAGTCCCTATTCAGGACTGTTAGTGTAAGAGGGAACATCCCAACCCTAAACCCTACCCTAAATCCTGAGTGAGCTGGGCCTGACAGGCACAGTACCAGATCTGGCAAGGATCAAAGCAGCACGAGCCACTGAACTGCACGAGCTTCGAACATATTCGCAGCAACAAACGTTTAATGATGGGGTTTAGGGTTTAGGGTTTAGGGTTTAGGGTTCAGGGTTCAGGGTTCAGGGTTCAAGCCCTTTTTGGGGTCCTTCTTCCTTAAGCGTGCCTTGCTATATATGAAAACCCCCAAAAAGGGATCCCAAGTTAGAGAACCACCCCACCCTAACGGTGCGAGAGTGGCCCCCAAAACCCTAAACCCTGAACCCTAGCCCTAAACCCTAAACCATAAACCCTAAACCTCATCAAGGCATGGAGTGACCGCGACTCAGATCACCTACTCGGTCGCGTCGCGCTGAGCATCGTTGAGTCGCGCACTGGCATCATGGAATCTGCTGAGTTCGCATTTTCTAAATGAGGGGTTAGGGTTTAGGGTTGAGGGTTTAGGGTTTAGGGTTTAGGCTGTAGGGTTTAGGGTTCAGGGTTTAGGGGTCCCTTTCGATGGGTCCTTGTTGTAAGGGCGCCGTACTATAAAGGGGACCCAAAAAAGGGGACCCTAATTTAGAGAACTGCCCCAGAGGAGGTTAGTTTCGGATTCAGGCACCCAAACGCATCCAACACTGTCAAGGCGTGGCCACAGTCCATTGCCGGGCTGGGAAGTTCCCTGATAGCTGATGCATCTTGACGGCACCTGGTCAACTCTTCAACAGAGACAGGGGCATTGCACTTCGGATGCCACAAGCTGTGTTAGGGCCGGCCCCTTTTTTGTCGCACAGCCACCATCAGTCTCAGGTTCTCCTACCGCAGGTGAAGGCGGCAGCAAAACACTGTCCGCTTTTTGTTCGGAGCGCCACCCAGTTCCCCAACCGCGTGCACGTGCCTGCAGGTCTGCATTCTCATGCGACCGTCCAGCTTGCTGGAACATCAGCTGTCCGGCCAAGGCGAGTAAACGGTTTAGGGTTTCGGGTTTAGGGCTTAGGGCCATGATAGGCTCAGAGTTGCGCCGTGCGCCTCGATAGGCCTGACAAGCCACACAGACCTCAGAGAGTCCCCAAGGGCGCAAGCTCTCTATCATCATATATCGTATTCTTCCTTCGTGCTTGTGCAGTTCTCTCGTTTCGCTGTCATCTGATCATATCTCTAGCATAGTGTTGTGCTTTTTGAGGGATTAGTTGCCGCGGCTGGCAGGCGATCTCTTCTGGATCGCCCTGTGCAATGTGCTGGCCGTTTGTACCAACATCTCTGTCCAGAGCTCGGGCTTCCGGCCCCACGAATGCGAAAGTAAGACCTACGTTTAGGGTTTAGGGTTTAGGGTTTAGGGTTTAGGGTTTAGGGTTTAGGGTTTAGGGTTTAGGGCTCCACCCTACTGTGACAGGCATTTTGGGGGGCATTTCCCAGCTTGAGGGGGACCGCTAGCCCGAATCTGCCCCTCCAACAGTACGATAACCCTTCTTCCCAATATGATTGGAACCCTGAACCCTAAACCCTAAACCCTAAACCCCAAACCCTAAACCCTAAACCCTATCAAGCCGTCAACCGACGCCCAGGTCTACGGCCTCATCGGCAAGACATCCCCGGTGACCTACCAGGCAAGAGCTGCACGTCAGATGTTTCTAAGGGTTTAGGGCAACCCTAAGACCAAAATGGCCAGGAAAATGCGTTTAGGGTGTGGGGTTTTACGGTTTAGAGATGGTGCAGCAGCTTCACAGCAACGCTGACTTCAGCTTAGAACGCGGACAGTTTTGACCCCTGCGTTGCACGTGTGCGTGCATGAATCATTGTGCTTGGGGCTTCGGGTGTTTGCCTTCTTCTTGGTTCTTGCTGTAGCTTTTTAGCTTCGCGTGTCAATGCAGGCATGTTCCCAATTTGACCTGGTAGGCAGTGCACATAAGAAGCCGACAATGCCACATGTAAAGTTGCGTAGTTGTTCTTAGCTGATAAGAAAGTGCAGTTACACTTCACAGAAGAACTACGGAGAAGAAATCAATGAGAAATGATGCTTTGCAGTCCGCGCGATCGAAATTGAAAGGAACTGCTGCTGCGATGGAGCTTTATGGGACAGCTCGTTCGACCAATTATCTTGACATGTGACATCAGCAAGCGTCAGCGCAAAGGCAATAAACCCTCTTGGTTAGCCAACTGTGAATCGCGGTAAACTCGTGTATCCTGGATAAACTTGGGGCTTTAGAGCAAGAAGGCCGAACAGTTGCTTTCTGGTACAAGCCCGAGCCCTTCTGCTGCTAAAGCCCCCACTGCTCTTGCTGCTGCCCTAAACCCGAAGCGCTGACACTGCAACTGTCCTGGAGCCAGCAATTTAACCGAGACAGATCAGGTGGTGGGACAGCTCAAGACTGTGCTTGTCGTCGTGTTTGGCTACATCTTCTTCGACGCACGCCGGTGGCAGCGCATGTCATGCTTGTGTGTGAGACCTGTTGCACAGACGTCGGCTGACGTTGATGATTCGAGGCTGTCCCACAAATATGCGCACCATTAGCACATCCCAAAAACGATCATGCTTTTTCTAGGCAGCCCCCCCTATTACATCCCCATGTAGGATCTGGGGTTCATCCCTTTGGACCAAGGTCCGTGTTCCCCTGCACTGGTTGAGCCTCGGATCGGCATTGATCTGCATACAACTGGGGTTTTTTTCGATGCTAGGGGTACCTTCTTGGAATCCTACTCTTTGGGGGTATTTTTAGGGTTCCCTTGTTTTCGTAAACCCCCTCACATGAACTCTGTCGTCTGCCCAGACGTGTTTTGGGACCCTAAACCCTCAACCGGGGGTTCCTGGCGTCTTCGTCCCCTCAACCAACCCTCACCCTGAACCCTCCCGAAACCCTAACCACTAAACCCCCTCAGCAGCTGAGGATGATCCGCTTTGCGGGCGTCGGGGTGGCGGTCGTTGGCGTGTTCAGCTATGCAGCTTGGCTGAAGCTTGGCATGCCAACTCAACGCGAAGAGAGAGGCTCAGAACATCCCAGGCGGTGTGCAAGAATGCGGAGGGCCGTGAGAAGAAGAGCTAGCAGCCGGCCGAAAGAAAAGGCGACATCTCGAATCCAGGGCTTAAACTCTCAGCTGTCAGGGTTGCACGGTGCCGGGTTTGCCACCGAAAGCTTACTCATTGCCACTCTGGGTGGTCCAGTCAATGTTGATAATGTCAATGTATCAGTTTTGCCCATTAAGCCATTGCGCACAGTGCTCGAGTTTCTGGAGTGCGGACAGTGTGGTGTAGTCTCAAGAATGGGTAGTGCAGCATCTGCCAAAGTCGCAGGGGCGAGCACGAAGGATCTGAAGGAGGTGGCGAATGGGATGTCTGAGGACGAGCGCCAAAAACTTCTCGCGGCGATCGCACAGCTAGAGTCAGAGTCTGCGCCTGCAGCGCAATCACTCGAAGCAATTCTGGGACAGTACAACGCCCACGCCAGTGACGGTGACTGGGGCAGCTACAGCATCACTGTCACCATTAAGGCAGATGCCAGCATGATGATGTACACAAGCTCTTGCGACTTCCGCGACAGCCCAGAAACCATTACCACTACGGAGGGTTCAGGGGCTCTGGAAGGCGAGATTCTGACTTTCACGTCCACCAAGGTTTGCAAGGAGCAACAGGGAACGGGCGCGATGGAACCCAAGACCAAGGATGAGACCGAGACATACAAGTTCAAGCTGCAGCCTGACGGGAGCTTGGCCATGTTGAGGAAGGATGGCACGGTTGATGAGATCCAAGGTGGCTATGGCGGCGATCCAAAGCCTGCAATTCTCAGAAGAAGGTGACCAGGAATTCAGCCCAGCTCCTGAAGCGTTTCACACGCGCGCCGCGTTCATGGGAGGCCATACTCTCGCAATAGAACTGACTTACAAAGCTCCATATGCTCGTACAAGTATTGATGATAACGTATTTTGATCGCCTTCTTCAGTGGGAAAGATGAGGATTTTCAATGTTTATGTATTGGTAAATGCGATTTCTGAGTTTTGCATGTGGGGCTTTATTGTAAGACATGTTTTTTGAACAACCCGTTTGTCAGAATCAATTTTATACATGTATATATATATATATATGCATAGATAAATCGTATCTGATATCGATTCATTCTATTTACAATATTCATATAAATTTGAAGAATTCAGAAATTCATTTCATAAGAAATAGTAAGGAATAAAATGTTTCTTTATTCTTGAAATTTCAGTATTAACCGATCAATGAAAATTTTAATTATGGATTCTTTCTATCTCTAAAGTCTTCAATAGTACGAATCTGTTGGGTATTTCATTGTTAATTGTTATATTTGATATATTTTATGTCGTGGAGGGTGATGATGATTTCGAAATTCCTATTGAAAAATGAAATAATGAAATGGATATATTCTATATGTTTTTTCTAAAATATTTGAAATTAATATTTCGGGCCAAGTGTTTTACCTCATTAAGGTTTTGTTGATGTAATGGTATAACGAATGTGAGAAATTGTCGAAATTGTGTGGAATTGTAAGGATATATATCGGAGGTATGTTATTTTCTTGAAAGTAGGTTTGATAGAGAAATAATATGCAGATATTAATTATATTATTGAATATTGAAATTCGTTCTATAGATATGGAAATTATATATAATATAAAAATTGAAATATTGAAATTTTATCATTGGATGATTGAATTAAATTTACGAATAAATTTATATTAAAAAAAAAATTGGTTCAGGGGAGATTTTGCCGGATTGACTGTATGAATCGGTATTGGATATGAAGATGGGAAATGGAATGATATTAATAGAATTTAGATTTCGTATTGAAATTTCTATTTA